AACCTAAGTTACTAACCCGCCGAAAGGTTAAACCTTAGAGTAGTCACTTACCCGACCTATCGCTTAGAACTTACTCGTCTAACGAGCTCTAACCCTCTTGTACCGCAGGTGCATAACACGTATATAGCTTATAGAGGGTAGGGAGAGCTAAGGTAAGTAGAGTTAAAGGGTTAAGGTAAGTAGAGTTAAAGACTACTACTATAGTAGTCTTCGGGAGTAGCCGAACTTCGCGGAGGCGGCTATACTTTACCCCGCGCTCCTATACGTACGGGCGTATATCCGTACGCCCTCGCGCGTCCGACGACTACTAGCGTATACCTATACCCTAACCCTAGTACTACGAAATACTATCTAGACGTACTAGAAATAATACTAGATAGATAATCGAGTACTACGAGTAAGATATATCCTATTTTAGCGTATAGAACGGCGCCTATAAGTAGTTCTAAAAGTACGGATCCTACTAAATAGGATCCTACTAAAATCTAGACCGTATAGCTTCGCGCCTTACCGGATTTAGGGAGGATCCTATTAATGTTTAGTTGCCTCCTAGGCCTTATATTAGTTAGGCAGTTCTAGAAGTGCGGATCCTACTAAACAGGATCCTACTAAAATCTGGACCGTACAGCTTCGCGCCTTACCGGATTTGGGGAGGATCCTATTAATGTTTAGTTGCCTCCTAGGCCTTATATTGGTTAGGCCTATCGTGGGTGGGGAAGTTGCGAACGGCCTTAGAAGACGAGTACCTCGACCGAGTACAACAGGCGTAGTTCAAAGACGAAGTGCCCTGTCTGGATCTACGAGAAGACCAGCTAGTGTGGGAACGCCGCCCGGAAACAATGGGCGTCAAGCGTGATCTGCGGACTATGCCAAGGCATCGTTGAAGATCCAAAAGGATTGAGTATGTTGCGCTCTCCGATGTCCGGCGACCCGGCGAGAGAGGTGGAGGTATTGCCGCATTCAATAAATTGATGAAATGAGAATATATGCTGCCACATCAGTCCTCAGCGTAGTGAGTCGAGCGCATCCTACGCTGCTGCATCTTTGGACAGTGTGTACTCCAAGTCACTTTGGTGTTTACTGCTCCCATGTGCAATACCTCAACGATAGCCTCATTTCATCTTCCCCAAGCGTCGACTGTTCGACTAACGCTCTCCCCTGGAAATTTTGCGGGTCGTCGAGTATGCCGTGAATACGATCTTATGTCTATCGGTAGGTCCCAGCAGTGACAAGGTTACCTCGAAATTCATTGCCGCATTCAATAAGTGCCAGTAGCTCTGTAGTACAAAAGAACAGTTCTGTCAGCACATTCCAATACACCAATACCGTCTCAACCACTTACCAACTTACCAACAATACATCAGCAACTTCACAGCTTCTTTTCTCTCCAAGCTCTTAACCGCGACCACACCTGAGATTGAAGCCCTACATATCACACAATATGTGCATGATTCCGACGACAAATTGTACCAGCTGCTCAGGCCCAGGCGCATCCATTTGCAATGGTCCGACATACCGCTGTCAAAGCGCCGTCGACCGAGGCTTGCCAGTCTGCGAAAGTTCCTACGCCCAAAATACCAAGACTCAACCCTGTGCTGAACACCAACACGAAAATGCTGACTTCGCTACCTGGATTATGGGCGATACCGCTCTGCGCGAAGCTGAGCAAGTTGTCGGGAGGCGCCCCATGGAGGAAGCGAGTAGACGAGAGTCTTATAGGAGGACCGGAGGGGTGCATGCTGCGTTTGATTCTAGTGCAATGAGGTTACCTCAGCAGGGACGTCCGAGAGAGCCACCTAGATACGTGGACGCTCGTACCCGTGCATCGATCTATGATACTCCACGTGCTACTGTTCTTCCTGCTCCAGGCTTCACACCAGCGCCAGCCTTTCCAGGGATGAGAAACCCTCCTACCACGTCATTGGGCCGATCGGTCGACAGAGCCAGTACGCCACCCCGCCCGAGTACACCTATCATAGTATCGAGTACTGGAGGACGGCAAAGTCCAAGGCCAGACCCCACCACGACCCAACCTCGTTCTCGACCACCTATAGTCATCTCAAGCACAGGCTATCGGCTAAGCTCGACTGGTAGCAGACCGGCCACGCCACCACGTCCTCGAACTCCGATTATTGTTTCTAGCACACGCGGTGATCAAGGATCCCTTGCAGGATTCAGCAGCAGACAAAGTACTAGAGGCAGAGGTGCGGTACATGCCTCTGTGGGATCAACGACCTGCCTTGGAAGCACACTCAATCCGAGACACGGGCGTCCGCTTGCCACCACAGCTGATACGGCAGTAGGCTCTGGACCATCGGCGTCTCTCAAATACAGTAGCCATCTGGCACCCACGAGCAGATCATCATCATACCCGAGCCCGAGGCTGGGAAGTCTTGTTGCTGCCACAAGCAGGATCACAGTAGGCTCGGGAAGACCGACGTCGCGTTCAGGATATACGCCTCGCACGGTACCGAGTATACCTTCAGCGGCCACGCGCGGCTCACCATCATACTCGAGCTTGAGGCATGGTACCAAGCTTACCACCACGCCTAGGCCAACGACAGGCCCAGCAAGATCAGCTCCCCGTCTAGCGAATACACCTCGGTTCAAGTACAGAAGTCCGCTGGCTGCCACGGGCAGATCATCGTCGTACTCGGGCTCGAGGTACGGCAATCCTCGTACTACCACAAGCAGGCCGACTGTAGGCTCCACCAGATCGACGACTCGTCCTAGAAGTACACCTCGTCCGAATTCCAGCGATCTATTGCGTGCTCCAGGTGGAAATTCATCATACTCGAGCTCGAGGCCCAGTAGTGGACGCAATAGTCCAGCAGTGGGCATTCCCAGACGTTGCATGTAGAAGCAAGAGAAAGCAGGATTTTCGATCCGAGAGCAGGAGAGTGTCCGTTGATCAAGCCGCGGTTGCAATGAGCCTCTGGAGCCTCTGGAGCATGCCGAGGAACGCTGGACGACAATGAAGTGAATGGCCATGTATGCTAGATGCATGTGTAAACGCCGAGCTGGTGAAGCTCGAGCAGGGCCGAGTTTTGCGCCTGTGTGGCCAACATGCGTTTTGCATCCTGGGTCGTAGGAACAGGTAGCACAGAAGTATGAATGTAGCTGAAAGTGTCGTTATGCTTCCCTTAGCATTGCCGATCGCGATTCCATGGGCTGATTCTGAGCGTAGTCCCGAGGCTCTTCCTGGATCAACATAATTGCAGCAAGATGTGCGCGGCTTTGTCTCGTAGTCTTTCAGGTCTTTGTTGTGCAGTCGTCCTCATCACTGAGACGATCAGCAAGACGGGATCGACGTTGATGTTATCGGATGAGAATTTTAGCCAAAGCTTATCACGGCGATGTTGATAGCCCCTAGGCAGGATACTGCCAAACAATCCGCAAACGTTGATATAGTGCTCACTGCAGGGAGTAGGACGCTGAGTGAATGCAGTGGCTTCAGCGTCTTCCCCGTCTTGTGTTGTGAGTGTGTCTCTTCCAGAAATGAGTCCGAGCAACAAACGCAGGGCGTAGTGACTCTGCTGCATTTTCTGCAAAGTAGTGGTGAATACGCTTTTCCCAGACACAGATGCCGGCACCACGAATCCTCGGAAGTCCACGAGGCATGAGTATAAAGCACAGCCCTTCTGCAAATACTGCTTTTCATCGACAACAGAACACATTTCAGTACATTCGAAGTCGTCCTCGCACACCAAGATCGCTTAAGTCAATCCAGCCACCGCACATCTGATCCTCATTTCGCTTCTCTACGCCCACTACCAAGCTCATCCACAGCCACGTCAGGATGTGGAACATCCCCACAACCCGCTGCAACGGCTGTCTTGGCGCGGGTGCAGTAGTCTAGAACGGACCGATTGAGCGTTGCAGCGTGGCCGGTGAACGACGTCTCGAGGTTTGCAAGAATCCATACCAACAGGACACACTTCGACGCCTCTGCAGGCACCATCAGGCAGAGACCGATGCGAGGGCTGCGATGATGGAGGCACGGAGGCGACAAGATGCAGATGAGGCGAGGTATAGGCGGGAGTTGGAGGCGAGGTATATGCATGAGATGGAGGCAAGATTAGGGGGCTCGGCTTATGATCGTTGGTATGGACCAAGTACATCATCGGCGGCATCTCCGCGGCGGCCTCGGGAGAACGTCGCTGCGGAGCGTCATAGCGAGCTGCCTCCTGATTACATCGATGCGAGAAGTGGGCAACCCGCCGGCAGAGCTCCGCTGACTGCAGTGAGGCCAGCGGATGGGTACGAGCCTCGACCAGCCTTTCCAGAGATGAGATATCAGCAGCGAGAGAGCACTTCGAGCCGTCGGCCGCCTTCGCCACCGCGTCTAAGGACTCCGATCATCGTATCGAGTACTGGTGACTGGCAGAGCCGGGGGAGTCGCGATGATGGTGGCAATAGAGATAGCACGAGGCGTGCGGGATCCGAGAGATGGACGAGTCGTCATGGTAGCCCGTACTCATACCCATACCCAGCTAGTGACCGACCCTACTATAGCTCGAGGTCGGGCAGTGGACGCGATAGTCCTGCAGAACAGGAGCGGAGGCGTAGCGCCTACTAGAAGAAGTGACGAGGCCGGATGTAGAGATAGGGAGTGCTGCTGCTGATCGCACGTGCTGACGATCGGCCTCGATAAGCATGATCAGCATGGGCACAGGGGGTTTCATAGGGGGAGAGATAGCTAGATGAGGCGAGGAAGCAGCGCTCGGGGTGAGATGTGGTGTTACGGTTGGCCAGACGTCGCACAGTAACGGTATCGTATATTGGGACCCTGGTGGGGCTCGGGGTTCGGGGCTCGGTTCGGCGAATGGATAAAGTAGAATATATCGATGCCACTGAGTCATTGCAGGAAGTTACTCATATGATCTCCAACCTACTACACGTACCACCTTCTACGCTCCTCACCCACCATCTACCTCTCATACCCAAGTATCTTGTCAACCCAGCTTACCTCCCAACTCATTCCCCGCTCGGTCCAAATCATGGACGGCATAAAAGCAGCGTTCGCGCGGGCGAAACGAGAGAATCGGGCGGCCCTTGTGACCTACACCACTGCCGGCTACCCAACCATTGGGGAAACAGCAGATGTCCTTCTCGGAATGGAAGCCGGCGGCTCCGATGTCATCGAGCTTGGAACACCCTTCACCGACCCCATCGCCGACGGCCCTACGATTCAGAAAGCCAACACCAAAGCGCTAGAGAACGGCACGACGACGACGTCATGTCTGAATATCGTGCGAGAGGCGCGGAAGAGAGGGTTGAGGGCGCCGGTGTTGCTCATGGGGTACTACAACCCGCTTTTAGCATATGGAGAGGAGAGGATGTTGAAGGATGCCAAGGCGGCGGGAGTGAATGGGTTTATTATGGTTGACCTGCCACCAGAGGAGGCGGTGAGGTTCCGTGGACACTGCACGGATTATGGCCTTTCCTATGTCCCACTCATTGCGCCCGCGACGAGTGAGAAGCGGATGAAGCTACTGTGTAGTATCGCCGATAGCTTCATCTACGTCGTCAGTCGGATGGGCGTCACGGGTGCGACTGGTGCTCTCAGCTCTGGCCTCCCAGATCTCTTGGCCAAAGTACACAAATTTTCCGGTGGCATTCCAGCGGCCGTGGGCTTTGGCGTAAGCACACGTGAGCACTTTGTCGAGGTCGGCAAAGTCGCAGAAGGCGTAGTCATCGGTAGCCAGATCATCAATACACTACGAGAGGCGCCCGAGGGCCAAGGAGCGAAAGCTGTAGAGGAGTACTGTCACACCATCACACAACGACGGAATCCAGCAGTATCACCCGCAACGAATGGTCACTCGAACGGCACATCTCACGGTATCAGCACCGATGCAAATCCGAACGGTGACGGTAGTGGCTGGATATCACACTCCAACGGCGAAGCGCCGAAGGAGATCTCCGCGGCCGATCCTACGAAAGAGCCAGCAAGCAAAAGCGACCCTTCGAATGGTACCGTGCATGTCGACGCAGTAGTCACAGGTGGCGACGGACCCGGTCTAGCAGATCAGCTCGACGCGCTCAACACCCAGGACGAAAAGGACCCAGAACTCATGCCCAGTCGATTTGGTGAGTTTGGTGGCCAGTATGTTCCTGAATCACTGATGGACTGTCTGGCGGAGCTGGAGAAGGGCTTCGACGACGCATGCAAAGACCCGAAATTCTGGGAAGAATTTCGCTCCTACTATCCCTACATGTCACGACCTTCATCACTACATCGAGCAGATCGCCTAACAGAGTACGTACGAAAGGAAGCCGGCAAAGGCAAAGGTGCAAACATCTACCTCAAACGCGAAGATCTCAACCATACTGGGTCCCACAAAATCAACAACGCCGTCGGCCAAGCCCTCATCGCACGAAGACTGGGCAAGAACGAAATCATTGCCGAGACAGGTGCAGGTCAACACGGCGTAGCTACCGCTACCGTATGCGCAAGATTCGGCATGAAATGCACAGTCTACATGGGCGCCGAAGACGTGCGACGGCAAGCACTGAACGTCTTCCGGATGAAATTGCTTGGTGCCACCGTCGTGGCAGTGGATGCTGGAACCAGGACATTACGAGACGCTGTTAACGAAGCGATGAGGAAGTGGGTGGAGAAGTTGGATACGACACACTACATCATCGGCAGTGCCATAGGACCCCATCCCTTCCCAACAATCGTACGAACATTCCAGTCTGTCATTGGCAACGAGACGAAAGAACAAATGCAGGCCTTGACCGGACGACTTCCAGACGCAGTAGTAGCCTGCGTAGGTGGCGGCAGTAACGCGGTGGGGATGTTTCACCCCTTCGCGACTGACGCCTCGGTCAGATTACTAGGTGTAGAAGCCGGCGGCGATGGTCTCGATACAGACCGGCACTCGGCCACGTTATCAGGTGGGAAACCAGGTGTACTCCACGGCGTGCGCACCTACATCCTCCAGAACGCGGAAGGCCAGATAACAGATACCCACTCCGTCTCCGCTGGTCTTGACTACCCCGGCGTGGGACCCGAACTATCTGGCTGGAAAGACAGTAGTCGAGCGAAATTCGTGGCCGCCACTGATAGTGAAGCGTTCATTGGCTTCAGGATACTATCGGAGCTCGAGGGCATCATCCCGGCATTGGAGACCAGTCATGCCATCTTCGGAGCCATCGAGATGGCCAAGACAATGGGTGAGGATGAGACACTAGTGATCAATCTTTCTGGAAGAGGTGATAAGGATGTGCAGTCTGTCGCCGAAGAGTTACCGGTGATTGGCCCAAAGATTGGGTGGGATCTGAGGTTCTAGACTTCCAGTTTGGTCTACGTCTGTAAAGCTTGAGGTTTGAGTAACTCTTGACCTCCGGAAAGAGGTTTCTTTTGATGTGAGAATATGATAATTACGAGGGTTGTACATAGGTACATCATAGCCACCACGGCACTGAAATCTTGATCACACCATATGAGGTGATGGTTGTCATGGCTCAGATTTTTCCTTGTCCTAAAAGCATGTAGGCTATTTGGAGTCATGTGCATGCTCCACAACAGAGAACTCGTTGGGTTATGGTTAATCAAGAGGAATCAGGGTACACTAGATATCATGCAGCTCAATCGCTGCACAGCTCAGTCACGGCATCACCAACCCAGTACCGCAACCCTCACGCAAAGCCCTCCAAGAACCACTCCTCCCTCGGCTCCTCTCGTACCTGTCCGCAGCTGGCTGTCTCGCTGACCGCAACATCGCTGCCCACAGAGTGTTGAGGATCGGTACTACTCTCCGCCCTCACTCGCTCGAGTGGTTTCTTGAGGCCATGCCGTGCTCGCTTCGCACCCTTACCACCTTGTAAAGAGTCGCATAACACCACTCCAACCCACAAGGCTGTCTGTGCACGTATCCCGGTGGCGGACGGACCATACTCGGTGAGTCCGTCAGAGCATGCATGTAAGGACACAACTTCGATCTCTTCGGATCAAGTGAGCGTGCACAGCGGCCGTGGTACCAGAAGAAGCAGGTCTCGTTCGCTTTGGAGTCGGTGTCAGGTAAGGGCGAGGTTGAGGGTGACGCCTCGTGGTCGTAGTCGATGGATATGCTGGCCTCAGGGTAGGGCTTATCACGGCAGCGACCAATCCTTGCTTTCGTCCTTCTGAATTTGGAGATCTGGCCAGGCGGAATATCTTGCCCATCGCCCTCCTGGGTTTGCAAAGTAGCCATATAAGGGCTCCTCACCCTCTGCCGCTTCTTCGACTTCTGCTTCGGCAGATCATAGTCTGATGATTTTTTGATAGGAGATGCCTCCTTCTCACCTATACGTAGTCCCGAAGACATCTCATGTGAAGCGTATTCGGCAAGTCTACAGGGCTGATCGTGGCTCATCTGAAGTCTGCCGCGGGCACTTACTTTGAATGCGGAAGCTGGTGAATGGATGGACAAGATAGAAAAATCTTCGTGATCTGCTGGAGTGTGGTATTGACAGTCGCTGTGGTAGTACTAGTGAAAGTGCAGAAGGTGAACAGTAATGATGTACTCTCGCACGTGGTGCATTTAACGACACGGTAGATCCACTTACTCGACAGTCTCCATCGTCTTCACTCGGATGACAGTATAGACATCTGTGTTGGGTTGTGCCGACAGGTTATGGAGGGAAAAGTGGCTTCATGGTAGGGTATCCGTGTGAGCCTCCGATATGATGCCCGCAATATCCGTATACGACGATTTATATCTTGTGTGGAGACCATCGAAATTCCATGTTCGCCATGCGAATGGGGTGAGGTCGAGGTCTGAAGGATGAAGAAATTGTCTTTGCAGGGCTGAAAACCGCGTCAATCCTAGTCTCATATTGCACCACTTCCGTTATGACCACCATCCTATTTCGACCTACTTAACATCAATCTCGCTCGCGGGCTTCTATCCTGCTGTCCGGATCAGTAAGGACTGCTCCGCATGATGAGGTGAGTAGGGTTCTGGCCCCATCTCACCGGCTCTAGCAGGACTCTTGCATTTCGTCAGCTTGTTTCCCTTACCAGTCAGATCCTATTCACCCTATACCTCCCTGACCTTTGAAGGCCACGTGTCAAGATACTCCAAGTCAAACGATATGAAGAGTGTCTGTATCGTCGGAGCCGGGCCAGCAGGCCTGGTGACCGCAAAGACTTTCCTGGACACAGAGCAATTCGATGTAACCATCTACGAGAAGCATGATCGCATCGGCGGCATCTGGGCACTTGACGAAGATACTCAGGATGCTTTCCTATCGCCATTTACGCCAACAAACCTGTCGAAGTTCACAGTAGGCTTTAGCGATCTCGACTGGAATGAGATCGACGCTCGGAGCAAGAGCTCCACGAGTTCGGTGAATGGTGCCAAGAAACCACGAGTACCGTTGTATCCCAAGGCTCACCACGTAAATCGGTATCTGGAGGAATATACGCGCCGCTATCTCACGGATGCAAAAATATGTCTGAGTACCAAAGTCATCTCCGCCTCTCGGACCTGTAAGTATGGGAGTGATTCAGCTTGCTGGAGTATTAAGACGGAGTCACACACTGGTCATCACGGACAGGAGACCTTCGAACACTTTGTGTTAGCATCAGGATTCTTCTCGAGACCGCGTTCGATTGGGCATGATTTGCCCGACGCAAGTGGCAAAAATGAGAAGGATTATTCCAAGATCATACACAGCTCACGATTCCGCGTGTTAGCAGACCTGTTTCCTCGAGGGCCTGCACAAGACACAAATATCTTGATTATAGGTGGCGGCAACTCCGCAGGCGAGACGGCTGCTGCTGTAGCGATGCAGCTATCTAATGCTCGATGGTCGCCAAACAAGGGTCAAACGCAGCGATACCAAGGCTGCAAGGTAATACATGTGACGCCAAGGCCCATGTATGCAATACCTCCCTTCGTCGAGTACGAAGAAGGGTCGCGAAGTTACGTGCCTGTCGATCTGAAGCTGTATGATTACTCGAAGCGGCCACAGGGTATGGAGAGCTATGGTGGTCAGCAGGTACCGCAAGTCCGCGACATAGTGCACAAGTCTATCCAGACTATGGTTGGTGGAGATCAAGCGGATCTGGGTAGTAATGCACTTGTGAGCAACGGCGAAGGTGCGGATAGAGGTACAGCATATGTGGCGCTTACTGAGACATACTCTGAGTTTGTGCGGAGTGGCCTCATAGAAGTCAACGCTGGTAGAGTTCTTGATCTGAATTACTTGGACTCTCTACATAGTGCTGTGATCGCGCATGATGGGCAGCAGAGTACCGTCGAGAATATTTCAGCAGTCATCTACGCTACTGGCTACGACCCGACATCCGCGATTGACTTCCTCGACGACGATGTAAAGACTGCTCTCGACTTCGATTCTACCAGCATGCGTCTTCCCGTCCTGCTGGAACAATGGCAGACAGTCAACAGGAGAGTACCAGATTTGGCTTTTGTTGGCATGTATGAAGGGCCGTATTGGCCGATGATGGAGATACAGGGAAGGTTGACGGCATCACGCTGGTTGGGAGAAACTGCGTACGCCGAGCAGCGTCCATTCGAGACGGTATCAAGGCTGGAGGAGATGCGACTGAGCATGCAGCGGAAAGGTCTGGATGTGGGACAGTTCTGGTTCAATGACTATCTAGGGTACTGCGAGGATATAGCGGATCATCTTGGCCTATCGAGACTGCATGGCAAGTTCGGCCCAAAGCAAGGTTGTACATCTCCAGCTCGCTTCAAAACAGCCAATACACAGGTATCGCAAGCGCAAGCTATCTTGGATGATCTGCACGAAACATGGTTCGCATGTATCGACAAAGGCAGATATGTACCACGAGCTGTCTTGCGAGCACTCCACGGAGAATGGAACATCAGCCGACGTATTGAAAGCACGGATCTAGCATATTCAGGTACCCTGCAAGGGTCTGCAAACTTCCATCCACGCTTTCCTACAGCGGACAAAAGTGACAAGGTATTCGATCTTGAGTATTTGTACATCGAGTCCGGTACATTCACAAACGCCAGTCGCCTGGAGATGAAAGCTAGTAGACGCTATGTCTACCGCTATGCCGAGCAGGATGATACGCTTAGTATCTGGTTCGTCAAGCCGGACAATGATCTCGAAGTCGATTATCTTTTTCACAACTTGGCATTCGTCTCACCTGTCGACGCTAGGAAGGCTGGAACTTGCGTGGCGAAAGCAGATCATCTTTGTGTGGAGGACATGTACTGGACCAAATACACTCTACCGATGGAAGCCATTGTGCTCCGGAAATTTGAGATCGAGCATGTGGTGAAGGGTCCTCACAAAGACTATACTTCTACCACGCGGTATACCCGACCGGCGAAACGACCGCGTTGAGAGGTCGATATCCCTGATCGTTGTCTGATCAGTACAACGCGTTGCAGTGCCATGACCACAGCCACACGAGCATAGCGGAATCTATATGGAGCTGTTCGTGGGATGTGCCAAGCAGGAATCCGTACTGAGCAAAGTGATCACGACAGCATGTCATCAAACGCAGTGTCCGCTTTCTCAGTCAGTTCAGGTGAAATAATCATTCCAGGGCATGTAAGAGGGTATAGTGTACTTACAAAACGGGAACGAGTCGAGCTGCAGCCAAAAGTCCAGATCTAGACCATCTGCGAGATTGCTGGGCCGTGAATTCGGCATGAACACATCATTATCGAGGGTCCCAGGTGGCATCTGCTCATCCGACTGGCTGGTTTCTTGCAGTGCAGATTCGACGGCTCGCTGAAGCTCTTGGAGTACAGCATAATAGCGTAGGCTTGGCGCATTCAATGCTGCGACTTCTTCGAAGTACTTCTGCACCTTGGAGGCCTTGCGCAGTAGGTCTTCGACGTTGGTATCCGTGTCTTCAAGCTTGCCTGCGTCACATCTCGCCTGTATAATGTAGACGTAGATGATAGAGACTGCATTGAAGGCCACGTACTGCGTGAGCCAGAAAGCAGCAAAACTTGTGCCATCGTCTGCCCATGATGACAGTGCATCCAACGTGGCCACAGCAGCTTCTAAGCATGAACTGATCTGGACACGGACGCTAGGAGAATCCCTCGAATCCAATAGTAGAAGGGGTCGTGTGACCAACATTCTTGCATGAGAGTAAGCAAGCTGCAGGACTACCGTCTGTCGTCGGAAGATCGGGATCAAACTTGACGGCTGAACAACACCAGATAGTATCGCTGGCAATTCAGCTCGCCATGCTCTAAGCTGACCTGTGACTTCTATCGCCGCATGTAGCCTACCATTCTCCGAAGACTCCATCCGCATTTGATTTTGAGCAGCAGTTTTCGTAATGCGAGCAAGTTTCGCATGACATATGGAAGCCTGGATCACACAGTCGCCAACAGTCAATGATACTTGTGCTTCCAGAAGATGTTCGTCATCTATCGATCGTGGAAAGTCTTGGCTGATGTCCCGGTCGTTGATCAGGTTCGGCCGACCCAGTAGGACTGACATGTAGGTGTCAAGAGTGGTGAGCGCCCAGAATGTCCTCTTGCGGCACTCTTGAGTGACAACATCGGCCACGTTGATGTCCTTAGCATCGCGGTGTAGTCCCAGCACGAAGGCCAGCTGCACGGTCGTGCCAAAGTCGTACCAAGCTGTGGTAGGCCTAGATGCGTGCAGGAGGTATAGGCACATGGCTAAGCGGGCTTGCACAGACTCTAACTTCGGTCTGCCTCGTTCGCAAGATAATTCATGCTTTGCAGCCGCGAGATAGCCTTCTGCAACGTCAGCACTTCGGGTCAATGTGTATTGTCTAGGAAGGTTAGAGGCGTGCTTGAACAGAACTGAAGTGGCCATGATCAACCAGATGATCGCTCGTTGTCCAGTAGTAGATCCTCCTGCTTGATGTTCACGACCTTGGTCGACGAGCATACCTTCAAGCCAGCGAGCGGCAGTCTGTCTGTGCAGAAATCGATACGTCGGCATGGCGAAATCGAAATACAACGCGAAGAGTTCTTCTGCTTGCGTGCTCGGCGGCAGAGCACATGATTGCGAGTTCGCGCCGTGGAAAGCTTTATCGCCGTAAGAGAAAATTGATGTCTGCTCATCACTCTGCGGAACGTGCAGGGTGAGACTGGTAGCGTATCGGTCCTCCCGCAAGTGAAAACGATCCCAAGCTCTCTTCAGGAAGACAAAAGCTGAGCTCTGGCCTACAGCGCCATCAGGAACATCGTTGTCGACGTCGGCGAGCTGGCCGTTCGTGGCGGAAATGGCTATAGTCGCCGGTCGAGCAGCAGCGACCGCTGGCGGAGCAGAGCCCGAAAGCCTGTGGTGGCTTTCGGAACCAGAAGGCCTCACATGCTTGCCTCTCCTGTATGCGGCCTCGTATGTACAGTCTGCGTTGTACAATTGGCACATGTCACACGGTGACAATCCATTGCAGCGCCGCTTTCTCTGCTTGCATCTGTCGCATGCTCGTGTCACTTTTGATCGTCTTGTGTGTCGACCCGTCACAGTTGCCCTTGATGTTGAGATTATCGACAATGACTCAGGTCGAGATGACATGCCATCGAAACGTCAAGTTCAATCGGAGCTCTAAGTGAGACTACCAGATCCTGAGCTCGACCGATCTCTTCTAATATACCAAGCTTAGTATGATTGTGGTGACAAGATCAAAACTGGAACAAACTGGGAATTCGTAATACTGTCAGTGGTATATTCGATCCCGCGATCGTTATCGTGAGTCCACAGTCTAGCCTGTTCTTATATTGAACCCGATGTGAGAGCAAGGTTTCGCAACATTCCCACATCACCACGGTCATGGCAGCACACTCGCACAGCCATGAGGGCACGAGTCACTCACACCCTGGAGGCGATCATGGCCACACTCACGAAGTCCTCGACGGTCCGGGCTCGTTCCTCGGCCGCGAGATGCCCATAGTCGAAGGCCGAGATTGGAAGGAACGAGCGTTCACTGTAGGCATTGGTGGGTACGTCACAACAAGACAATCGAAGTGAATGCTCGTCTGACCGACGAACATAGACCCGTCGGATCAGGCAAGACAGCCTTGATGCTAGCCCTGTGCCTAGCCCTACGTGACAAATATAACATCGCAGCCGTTACGAACGATATCTTCACGCGAGAAGACTGCGAGTTCCTCACTCGCCATAAAGCACTACCTGCTGAACGTATCAAGGCTATTGAGACGGGCGGGTGTCCTCATGCGGCAGTAAGAGAAGATATCAGCGCCAACCTGGCTGCCTTGACAGATCTGCACCGCGAATTTAACACCCAGCTCTTGCTCATTGAAAGTGGAGGCGACAACCTCGCAGCAAACTACAGCCGTGAGCTGGCAGACTTCATTATATACGTAATCGATGTCAGTGGAGGTGACAAGATCCCACGAAAAGGTGGGCCTGGCATTACACAAAGTGATCTACTTGTGGTAAACAAGACGGACTTGGCGGAGCTCGTCGGTGCAGATCTGGGAGTCATGGATAGGGATTCGAGGAAGATCCGAGAAGGTGGTCCGACCATATTCGCTCAGGTGAAGCATGGTAAGGGTGTTGATAGGATTGTGGATTTGATGCTAAGTGCGTGGCGGAGCTGTGGTGCAGCAAGTGCAAGTGGCTCGTGAAGAGGATGAAGGGTCAAGGGCAGCATCAGCTGAAGACGTGACGTGAAATAACTTGAATGCACAGTACATTCGGTGATCATAATCAATTCTCCTGTCTACATGCAAGTTGTCTACCGTAAAGTGAAGCGAATGTCGTATGAAGCACGCATCAAGCGCAATGCCAGCAAACGAGCTTTGTCGTCAGAACGACCTTGTCCTGTCCGGCAGCTCGGCTGCTTTCCAAAAGCAGACAAGATCGAGACTCCAATCCAACATCTAGGTGAAAGATGGGTTGGCGTTCGTGAGAAGCTGCACAAAGTAAGCCTGGAACCACTGGCCGGCCTGAGGAGCTGGCTGAAGGGCATCGGAGAGACCGCAGTGGGAGTCGTAGCGGGCAGCGGATGAGTCGCTGGTGCCATCCGACTCAGCACCAGGCTTGACCCAGACAAAGGCATCCTCGAGAGCATCACCAGTGCTGGTGGTTGGACGGATACCAAAACCAGTTCCTTTCACGTTGCACCAATCGCCCCATGCCTGCTGAGAGGTTGGCTGGACACCGTTACGGCTAGTGTCCATGATGAAGTGGGCTGGGAAGCCAGCCTGGGTTAGGAGAGGTGCAAGAGCGTTGACGTACTTCTGCTCGTCGCAGTTGGAGTCACCCTGGGTGTAAGAGGGGCAGGTGGCGATAGAGAAGGCGTTGTAGTTGGCTACATTGGTTGCAAGGCCACGCACGGCGGCGGGAGAGCCGGCGTTCTTGTAAATGGAGCCAAAGAGCTGAGCAGCTGGGCCAATGTTGGCGGACCAGCCGAGCCAGCCGGCGTGACCGGCATCAATGTACATGGCAACATTTGGTAGATTGAGGTGAGTGAGAGCGTAGTTGTAGCACTCAAGGTATGCCGACTGGGCGTTGGAGCACTTGGCGACATTCAAGTTGGTGATCAAGTTTCCAAGACTGTCGGGCTCAATGACCAGGACGACATCGGTGCTGGAGTGGTTCTTAAGCTGAGCGACGATGTCGTCAATGTAGCTCTTGTAGTTTGCAACACCGCCGTTGGCAATCGAGTACTCGCCGTTGGAGGAGTAGGCAGCGCAGTCACGGTCAGGCAAATCGTAGACGACGAAGATACCGATGTTTGGTGGGCTGGCACCGGCGGCGTTCTTCGCCGCAATGTCGTCGAGCATGGTGCCCATGCTGTCAAGTGTCAGTGACACGCTCGTGTTGAGAATTTGTCAAGTGCGACTTACATTGGAACCTTGCTGTGGGTGTCCATCCAGAAGAAGCTGGGAACCTTGGCAACTTGAGAAGCAGCTGGCACAAGGCTGGCTGGCAGCGATGGGATGGCCAAGGTGTTGACCTCGGAAGCGTAGAATGAGTTCACATATCTGATTCTTGGTTAGCTGATATCATGACAGTACGAAGGCTGCGAGGACTGACTGTTGCTTGCCGGCGAATGGGTTGCCAGAGCCAGCTGCGACGGTGGTGGCTGGAGCACTGCTGACTGGGGTGGAGACCTTGGTCGTGCTGACCGGAGTCGAGACCTTGGTAGAGGACACCACTGAGGTCACCTTGGTGGAGCTGGCAGGTACCGTTGTCGCCTTGGTGGAGCTGGGGGGTGCTGCCGTTGTAGAGGCGCTGCCTGGTACGCACTGAGAGTAGTACGAGTTCTGGGCGTAGCAGTAGTAGCCAGATGGGCACGAAGTGGCGCCAGTCCAGCCTTGACCGCCGCACTACAAGAGGGGTCAGTATCGACTATCTCCAGGCTCACCATGAGAATACCGCGCTTACCTGGCCGTACTGAGCAGCTGTGCCAACCGGGGCGGCAATCGCTGGAAGGGCCACCAGGGCCAAGGAGAGAAGCTGAAGTGCCATTGCGAGGATGCTTGCTTGCGGAAGCTGTGTGAGCGAATGTGATGTGATGAGACAAAGAGTAGATCGGGTTACAGGCGTTGGCATATATAATGTTCGATCTGGAAAACTTACTCAAGCACAGGAACGTCGTCCCGTCTACTGAGATTGGACTATAGCGATCATGGCTTGCGTGGTCACATTGCTGGCAATGTGATCAGATGCTGCAGGGACTGGATGCGCCGGAGAGCCCATTTGTAGTAGGGTCGTTTGTGCCTGGAAGTCTTGCCATTTGGATAAATCCACTAGCTTGTTTTGAATACTGCTGTGCACTGTAACAGAAGTTGCGGGAGAAGCCTGGACGAAGCCTCAATTTCCACCATGGATTAGATCGCAACCACAATTCTGCTTTACATCAAGACACCTGAACTGCGGATGTGTATCCCTACCGTCAGCGTTCACTGGTGGCAGCAACTGACCGTTCCGACCTTGTGCAGTGATACTGTATCGTGGCCGGCATCGGGAAAGATTGTGGCGATACCCCGGAGATCACGCCCCAGGCGCCACAGTCACCGTCCGCTCATGGCACTATAGATCGGCGTAATGATATTGTTGGGCGCGTAGAGATGGCTACTTGCAATATAGAGGATGATGCAGGCAAGGCGGGTGACCTGTGGTTTGGGCTGGAGCCGTTAGAAGGAGGGGGATTTGCCGGGCCCTGTTCCGAAACGTCGGGAAGACGCGTGCTGCATTATATCGCCATGCCCAAGTTTACGCGGAAGAACTATCTAACCCAAAGCATAGATCTCCACGAACAAACCTCAGAACACCATTGCGACTGGTCTAGACCGATTAAAAATACCATGCTGCCGCCAGTGCCCAGCGACATTCTCACCTTGAATCCCAAGTTCAGCGTCTTATACCAAGATCTAAGCCACAATAGGTTACAGCAGGATGGCACCTCGAAGCCAGACAACAAAGTAATGCAGGAGCATGATCAACTGCAAAAAGTATCACTCGACCATTGCTACGGAGTTGCGGTCCGTCAATCATGAAAGAACGTTACGCTTAACAAGGGATACAGGATCTTCACAAGGCACGTACTGAAGCATACAAGCGAGAGACCGTTCGCCGAAACCTCCAGGATATTGTGTACCGAGGCGAGGCGTTGCCGGATGAAGTGAGTTAATATACCATTGTACAACCGCGTGAGACTATACAGATTTATGCATACTAATATGTGTTTCTTGTCAGCTGCGTGACCTGGGACTACTGATTGCCGCTACGCTTGGTGGTGAAGTGGCGCCTGACGACCTGTCTATTGTCGAGGGAGAATTGGCACGTTTACCAGTTTGTGGTCTTGAGATGCTTGTGGTCAAGTGACGCGGCTGATATATTGGTAGTGCTACTCCACTGATATTGCTGCGCTGTTGAGCAAACAGTTCGCTGAAAGTGCTTCTAGGCTTTCAGCTGTGGCCATCGTTGGAGGCGGGTCGCACGAGGTCTGGCCACACTCTGTGGCCAAACTAGGCTCCGATGTAGTATCTCAGCATCAGTACTTACGACGGTCTCGCTCAGTACTCGTCGACGCAGCTCAAGAACTACAAGATATCCATCGACAAGTGCTAGAAGTAAGTGTGAGGGTTCTGGAGCAAGTCATCCATGGCGCAGTGGCGAGACACGGCAAGGCCACGGCTGATCATCTTGCCATACTCGCGAATGGCATCAGCAAGAAAGTGGATATGCACCATGCTCAACTTACGCAGCACATCTATACCGCAGAGATCCAGTCCGCCATTCGCTCTGCGCTCAGCACGATGAAAGACAGTCATACAGATGTACGGTTTCACCTGCGAGAAGCTGAGGAGAGATTGGCACAGTACAATTCGGCCCGTGGGATGAAGAACATGGTTAAAGAATATGCTGAGCTCCTGGCCGAGACGCGGAAGGTGGAAGCTGAGATCGCGCGACTGAAGGGTGGGATGTAGTCGGTCCTGTATCGTCGTAGCGACTGCTTTGGTCATCGCCGCCGAAGGCATCAAGCAAACAAATCTGTCATCGTGCTGGCAAGTCTAAAACAGCGCTACTCTTGTCGGCTCCGGTAGCATGATGGCCCAGTGATATATGCTGGTCAGCGTGCGTGTGCTGTTTTGTATCGCTCCTGGAGCACAGCACCCGTCAGTAACTCGACTGGCAACATGAGGACGGCAAATGGAAGCCATCATGCTATGTATCAAGTCGTTGAGTTCGATCATCAAGGAACTGTGAGAATCGTCGCCACGCCGCTCTCGTCGTACGGTAGAAGTAACCACTCGGCGAAGTGGTTCTTAGATGCGGTACTGACGGTCACGTGACGGTCAGAATCAAATACCCTCTGCCAAATTCTGGACCAACGCACGTCTGCATCATCATATTTACTTCTATACGAATTAGTGTGCTACATACTACTTTTTTTGCTGTGTAGCTATATCGCATCGCCTATAGGGACTATACCGACTAGTACACAAGATGGTAGAAACTTGAAACCTCGGGCTAGGATCCATGTGCACAGCAGCGTGGCAGATCATGCGGTACGCACGCCACACATCAGCCTGAAGAACAGAGCCTCGCCCAGTCCAAATACGGTCAGAGGATTTGCAGTTCCCATGGTCAAACTGTGGCCATGTGATGGGAAAAGGCCTGATTCACGATGCAGGTCCTGCTCCCGCAATTTCGAGCAGGACAACCGGAGCGGTAGTGCCAAGCCTCATTAATATATACCAAACCCAGGGTGAAAGCGACGCTGCCACGCCCATCCACTACTGGATCAGCAGGAATTTCTCACCAGGGCCCTCGTACTTTGTACACAGCATTGCTTCGGCTAGGCTAATGAACAGGCTCAACACGTTGTGGGCTTTGGGAGCCGGTACTACTCCTTCATAACGGCACAAATGCCTGTGGGTATAGTCCTTCAGAAGTGCGGACCATATAAGTATTGCCAACTATCTCGACATATCGGGCCTTTCAAGCGCAATCATTCTCTTTTTTTGATAACACTTCACTATTCTTCTTTCAACCACAACTTTCACAATGAAGTACACCACTGTGATCGCTGCCCTGGCTGGCGCGGCCATTGCTAGCCCCGTTCCAGAGGTCGAGAAGCGCGCCACAGCCATCAACTACGTTCAGAACTACAATGGCAACCTCGCCAACTTCAAGTACAATGAGGCCGCCGGCACCTACTCCGCAAGCTGGAACAATCCCGGCGACTTCGTGGTCGGTCTTGGTTGGACCACCGGTTCTCCCCGGAACATCGCCTTCAGCGGCTCCTACACTTCCAACCAGGGCTCCTACTATGCTGTGTACGGCTGGTTGAACTCTCCCTTGACCGAGTACTACGTCGTGGAGAACTACAGCTATGACCCCTGCAACGGCGGCACCCAGGTCGGTAGCCTCACCAGTGACGGGTCGAGCTACAAGATCTGCACGCACACTCAGGTACGTCGTGCAAAATCACCACCATAGTACGGTAGTACTAACAAGCAACAGGTCAACCAGCCTTCCATCGTCGGCACAAGCACTTTCGGCCAGTACTTCTCCGTTCGTGCCACCAAGCGCACTTCGGGCACCGTCACGATGGCGAACCACTTCAACGCATGGAAAGCCAGTGGCTTCCAGCCAGGCAACTACAACTACCAGGTCTTCGCCGTTGAGGCCTTCAGCGGTACTGGTAGCGCCAGTGTCACCGTCAGCGGTAAGTTGCCGCTCCCTTGCGCTGGTCAACGGTCAGTGCTAATGTATCTTTGCAGAGGCTGCCGCCGGCAGTGGATCAACATCCGTTGCTCCTACCTCCGCTGCTCCCACCAGCGCCGCCCCAACAAGCGCCGCCCCCACCAGTGTCGCCTCGTCTACTCCTTCTTCTGCTCCCACTGGCGCATGCTCTGCCTTGTACGGCCAGGTAAGCGCAAATTTGTCTCCACGGGTGTGATATCAAGGGATTATGTACTAACAAGCTCTCACAGTGCGGTGGTCAAGGATGGAATGGCCCAACATGCTGCTCAAGCGGTTCTTGCAAGGTTGGCAACCCATACTACTCGCAATGCTTGTAGGTGTAGTGCTGCGAGGGTGTTTGAGTATATATACTGCTGGTTGGTTCACCATTCTCTTCCAAAAACGCAAGCCCGTTATTTCCAGCGACTTTAGTGTATGGGCCAGTGCAAGTGTGCATTTGCGACCCTACCCAATCAAGCCTTTCACTTCAGGATGATCTGTAGTGGTAGAATTTCTTGGTCAAGACATCATGTGTTATCCACAGCACAGCAAGCAGTGGACACTGTGTGCGCGCATTGATGATTGATTGCTTCATCAGCCGTTCGAGAGACGTCGTAATGCTTATGAACTGTTTCGTGTCAACGCAGCATCCTCCATCTTGGACAGCGATGCCCAATCAGGCTGGAGTGATTCCAAAGCGCTGTCCGTGATTGCAAAACGATGACAAAGCGGAGCCATTGACAATCCACCTCATCCCACTCCGCTGGGACTGTCGTTGCTCACCACACACAATGCTACAATGATTTACAATGCCGACGTGCCTTCGAGAAGGAGCAGTACGGAGAGGGCATACGATGGCGCATGAAGTGATGTGTACATAAATAACGGTGAGTGCTGTTCGAAGCTGAGGTTTTCTCCCATCATCACATCGTCTCGCCCCAATTCACTGCCTTGCCACAACATCTCATCTTCCATCAACAAATTCCGGAGCTCTCAATACGAAATGGCACCAACACAGTTCCTGATCACTGGCGCGGCTGGCTATATCGGAGGTGAGATAAGATTACAATGGTTGCCACAAGCATCAAACAATTAACACACGCACAGGGACTGTACTTACCGATCTCCTCAAGAAATACGATGCTTCGTCCGTCAGCGTAGTTGTTCGCAAGCCCGAACAGCGTGAGCTCTTCGAGGGGCTCGGCGTGAACATCGTCCTGAGCGACATGAGCGATGCCACCAAGCTCAAGTCCCTAGCACTTGAGCACGATGTTGTCTTCAACTATGCAGTCGCATTCGGTGGTGACGAAGCAAGCATTCAGGCTTTGGTAGATGGCCTTGAAGAGCGTGCGGCGAAGACCGGTACCAAGCCTGTGTACATCCATACCGGTGGTACTGGCACAGTAATGTATGGCGCGGATGGCAAGGCTGGGACAGATGAATGGACGGTAAGCGTTTTCCGCTTGAGATCTACAATTGTCGTCCTAATGATTCCATACAGGACGAGCAGTATGATCGCTGGGCTTCTCTGCCGAATACTGCGTTCTTCTACGGAGGCTACAAGATGATCGTACATCATCACTCAGCTGGAGTTGGCAACGAGAAAGGGCTAATATGTCAATCAAACCAGTGTCGCAGCAGCTGCACTGAAGGGCAAGATCTCGGCATACACTATCCTGTCTCCCACAGTCTATGGCCGTGGTACCGGGCCAGGCAACAGTCAGTACTCGATACTTCGCTCCACACTGGGCAACACTGATGTGATACTTCCAGAGCTTTCCCTACAGCTTCCAGCTTACACTCGGTACGCAAAGGAGCACGGCCAAGCTGCGTACATTGGAGAAGGCAAGAACATATGGGGCAACGTAAGTAGTGTCCTCGACGTACTACCGGCAAGTGCGCACTGACATTCGGATAGGTCCACATAGAAGACCTGTGCGAGCTCTCAATCAGCGTCGCCCAGTATGCTCTTGCCAACCCGGACAAAACCACAGCTTCTGAAGAGTGGCACGGGTTTGAGACATTGATCTACTCTGGTGTCGACACACACACCTGGGGTCCAGTGATCGAGACGCTAGGTGACTTGCTACACGCCCGTGGCGATATCAGCAAGCCTTCTGCGAAACAGATCGGTGAAGGAGAGGGTATTCTGTATATGTTCGGTGGGAACTCGTGGCTGGCGAAGAGCAAGAAGGCCGAAGCGCTGGGGTATAAGCCAAAGCAGAAGGATCTGATCACTTCGATGAAGGATGCTCTCGTGACCAAATGAGCGGAGCTGTCGGGTAACTGTGTGACAGCATAGCTATACGGTCGCGATCATTCAAACTAGGATGTGAATTGCTGGGACACTCACTTCTCGTCGTCCAATTGCTTACAGATGGTGTATGTGCACTTCCGGGCGACATCCGGTCCGGTCGCTGGTATTCGGGCATCATAGACTGCAGGAGCTCGCGAGGACGGGGACGAAATCGAGTGGGAAATTCTGTTAACACTTGTGCAGGACTACGTTGGCTGTATGGCTAGCAGGTCTCACTCTCGATCAAGTCTCCGACCTCATGGCCTCTGTCGGCCTTCCAGAGGACTCTTTTGAAGATCGTATCTCTTCGCACGAGGCATGCAGTGATCATCAGCCGTGGACACCAGCGAAGGCTGCACAGTACTTGACGGCCGTCAATGGCCTGATCCCGAAACCTATTTTGTGATGCTGCTGATCAGGGCGATATCCGACACGGCGGCCGCGCGATAACGTGCATGGTCGGCTCCACATACTGCGGGGTTCGAGTCGAACAAATCTTGCCTGCCGTATGAGAGCTGGGCAAGACTCTGACGTGCAACACGGCGGTGACTGTTGTCCTGTTGACCTCTGCAGGACTCTAGCGGTCGTGCTTGCGTGGACAAACAGTGACCGGGCCTGAAGTCGTGATGCATAACGTTCCGTGCCAAACGAGGAAAAGACTGAAGAGTGGATGGACATGGCCTGCTTGAGGTATATTCGGACGAAGCAGTCCAGAAGACGTGCGACATGCTTCTTACAAGGACGAGACTTTACCAAACTCTTCTTTGAGCTCCGAACTTCATATCAATCCACACCAGCATCACTATGTATCGGACTCTGCCGATAGTAGCTGCACTGGTTAACTCCGTAGTCGCCTTCAGCGATGGCGTTGGAAAACTCCCGGCGCTGGGCTATGACACCTTCAATGCCTTTGGCTGTGACTATAATGCTACTGGCGTCGCTGCGCAGGCTGAAATCATGCAGAAATCTGGATTAGTGAATGCTGGATACAACATTCTCATTCTCGATGACTGCTACGCCCTCAAGCAGCGTAACGCCACTGGACATATGGTCGCAGATCCCAACAAATTTCCCACTGGTCTACCAGCCTTCTCCGCGCAGATCAACAAGTTTGGGATGAGCCTTGCTGCGTACGGAGACAATGGCTATGAGACCTGTGCCGGATACCCTGGATCTTACGGTCGAGAACTCCAGGACTTGCAGACATGGCATTCGTGGGGTATGAAATATTTGAAGTATGATAACTGCTGTGAGATAATATTGCGTCCACTATGCTTCGTCCGATCTTACTAACAGTGCTTCCAAAGACATTCCGGCCGATAACATCACCCAACAGAATATGCTTGGTCGGTATGAGCGCATGTCAAACGCCATTGCAGAGTTTGCAGCACAGACAGGCTGCACATTTGAATTTTCTCTATGCGAATGGGGCTGGCAGCAGCCTTGGATATGGGGCCGTAGGATTGCACAAGCTTGGCGTATCGACGGCGACATCAAGCCTTACTGGGATGCACTCGCCGCCATCATCAACCAAGCTTCGTTCCAATACTGGGCCACCGACTTCTACAGCCACAACGACATGGACATCCTCGAAGTAGGGAATACCGGACTCGGAACACCGCCTGGAAATCTGACATACGCTGAAGCAAAAAGTCACTTCACGGCCTGGGCGTTGTTCAAGTCTCCCTTGATAATTGGTACTGATTTGACAAAAGCGACGAACCAGACACTCGAGATATTGGGAAACAAAGATCTGATCAAGATCAACCAGGATCCCAATGTGGGCCAAAGTATCAGCCCGTTCCGCTGGGGTGTCAACCCGGACTTTTCCTCCAACGCTTCTCACCCTGCTGAATACTGGTCAGGAAACTCTAGCTACGGGGTTGTGTTCATGATCCTGAATAGTCAAGACACTACACAGCAGATGTTCTTCAACCTTACGGAAAGCTGGGCAATCCGTGCTGGCCGACAGTATTCAGTCTACGACATGTGGGAGCACAACAACACCGGTGTTGCTGTCAGGTGAGTGGCAGAGCATTCAATAATGCGGCGAATGCACTGACTGTGTCTGCTCTAGGAACATGACCTTCGCACTTCCGGCTCACGGCGTTGCAGCACTTCTGTTGAATGATGCCGGCCCCGAGCCTACGAGCCTGGATGGATCCTGCGCAGTCTACTACCAGTGCTCTGTAAGGCTGTTCATGACGCTCGTACCACTCCAAGCTAATGTTCCAAACAGCTCCCCAACGGGACATACATCTCGAACTAAGGTTTCAGAACCACACGTATGTGACCACTGTGGGCAGCTACATGATATTACTTCCATTGCAGCCTTCACTTACCCGAGGGATGGTCAAATGCGAGCGGCCGATTGACAGAAGATTAGGTGGGATTCCTCGTAATCGTACGGCTTCATCTGTCTGTATAGCTATAGTTCAAGAGCGAGCAACCTCATGATCAGATCATTTCCCGCTTGAGACGTCGATCCTCCAACTGTGGGCATCATAGTGTGCTTCTCTCTTCTCTGCACATCTTTTCGGTATCATCAGCTACTTCTTACGACGTGGGAGCTTAACAAATGAACCACTACGACGCGAGCTCCCACCTCTCAATAGGCCTCCAGAAGGGGTATAGTGGTGAGTAAGTTGACAAGCAACGAATGAGCTCATGTCCTGGCCAGAATCCCAATAGCGTGAACATATCACGTCACGCTGTCTTGTCGGGGGTCACTGCGATCAGTGATCTTGGCTTGAGTGAACACCGGTAGGACCGTCGTGGGCAAGCCCACCGCCGTGATGATGGGCCAGTCCTCTGTTCTGCGATGGCCGTTGCCGCCAGCGACATCAACCGTGTTGGCAGCTTGCAGTAGGACTTCGGCTGGCCTGCTGGGGTTTCTGCAGTCGCTTGCGTTGTATGAGATTGACTCGTCTAGCGGTGTTATGGGGGAGTAGCAGTACTAGAGTGAGGAAGCAGGGATGTGCTTGTACCAGCTCTTAACTGGAATGGTATCATGAATGCTGTCGCTGGAGGTCCACTCATGTAGTGGAGGCTCGTTGACTGCGCCACATTGAATACATGGATGGCTCATGTCATGCTCGCGACTACCTCTAGTGTCGCGTGTAGTGTACTCTCATCATATACGGCTTGTGAGGATGCCTCACAAAGTCAGCGCAAGCTCCGCCTCAAAGATGAGGCTGGCAAGGCTGTTGTTCGCAAGGCAGAACCTCAGCAATTGCTACATTCACTTTTGGCGACTTCCATCAACACATCGTCACTTGTATGTTATTATATTCCATCTTCTTCTGAGTGATACATACCAAGACACACCCATCTTTGCAAAGCCACGCTCAATTTTAAGCACCAGAACCAACAACAGAGTTGAAGGCCATATTCCTAATTCTAGCCTTGCCGTCGACAATACAAGCATCTTCACACTAGACAGGCTTGCAGTCCTTGGTGAGTGACACGCTGGATACGTGATCTTCTGTCGCAACCCGCCACTTTTGTATGGGTCACTGGAAGAAGGCGAACACTCTAGCAACGACATATCGCTTCAGTGTCTAGCTTCGCGCGGAGGGAGGAGGTGCTGTGACAGAGCATACGAGTATGCCTGCCCGTAAGAGCACAGCCGCGCTCGTCTACCATGAGCAGACTCAAAGCCGACTCTTCCAACTACCTCGCGAGCTACGAGATCAAGTATGGCAATATGCATTTGCCGAAGTCAGCCAAACACCACACCTACACATCTACGACCGTATCTTTGACAGCTGCATCGACGACCCACGAGATATCTCACGAAGCCACATTGAGCAGCGCAAATCAGCTCCCAACACAGCTGTTCTACGCTCATGTCGCCGAATTCACGACGAGGTGATAAAGCTGATCTACGAGACACCGCATTTTGAGCTGGTGGTCTTCCCAGGTCGTGCTCGACCTGAATACATAGATCACTTTGACACTTCGATGCGTAGGACTACTATCGTTGCACATAATCTTAGGGACCGAAACTGCATTGGGGAGCTTGCCAAATGCACAATGCTACGGCGCATCAAGCACGCTACCATTATACTACAGCCTGGACGACACACTGATATCGAGAGGTACCGCGAACGACTGGCGAGCTTCTTAGCTGCGATCGAGAACGGCAAACACTTCGAGACTCTCTGCATCAGTCTCTGTCCGCGCATGGCAAGGATGAGTCTCGATGGCGAGGATTTGAAACACTGTCTCGAAGTCCTGCGACCACTCAACCAAGCAGCGGCCACGGCGTCGAGCTTCACTATTCTTCCCTACGAGCATCATTGGACATTCTCGCTCTGGACGATACCAGGCCCGATCTCAGGCTTGCTGCAACAAGTGCTACCAGATGCCACAGTGGAGCCGCAAGGCACCTATCGCGATAAGATCATGCGAGATGAGTGTTATACTTATGGTCTCTTTCGCGTTCGATATTGGAACATGCCACCAGCGCCGCTTCCCAGTCAGGCGACTAGTCACCCGCATTTGCGAGATGTCACTCGCAAGTGCCGGAAAGTGTTGCTCTACTCAACGCTCTCTCTATTCTCACCACTGATTGCTGTAATACTGGTAGCGGACGAGATGTATCATCGGAAGAAGAAGGGCCAGAGAGTGTTCCGCTGAGGCACAAGGCGATCCTGGCGATGTAAGAGATAGGCCACTGGAAGTAGAGGGTCGATTTATCGGTATTGATCGCTTTGCGTAGGAGGGTCCTGGTCTTTTGCAGTGGCTACGACAGATGTATGGCAGTGATGGCAACAAGATGCGTGCATGCTCTGACCTTCGCGTTAGCAAATTGGGAAGTCGAGATACAAAGATGCGTACATGTGTGTGGAGGGAGATACTTTGTGCCACCAAACGTACCTTCCTTCTGGACTTCCTTGTCAACCTTATCCCGCAGACTCATACCCAAGGCTTGAGAATGACATTCTTTCGTAGCCAGCCCAAGAATGTCGTCGGCCACGGAGGTGGTCAAGGATTATGCAATATGCTCGCCCTACCACCAAAGGCTCGGGAGAACTCTGCTCAACCAACCATTGCTCAGCCATCAGTAACGATCATCGGCCACATTTCCAAGACTAAGACTAAGCCTACGATTCGTGCACCTACAGAGCGGCTATTCAGCGCGTGATCCCAAAAGCGTGATCCCAAAAAAGACCGCTCACTGTTCAAGACTCTCACTGCTCAAGACGGGTTGTAGGATCTACCAGAAACCATGCAGTCGCTGTATGATGAGCAGTGCTTCGAGCATTGTAGGTGCCGGATATGCTAGAACTTTGGTTATGATGAGCTGGTATGTCGAGCTGCTTCGAAGAGAGAAGTACGCACCCATTGTTGCTAAGGACAAACATGGGCATGGCTATACAGCATAGAGTTGGCAGAATCAGAGGGCAGGCGTGTTTGATAGTGGTTGCCGACCTGATGCGGGCCTCGGGTGGCGCTCACACTAGAGACTGCTCGCGGCGTAAAAGTCACAAATCTCCTTCATCATTGTCCATTTCTTCGATAATCTCCTGTTGAAAAACATACTCTCGCCATGATCCATACCACTCCACAAAATAGCCACAACGTGAGCGGGATGGAGTGATCCGTTGTCAAGAAAGGCATCGCCCCGCTCGTATATATGCGTGTTCCTCGGAACTCTGCTTGCTGCCCGCACTGCTACTGTAACGTCAAGGATCGTTCGCGACTTCGTCATTGTCCGACTCGAGTAATGAGTGTGCACGATGAAAAAGTATAAGGGTAGATGTTGCGAGGTAGCCAAGCGTTCACATCCTTCGTGTTACCGCACAAGATGGGTCTGTATTCTGCATTACTGGCTATAACTGCCGTCTTTCCTCTCACATCTGCCCAGAATGTCGTTAGCCTCGTTGGCAATGACTGGACACTTTCTAATGATCTCCTGAACGTGTCTGTACCAGCTCATCTGCCGTCTCAGGCGCATCTTGATCTGTTCGCCAATCAGGTCATAGGTGATCGTGAGTCAGACCCCACGCTCTGCTTAAGACAAAGCAGTGCTAACGGTAGCTTTAGCATACTATGGCTTGAATGATTTCAACCTTCGCTGGGTTGTTTGGTCAAACTGGACATACACATCGGCACCCATCTCCGGTCTATCGAGCAATGGATCCAGCACCTGGCTGCTCTTCAACGGACTAGACACCTTCGCCTCTATTGAGTTCTGTGGACTGCATGTCGCAAGCACTAACAACCAATTCCGACAATACTGGTTCGATGTTTCTTCGATTCTGAACTCCTGCGATGAAGCCGATAGGCAGATCTCCATCAATTTCGGCTCCGCACCTCTGATCGCAAACGATATCGCAAGTCAGCCAGGTCAGGAGACTTGGCCCGCCGGAGTTCAGCAAGTCTTCGAGTTCACGAATCGATGGTTCATTCGCAAGGAGCAGTCGGACTTTGGCTGGGACTGGGGTCCAGCTTTTGCGCCTGCTGGCCCATGGCAGCCTGCATGGGTTGTGCAGCTCGACAACAACGAGGTCTACGTCCGCAACAGCATCGTCGACATATACCGAGAGGGTCAAATGCCGCTTGTGCAGCCAGATCAGAGCAAGGATTGGGTTGTGAACGCAAGCATCGACTACTTTGGTGAACTGCCTGCGGGTGCTACATTGTCTTATACCTTGACGGATCTGGAGAACACCACGATATCCATCGGTGGCTTGAGTAATGTCAACTGTACAGATAGCACAGTCACCGGTGAGACCATGATTCCAGCATCAATGGTCGATCTCTGGTGGCCATCTCAGCTTGGCCCGCAAACATTATACTACATGAGCATCAATCTGGTCTCTACTTCGAACAAAACCCTGGCTGCTGTGACCAAGCGTGTAGGGTTTCGCACGATCGTGCTGAACGAGGACCCAATCTCGGATGTCCAGCTGGCTCAAGGTATTGCTCCAGGGAACAACTGGCACTTTGAGATCAACGGCTACGAATTTTACGCCAAAGGCAGCAACTTCATTCCTCCGGATGCTTTCTGGGCGAGGGTCACCCCTGAGAGGATCAGTCAGCTCTTTGACTCTGTCATTGATGGAAATCAAAACATGCTGAGAGTGTGGGCCAGTGGCGCTTATTCTCCGGACTTTATGTATGATCTTGCAGGTGAGTATCGCGCTTCCATCTTGTTTCTAATGGCTGCTTACCAACTTTACGTAGACGAGAAGGGGATTCTCCTGTGGTCAGAATTCGAGTTTGGCGACGCCTTGTACCCTGTGGATGAGGCCTTTCTGGACAACGTTCGAGAGGAAGCAGAATACAACGTGCGACGTGTCAATCACCATCCTTCCTTGGCCTTGTGGGCCGGTGGGAATGAGTTGGAGAATCTAGGTATGAGACATTTTGATATGAAACCAGCCAATTCACTGACCATTTTGATGCAGAACTATCTCTGGTCAACCAGTCTGCACCGGATCAGCTCGCAAAGTATACTGCTCAGTACGAAACTTTGTTCCTCGACACACTGCTGCCTGCCGTGTTCGGCAGTTCGCATTCGATCTCGTATGCACCCAGTAGCACAAGCAATGGCTGGCAGTCGCTCGACTTTCGCAAGGCCATTCCGATCACCGAGCGCTACAACAATCTTACCGCTGGGTAAGGACTCAAACAAGAGCATTGTCCGACCACAACTAATGCCTTTTAGATCTATTTACGGAGAGACAGATTTGTATGCCTCCCTCGTGGAATGTGCCATGAGATTCAGAGACTGATCTTAGAGCAGCTATAATTACGACCCTGCAGTCTTGTACAACGACTCAGCTCTGCCCATCGGCCGCTTCTCGAATGAATTCGGCTTCCACTCCATGCCATCGGTTCAAAGCTGGCGGCAGCAGATCTCGGAAGCAGATCTGAGCTTCAACAGCACCGTGGTTACTCTCCGCGACCACCACCCTCCACCTGGTGGATTGAACGCCAGCAACTTTGCGAACGCTTCAATCGGCCAGGCTCAGATGACTGAAGCCGTAGAGCTGTGGTACCCAGTCCCAAACAAGACTGACAGTGTAGCCAACTTCTCCGCGTGGTGTCATGCTACTCAGATCTTTCAGGCAGACCTCTATACATTTGAGATTGAGTTCTATCGTCGAGGATCTGGATTGCCTGAACGCCAGCTCGGAAGTCTGTACTGGTACGTTCAATAAAGTTATCCTACCTGCATCTGCTATCTCCACTGACGCATTGACGTAGGCAGCTAGAGGACATTTGGGTAGCTCCGGTAAGATCATCAACGGGCAGTCAATCCATGCTGATGATCGCAAACTGACTATTGATCGCAGACGTGGGCTGGCCTCGAATATGATGGCCGCTGGAAGGTACTGCACTACGCTGCCAAGGATATCTACGAGCATGTCATCGTTGCACCATACTACAACATCACCACAGGCAATCTGAGTGTCTGGGTGACTTCTGACCTATGGTCACCGATAAGTGGCAAAGCAACTTTCGCGTGGTACGACTGGAATGGTGACAAACTCGATATCAACATGACCGCATCGACGAACTTCAAGGTCGGTGCCATCAACTCTACACAAGTCTTACAGGCCTTTACGACGGAGGCACTGGCTGGAAAAGACATGACCAACGCCGTCCTCCATATGACAGTCGAAGCAGAAGGCTCATTACCCAACGACAACCAGACCCGCACTTTCAAGCACGAGAACTGGCTTCATCCCACAGCGCTGAAGAACGCTCAACTCGTTGATCCTGGTCTGCAACTCAGCTACTCGAACAGCACGAAGAACTTCACGATTGAAGCCACAAGTGGTGTAGCGGCCTGGGTCTGGCTGGATTATCCTGCTGGAGCGGTAGTCAATTTCGACAGCAATGCTTTCTGGTTGTTGTCGAATCAGACAAGGGAGGTCAGCTATAATGTCAAGAGCGATACCACGAATGGTGGGTGGATTGAGGGAGTCACTGTACAGAGTCTTTGGAACCAGACTTTGTCGACATAGAGTCATAGTATTGAAGCTACTTCAGCTCCATCGGGTTGGGAGTGCAGCAATGACATCTGATCGTGTAAGAATATGCATATAGAGGCATCCAAGTATCGTAGGACGTAGATATGGAAGCGGGATAGAAGTATTCCAGAAGATCATTCTCTCAAACAGAGATAGTCGACTGGGGTAGATTCGCAAGGATGTGATCTGCGTCCATGGGATGTTCTCTCTCCAAAAGCTATATTTACGGCATGTGAACCATAACTCAGATAAGCTGGCGGTGGATGCAGAAGCTACAGCTTGAGTAGCTTGCACCTGCATAAGAGCTTCAATCGCTTGATTCACGTGCCTGATTAGTGACTACGTCAACTTTTGATGTTGGGCATCGATGCCCAGATATCATACGTACAAAAAGGCACGAAATCCAAGCTCTCTTCCCATGATTGTTCGATACACATATGACCGCGGTAGCTTGACAATGCAGTTCTAATTCGCGCTCTGAGAATCGCAACGCCACCGCCGGAACTCACGATGACAGAACAAACGATCAAAACAAGAATCTTGATCATAAGCGATACCCACTGTGCACCTCTCAAGCCGAAGAATAGCGACTCGCCACCACCCTTTGCGGCACCATTGCCAGCAGCCGACATCCTAATCCATTGTGGCGATCTCACTCATACAGGCCAAGCAGGACAGTACAACCAAGCCCTAGACATGCTCAAGGAGATCCAAGCACCTGTCAAACTAGTGATAGCAGGGAACCACGATCTCACCCTGGACAAGGAATTCATGCTCAACCGCCAAGACCTGGACGGACGATTGGGTGAGGGAATGACGGCAGAGAAAGCCGCCGCTGCATGTCAGAAAGCGAGAGATCTATGGACTGCTCCAGACGGCAGAGCGAAAGAAGAAGGCATCACCTTCCTAGACGAAGGACTCCACCAAATCACCCTACCAAACGGAGCACGCCTCCACCTCTACGCCAGCCCCTACACGCCCGAATTCTACGACTGGGGCTTCCCATACGACCGAGACACCGACCGCTTCAACCCCACCGACAACACCCTCACAGATGCGAAGAAAGCAGTACAGAACCCCGTACCAGCCTACAGCACCTCGGACCTACCAATCGACATCCTACTAACCCACGGCCCACCCTACGGCCAAGGCGACCAGACCGATCGAGGGGATTACGCAGGATGTCCGCACCTCCTGCTTGCTCTAATGCGCTCTCGACCACTGCTGCACTGCTACGGCCACATACACGAAGGCTGGGGCGCGCAGAAGATCCGTTGGTCAGAGCGTGTAGACGAAGTCGTGGCGACACCGACGACGATCGAAGATTGGAAGAACGGGGTCTGGCAGGCGGGTATAGCTAATAATGGCCTTGAGAGCGTGTCGGTGAATGAGGAGAAGACGCTGCAGCGACGTGCGGCGTTTCTGGATGTTTCGCGGGATGGGGGGTTGTTGAGACGAGGGAGGGAGACGGCGTTGGTGAATGCGGCCATTATGGATGTCAAGTACCGGCCTGTCAATGCGCCGTGGTTGGTTGATATCGAGTTGCCCAAAGCTAGCTGAAATGCAGAGGCGGTCGGGGCAGTTCTCCACAGTCTGTATTGGAGATCAAGCGGTAGTGTTGAGGTATGCTAAGACATGCGTACACATGTCCCAACAGCAGCAACGTCTAACCACGCACTATCGTCGCCGCAAACCCAAACATGCCCCTACTAGATCTCTGCTTCAGCGGCATGTTCACAGGAATCCCACACGCAATAACCTCGTTATCAGACAACCTTTCCCCCTTCGGCCAAGGACAAATCCGAGTGCGTACATGACCAAGCTTATAGACTCCCTGCAGCGCACCACCTGGAAGACAATGGCATAATTTCATCAACTTCATCACATCATCCCGATGCACGACGGGTAAGTCCTGCATTCGCCCTGGACCCTTGCAGTCACAAGCGGAGATGCGTATTGTAGGAGTGTGATAGCAGTCAGATGGTCCGGATCTGTTACGAGTGCAGCCGCGTTTAATGAATAAAGAGGTCACGGCGGGCTCGCACGACGGGCATAGGCGATTGGTGGATGCGAGATTTGCGGCCCATTCGCCCTTGCGGAAGGGGTAGATGGAGGCAGTCCGTGCCATTTGAGCGAAGAGTGTGAGACTTCGTCTGGCGAGCGCATCACGAAGCTCGAGGCGGAAGAGGCGGCAGCTTGGTTGTATGGTAGCTGCTGGAGACGTCAGGTCGATGGAGTCGAGGTTGAATTTCTCTATCCTCAGATTGGCGATGAGGAGGTCGTAGATCTCGTCTCGGAGCTCGCGTGGTAGTGAGGTGAAGTATGGTGACTGCAATTGTTCGTGTGGAGGCGTGTGAGCTGGATTTTGGCCGTGGGTGCTGGTGGACATGATCACGACAGGCTGGGAGTAAGTTCTACAGTATGAGTGTGCTGCATCACAATGTTATAGCTCTTTGAGATGGTAAGCTGGCCATGTTGAGGGACTCGTGGGATGCAAACCGAATTATTGCCTGATGGCTCTAGGCAGCTTAATTCGAGAGGCAGGAGATTGAGGCAGCATCATTATTGTCTTCCTACCTAACATTCATCGCACCTCCAAGATCCAGGTACAGTACGTTCATACATACTGATAGAACAATTTGTATTCAGGGTGTATGATCTTGCTGAGACGCATGGAAATCTCGGAGTGATCTCGTAAGAGTGAATATGATGTGGTGTGGCAAGAATTAATACCAAGGAAGGTGTTGCGCAATGCACCACTATCCGGCCTTTCCGCCTTGAGCTTGGCGACGAGGTCAGCGGTGACTGCAGGTCGTTGTGGATAATGCGTATTATTGCTCAACTGCTTGGAGGTGAAGTAGAGCCAAGTCGATGGACTTCTTGTTAGTTATCCGATTGATGGTTCTTATGGAAGAGTGCCTTGCTCGTGTTGATAAGAGTATCTATCCCCAGCCGGCTGAAAATAGGCTAAGGCGCTAACATACTGGGCGCTCCAAGACATTGACAACCTCAGCGTGGGAGGCGCAGCACTGTCTTTCGTAATATACACTTTGCATATATCATCTCTTATTATTATTGTTATCGATCGCTGTACACACTCCTTCCCGGTCACCAGGGAATACACGATCCTGGACTCACATATCGATCCACCATACCCACCATACCATCACCAGCTTGGTCTATTGCATGGAAATACAGACTATTGCAACAAAACTATCTTGAGAAGGGAGAATGACGCGGCTCCCCTTCCAACTACTCTCGCTTGCGGCATCAATACTGGTAACGCAAGCCTGGGCGAGCTCGACCATACGCAACCCGATCGCAACTTTCTCGACAGTACAGAATGCCACGATTCTCACAAACAACCACCGCGTGACTGCTCTATCAGACTTCGATCTCACCTTCAACATCCAGAACGATCTACATGTGAGATTACGGCTGGAACCGAACCATGACATAATAGCGGAGGATGCGACGATAACTTACTTGGGCGCAGATGGCACCGTCAGGCATACGGAAAGTGTGGATAGGTCGGCGCACAAGGTGTTCAGGGGTACGGCATGGATACAGAGACCGAGTATAGGGCAACATCAGTGGCAGAATGTAGGCTGGGCGAGAGTCACGATTAACAAGGACGGCAAGACACCGGAATTTGAAGGAGCATTCTCCGTCCACCACGACAGCCACCATATCCAGAGCTCGATCAACTATGCACGAACACGACATACTCTGGACCCGGAAGTTGAGGAGTTGAAGGATGGCGCAGAGTACATGGTGGTGTGGCGAGACTCGGACATACTCTCCTCAGCCGCCCAGCTGAAGCACCAGGACCTGCGAAGGAGTAAGCTGGACGAAGATGTGCCGCAGTGCCAAGCAGATGGCTTGAGTTTTAACCTCCAGCCAGACCATCCAGTCTACCTGGGCATGGCTAAGCGTGATGCCAACTCGTTGGGTGCCATGGACTTTAGCCACCTCTTCGGCAAGCGACAGATTGACAGCACGACAGGCGGTAATAGTGGTGGTGTCAACCTTGTGAGCACGATAGGCAACACTCAAGGATGTCCCACGACGCGTAAAGTCGCTCTCGTGGGTGTGGCAACAGACTGCACTTATACAAACTCCTTCAACTCCACCGAGACAGTGAGGTCGAACGTCATCAACCAAATGAACACCGCCTCGCAACTCTACGAGCAAACGTTCAACATCTCCCTCGGCTTGCAGAACCTAACAGTATCAGACGCGAGCTGCCCAGGTACACCAGCCCAAGCAACACAATGGAATCAAGCCTGCAGCGACAGTGTAGACATCCAAGCCCGTCTGAACTATTTCTCCGCCTGGCGTGGTCAGCAGCAGGACAGCAACAGCCACTGGACTCTGCTCAGCACCTGCAACACTGGGTCCGCCGTCGGCCTCGCCTGGCTAGGTCAGGCATGTGTCCAGAGCGCAATGACGGCCAACACGAGCACCACAGGCAACGGCCAGTCATCCGGCAGTACTGGCTCCGAAACTGTGGCCGGCGCCAATGTAGTGATCCGTACCCAAGGAGCCAACGAATGGCAGATCATATCCCATGAGACGGGTCACACTTTCGGTGCCGTGCACGACTGTACATCACAAACCTGCGCACAGTCGAATATCGTCAACTCTCAGCAGTGCTGTCCTCTAAGTAGCAGCGTCTGCGATGCCGGACAGCAGTATATAATGAACCCCTCAACCAGCCAGGGAATAAATAAATTCAGCATGTGCTCCATCGGCAACATCTGCAGTGCCATGGGCAGGCAATCAGTCAAGACGAGTTGCTTCTCCGACAACAAACAAGTCAGCACCATTAGCGGCCAACAATGCGGGAATGGGATAGTCGAGACAGGCGAAGACTGCGACTGCGGCGGCACCGAAGGCTGCGGCGACAACAGCTGCTGCGAGCCCACGACCTGCAAATTCAAATCCACCGCCGTTTGCGATGATTCAAACGAAGACTGCTGCAGGAGTTGCCAATTCGCCACAAACGGTACCGTCTGCCGCTCCAGCACCGGCTCCTGCGATCCGCAAGAGACGTGCTCGGGGACGAGTCCGACGTGTCCTTCGGATGTTAATGCGCCGGATGGGTCGAGTTGTGGGAATGGCGCGAACATGCAATGTGCGTCCGGCCAATGCACGAGTCGGGATCAGCAGTGCAAGACGGTGATGGGTTCTTACACTCAGGGCAACGATACTTATGCTTGTGATTCCTCCGGGTGTGCGATCAGTTGTGCTAGTCCCGAGTTCGGTACGGGTGTTTGCTATGGATTGCAACAGAATTTCCTGGACGGCACGGTCTGTGGCGGAGGCGGACATTGTTTGAACGTAAGTCTTACCCACCCCTTCCTCACCCTAACCCTTCCTACAAAACACATGACTGACCATCCTTCGATAACAGGGCCAATGCAAAGGCAGCACAGTAGGCGGCCAAGTGAAATCCTGGATCGACGACCACAAACCCTTAGTCATCGGCCTCGCCGTCTCCCTCGGCGCACTCCTCCTCTTCGCCCTCTTCGGCTGCTGCATCAGCGCCTGTCGCCGCAATCGCCGGAATAAGAAAATGTCTTCTTCTGCGCCGCCCATGCCGCCGCCGGGTGGGTGGCAAGGGTGGCAGAGTCGGGGTGGGCCTCAGATGCAGCAGCAGCAGCGTTATGGTCCTGGTGCTGGGGCGCCGAGTCAAGGGTGGTTTGATCGGGGTGGTGGGCGAGGAGGTGGTGGAGGAGGAGGAGGATGGGGACCGCCGCCGCCGGCACCGGCTTATGCGCCTAGGGGGAATAGTAATGTGCGGTATGCTTAGTCTTTCTTACAGGCGCCGGTTATAGGGTAGTATGACTGGATAAATGGGCTGGATATATGGGATGGCTGGCAGGCATTGTACGACAGGATTATGATCGCATCTGGGCTGGCGTCTAGATATACGCTTGATACCAAGTGGGCGACCGATTGGCTTTTGAGGTTATGAGGTATTACCTAGGTGTAGATAGCGGTCTTGCATACGTGCATGAGACATAGAGATCACAGCTTCGACATGATAACTTTCCATGACAACTTTTCGCAATCCGTAGAACGGTAACAAGTAGTTTCATGGCGCCGAAGACAGATCTACGATGTTTCCTAGTGCTTATACGAGTGATCGCCGCATACCATCTCTCCACACGCCACGGCGATAATGACTGCTCGAATGCTCGTAGACCGGCTGCACATATGATACTCCACCCGCACGCAGCTAGAGGTGAAGGAGGCAAAAGAAACTCTTCATCTGCTCTCAGCTACTGGTAGGAGGCAGGAAGGAATAAAGATCTGTGGGATCCTCTTTTCGCTAGAGCTAGTCATCCAGCACGTGGCAAAGTCCACTGCACGAACCATAAAAATCGGAGCATGTAGTGAGAGGATACCACGCTAGGCTCAGACACATCACCAAGCCCCCGTCAAGGTGATCACAGCGTTCAGGATCTTTCCTCCGAACCACCCGCACCCACATCCAGGCTTTGGTCCGGACTCTGGTAATCCACGCTTGCCAACAGCAGAATGCCCTCTTCGACCTGAGCAACGCCGAACGGCCCCAGTAGGGGTACACATCGCATCCACCAAGCCAGCCACGCATCACCACTCATAACAGTCTCCCCAAAACGCCGCAATGTCAGCCTACGGACCATAGCCAGAAACGCGGCCAGCCCGTGTGAACCAACGTAGACATCCGTGTGTCAACCCACCATGGCAAACGTGGAGCCGGACCAACAGCTGCAGAGCGCAAAGAGATTCTCCGAGGCATCTCACGACGTCACGGTACTGCAGGTACGTATACACTGGCAGTGCGCGAAGTCTTCCGAGTCGCTACAAGGTACGAGATCGAGGCGCAGAGACGGAGGGAACGAGTTAACGGTATTGCAAAAGTTTCGAACGAAGAGAGGGGCTGGCGATCGCGTTCTCGAAATCCCGCTGCGGAGAGACTGGGTGCGCATACTGTGGCGGAAAGTTGGGTGTTGCATGGGTATGATAGCAGGGAGCGTCGTGAGCTCCGCTATTTGATTGGACCAAGTGCCTTCACGGCAGATTCGTCGATCTCGGAGCGGTGTGGTGAGGTTCGTGGGAGGTGGTAGAGATGAGCGTAGAGATAGCTAGTGCCTCGAATGAGTGGAGATGTTAAACCACGACGGGCAGGCTACTAGCTCGTTCCAGCGTGAGGGTCGTGTAATTCAGCGTCGTTCCAGAGTACCTGGAGGGCTGGCGCTGGGGCTCCACAGCCAAGAACGAACCCAAATGGAGACGGTCCTACGCACCCCGTCGCATGTCGAGTCATTGATTTAATTAGCAACCCTCGTCGCATTCGTCCGCCCAGTCTGCTTCTCCAACACCCCGCCACCCAGGACTCCTATCAGCGCCCCTCCAATGACACCCCATAGACCCTTTCCTTTGGAAGCCTGCCCTCCCAGATACGCACTAGCAGCGCCACCTATCAACGCAGCATCCAGTCCACGATCACTCTCCTGTGAGATCTCAAATCCAGGTCCCGGTGGTCTTGGCTTACGAGTCTTCACAGGGTGCGCTTCAGCTTTGCGGCATTCAACAAGATTCGGCCATTTCCCAGGGTACGTCTCAAGCTGCCGCTCCTTCTCATCATCCACCATTCGCTTCACCCGATCATATTCCCGCATCCCTTGCCGACCCGCTTTAAAACCGTCCCAGATTGCTTTCCAGTCGTCGAAGTCGAGCAGCTTTGTCCGCTTTTCTCGTTCAACCAGTCTAGGTCGATCCATGGGGTCAGTGGCAAGTCAGACCTCAGCTTGCTTGTCTTGTTCATCGAGCTCCTCTCGCGCTTTGTTGGCAGGGCGGTCGTGGAATTCTTGGAGCTTTTCGATGGCGAGCTTGACGAGTCCTGCATTCGTGAGCCGTGCGGGCGCTTGCCCGAACTTCGCTGGGGGCTTGAGTGTAGAGCTTCTATGGTGGTCTTCTAGATGGCTTACCTCACCATGTTGGTTGGGTCGAGTCGGCCGTCCGAGCGCTGCAGTTGCGGGGCCGACCTGGTTGTGGTCTTCAACGGGCTGTTAAGGACGTGTTGATTTGCCATAGGAGTGGTCCGGATGGTATTCATGAATGTACTCCGGCTCGAGATGTGGAGCTAGCTTTGCAGGGCGACCAGGTGTAGAATTGGCGTGGTCATCCTCAATGTGAAGTGGCTGGACATGATCCGGGTGCAGTGGCTCGATATGAGTTGAATGCGGTGGCTGACTATGATCCAAATGGGGAGCCTGTACTGGTCGGCCGCCAGGACGTCTTGGCGGTCGTGGTGCTGGAGTACGGCGGCCTTCTGGGAGGGCAGGCAACGGAACGCCTGTGGGGGCCGGGCATATCTTGTCGTTAGAAGAAGATAGATGTGACAAGAAGGAAATGGGGCAATTCTTACCTTGGACACTGAGGACTTCAGCAGATACTACGACTCTTACCGCGTCCCATCCTGGCCCCATGGATGAAATAGTACATGTCGATATGATGTTGCGCCTAATAACATATGGATATATAGAGGCTCGGATTAATGTTTGGCCGAGGACTGGGCACTTCGTCATCAACAACAAGGGCAAGGCAGCTGCGACACACAAGCATACAGTACATCAACACATCTCAGACCAGGTAAACACATAGCTGCATCTGCGAGGGCTCGATAGACGACCACAACCACCCACCACATCCTCCCACCACAACACCACCAAGAAGTAGCACCAATCATGGCCAACCCCCTCGACACCGACGCTGGCAGCGAACTCTTCTCCAACTACGAAGCCGAACTAAACCTGGTGCAAGCCGACCTGACCCAAAGACTCGACTCCATCTCGGCCCTCACCGGCGAGCCACGCAAAGCCGCCATCTCCCAAGCCGAGCGCGCACTAGAAGAAGCCAAAGAATTGCTAGATTCCATGCGTCTAGAGAAACAAAACATTCCCCAAGCGCAAAAGGTGAAAGTGAACCAGCGGTTTCGGAACTATGAAACAGATGTTGATGCTGCGAAGCGGAAATTAGCGGGAATGAGGGATGACAGGAGCGCACTATTCGGGAAACGGTATCGAGATGAGCCGGGCAGTGGTGGAGCAGGCGGAGGGGACGAGCAGGTAGAGCAGCGGCAGCAATTATTGTCGGGCACAGACAGACTAGACAGGAGTTCCGGACGACTGCGAGAGAGCCAGAGGATCGCGCTGGAGACGGAGGATGTAGGCCGGAATACCCTTGCCGATTTGTCGAGGCAGCGGGAGACGATTGAGCATACCCGGGGTACGCTCTTGGAGAGTGAGGGGTATACGGATCGGAGTAATAAGACTTTGAGGGGGATGGCGAGGAGGTGGGTGCCTAATCTTTGGTGAGGATGTGTACGGGTTTGTGATGTGCTAACATCTTCTCTTTTGACAGGATGGCTACGAATAAGATTGTGACGATTGCGATTATCACTGTGCTCGTGGTGTTGATTGTGGCGGTTGTTGTGAGCAAGTTCAGATAAGCTAGAAGTGGCCTTTTGAGGGATGGTGTTTTGTGTCAGGCGTTGAAGCGATGGTTGTGCATGATATGGGATAGTATTTTTTTTGCAGCTGTAGGAGTATGCGCACCACGTTCTCACTCCCTACGAACCACGCATCCACGTCTGATGGCCACCATTGCGTAAAGCAAGGCGAGGGCGCAGGCACAAGACCTAGCACTGATCGACATGAAGCAAGACTTGCGATGGCATGTAATGCAATGATACCTCCCATGCTCACATGGTTCTCTACTTCCCTCCCTTCCCCAGCCCGATCACAAGGACAGTCGTGCTCACGACAAGAAGTTTGCACGCCACACCACACATTCTCCCTCCGCACCGAGACTAAGGAGGAGTCCTCACCATTCCATCCAACGAGCAAACATTTAAAACAATATCATAACGCCAGAAGCGAGCTTCTTGAGACCCCCTGCCTTCCTGACTCTCGCCCTCCCCGGCGATCCTACCAATCCTTATAGCTGAACCCACAATCCCCCTCGACAGCCACGCTCGCGAATCAGTATAACAATACGCCTACCTTGCTGTCTGTCCCTATAGCGCCAGTACCAATCCCAGGCATCCAAAGTCAAAAAACTACTCGTATCCTCGTGCCTCACCACCCAGTACTCGTAACGATGCATTTTACGAGCCCTGTGAACACTAATGTAGAGAAATTCTTCACTTTATGTAGCACAGCCCACGCGTGCGTGTTCGCGCAGTCAGCAAGCAACCGAGCCTCTCGAGATCGTCCGTAGGTAGGATTGTTTTTACGCGCAAGCCAATCACAGCGCAATATTCCCTGCGTACGATGCCGTGATAGCAACGATCGCAATAATGGGGCTGCCTGGGAGTATTGCAAGAACACATTATATAAAGAGGAAGGAGAGACTGTAGACAGATTTAAGCAACAGAAGAAGAAGTGGATTATCTCGCGCCTCCAGCAGTCTCCAGCAACATCAGCATCGAGCCGAGCAACAACTGGAGCATTTAGAACAAGATCGAACATATCATCCAACCGAAACGATTCATAAAGAAACCATCTACAGCAGCGAAAACGCCGAAAACCAGCATCCTCATTCCCCCACCTGGAAAAAGGTAACAAGGAAAACTCCAGCGTACCGTCAAAACCCATGGGCTCCTCAAACTCCAAACTCAACCGTCCCCAACAACAAGCCGGCCAACAGTACTACCTACACTCCACCGAAGCCAACAAATGGAAGTCCCCGCTCGGTCAACGGCAATACGAGAAGGATATCTATCGGTACGGAGTGGTGGAAGCGGATCGCCGACATAAGAGACGAAGGCGGGTTGGAGCGTTTGCTGCGTTGGCCGGGGCGGGTTGATGGGGTTTGGTCGGAATGGTGAACCTTTTGAGGACTGCATGCAGTGCTCTGGTGAGCGGCCGGTGGAGCAGATTGGGGAAGTGTTATAGGATAGATGGGTCGAAAATGTGTATGATACTTTGAATCTGTTTGGTCCCTTGAGTTGTCTTCTGGAGTAATTCGTGGCTCTCTGCTTGGCTGCGTTTGGAGACACGTCGCGGCTGCGGCCAAGCTGGATCCACGTCCCTTCATGGTAGAGTAAAAAGCTGTAAGAAGACTTGAAAAGCGTCAGTCAAATTAAGGTTAGCATGAACATGTTGTTATCGGTTCCGTCAGCGCTGCAGAAGTGCTTGGGAAAGGCTGATGTAAACAACTGTAATTGAATCTCACTCTCACTCTTCCCAGACTATTGCTACAATATTTACAGAGTATCCGAAAGGAGCTTGTTCATGCGCGCCATCTTGGCCGAAACGCTCAAGTCGATAGTACGGTCGCCGATCTCGACCACGAGGCCGCCACGGATATCTGGGTTGACCTGTCAAAATTCATATTAGCACACTTTCAGTCACGTAGATGTTGTATAGTAGATCTCACCTTAGGCACCACCCTCAACTTCTTGCCCGAACCAACGTACTGGCTCTTACTAACCGCAGTCTCCAATTGCTTCACGACCCTCTGATCCAATGGCGCCGCACTGGTGATGGTCATCTCGACTTCACCCCTCGATGCACTCATCAGCGTGCCGAACTTCTCACACACGCCGTCCAGCAATCCCAAGCGGTTGTTCTCGGCGAGGGTCTCAAGGAAGTGCTGCAGTGTCTGTGTCTTGTCCTGCACATTCGTGCTCTTTTGCAGTTCGCCGATGATGGATTTCTTGTCGGCGGCGGAGAGGGTGGGGGCGGAGAGGATGGATTGGAGGCGGGTGTCGCGCTTGAAGGTGTTGGCCATGTTGTCGAGGGCTTTGGAGACATTGTCTAGAGCTCCCTGCTTGGCGGCGGCGGTGTACTGGGCGTAGCGTTAGTAGGTGAAAGCGATACGTATGCCATTGGCTCTTCTATCGTACCAGAGCGTTGGCATAGGTGCCATCAAGGCCGAAGACTGCGACAGGAGGTTTGGTGTTTGCGGAGGCTTTCGCGGGCTCGGCGTATCCTCTCGTGGCGGCGATGGACATGCGCGGAGCTGCCACGCGGGCAGACCGAGCTGCGAGACGACTGGCGAGCATGTTGATGGAGGTTGCGTGGTGGGAGACGAGATGTGCCTTTGGAGCTGGCTTTCGCTCTTCCGAGCTTGAGATTGAACATGTCGGACCCGGAAAGCGCCGTGGTAGACACAGTCACGTGCGAGCATCAACAGTGAACACCGACCTTACTCCTCGTCCTCGCTTCACTCCCTTCGACGAAATCCCTGTGAACAGTGAACAGTCTTCTACATGCCGTAATAACGCTCAGCTTCTCCCGACGAAGACGATCATGAATGCAGCAGTAGAGGGCAAGAGATGAAAAGACATAGTTTTATAGAGGCAAGATGAGTGCAGGCCAGAAGCCAGCATGGTCGAAGTCGCGTGCAAGACATTGCCAAAGTGGACTCGGAGCAGCTTCCTCGTGCGATTCTGCCAGCAATCTGGTCTCTCGCTACAACTCGCCCATGAGGTATACCAGCACGTCGCTCATGCTGCGATTGAGCACGAGACCGTCAGTAATATCAATCTGTCAACAGCTGCGTTGCATTGCTGCTGGACTCTCGCGCGATAACTCCAACCAGTTTGCTACGTCTCACTACTCAGCTTCGTCAATCCAGTGACGTCGAGGCCAAGGTGCAGTATCTTGATATCTCCTCCTCTACACAGCCACCACAACCTCAATATCCGCGCCAAGCCCACAATGATCTTCCTATTGTTATCAATCGACAATAGCGCCCACAACGAAATAAGTAGTTTTCCCCCTTCTCCAAACGCATCCTCTTCTTCCTCAGATTACATCCATTCCATCATTCACATCGCATACTCACAACCACTACCTTCACAAGCGCTGGACGCCACTAATCCAATATTCGCTCACACGATCTTTACCTACTTCAACGCACTAATCATTCGCCGACTTCTGCACGACCGGCTCGAGCAGTTTGCTTCCACACCCACGCACATCCACATCACAAGCACAAATACCACACATCTTCAACACTCCATCACTACCACATCAAGATGCCTTGCGAGCAGCCTGGTCACAACCACCCGCAGTGGCCCGCCAGCGGTCCTCTCACCATCGAGCGCTGCGAGATCTTCTGCCAGTACTGCATGGGTGCGGATGCTCAGCACCGCTGGAAGTTCGGCTGGTTCTTGCGCCGCCACGTCGAGAAGGTGCATATCCTGCACGGCGATTATTCCGATGTTGTCCTGAGCAAGGGCTGGTAAGTCTTCACCACACATCCACGACAGAAGCGAACCGGACGCTAATAACTTTACAGGACTCGTAAGGAAGACGGTCTCGCTCGTCCCTCGATCCAGAAGAAGAGGGCACCACCTCGCAGCGCTCGTCGCGACAATAGCAAGAGGATCGCCGAGGCTCACAAGAGTTCCTCCCGGCTGCCACTGCCCGACTTCAGCACAACCTCACTACTAGCTCTTCCCAGCATGGAAGACGCAGCCTTCAACAACGACCTCCAAACTCACCACCTGAAGGTCACTCAAATGGGCGGCAACGACTTCACCACATTCCACAAGCAGCCCTCTCTCGACATCGCCGACACCATCGAAGTCGCTCAGTATGCTCCCGCACTCACCAACCTCACTCACTCCAGCATCGCATCCCTGCAGGCTGCAAACCTCATTCCACAAACCTGCTCCCTCCAAGCCATCGAGTCCTCCTCTACCGACCACTTCACTGCCACCACCAACTTCAACCTGCCAATCGACGTCGGCAATTCACACTTCTAGGAGACGTGTGATTACCCCGACCTCATGGGCGAAGCCGGTATCGACCCTGCTCTCCTCCTCAGTACTGAAGACTTCGGCACTCCTCCTCCACCAGTACCAGAACTCTACAACAGCAGCCCTTCAAGCTGCCCTCGCTTGAGTCTGAGTCCGATTACGACACCTCAGCATCGACGTGGTGAGAGTATTGAGGCTGAAGAGCCGCTTACGCCGCTCAGTATTGAGTTTACTGAGATATTGCGGCAGAAGCTCAATGAGGTCACCGATCTGTTGGGATCACAGGGTGGTAAGGCTAGTGTCCTGTTGGCTGGCATGGAGCGCTATGCCAAGAGCTTCAAGGAGGGTACGGAGTTTTGAGCTCTTGGCTGAAGTATGCTATGCGAGATTGTGGTGATGAGCGGAAGGAGGTAATGACACGAAGAAACGAGATTGGTGTGTACTGTTCGTGATAGGATGGCAGAGCTCATGATCTTGGATGGTCAAGATGCACGTCGCGCAACATATGGCGCAGCATTGCACATACGACGGCCTCTTGTGTCCGGGTTGAGTAGTAGCATATCGATCTTGCTTATGTGTTTCTTGAACATACGAAAATTGCTACAATGTAATCACGAAAGGGTATCTAATCTATATCATCACTCTACTGCCTCTCTCCTCTACCCTCCTCCCCACATCATGTCAACAACCCAGCATACTCACCCAAATCCAACACCACCTCCCCAACCCCCTCCGCAACCCCCACCAAACTCCTAACCACCGGCAACCCAACCACAACCTCCAAAACCCGAATCCACACCATGAAAACCAACAACCCAACCCTCAACACATAATCCTTCCACCCCAGCGTCGGCTTATGTCCCCGACTAAACGTGGAATCGACAAACTTAAACGGCAACTCGGCACCCAAATGCTCCCTCGCAACCCTTAACCCGCTACTAAACCCATCCTCATGAAACCCATACTTGGTCCAGGCACCGCAATAACTCACCCCCCTTGAATTCTGAATCCCCTCTAAACGTTTCTGCGCCTTCACGCTCTCGACCGTGTAGAGGGGATGTCTATACACGAATTTCCCCTGCGTTTTATCCGGGTCCGGAGTGTTTTCAGGGTTCATAGTTACCAGGACCGGCCCGAAGGTCTTCTCGCTGATGTGTTGGAGGATGTTCATGGAGTAGGTTAGACTCACTCCCGCCGGGGAGGAGAGTTGGGACGGGTGGGGTGAAGTGATGAGGTAGTTCCAGGCTGTCCAGCAGGCGCGACGGGTTGGCATGTAGGTTAGGTCTGAGTGGAGGTAGGCGGTATTCTCGCTCGTTTGGAAGGCGGAGAGGACGTCGAGTTCTTCTTGGCTGATGTACTGGATGCCGGAGGAGGACTTGATGAAGTTGCTGCTGCGGGTGTGGTCGGGGGTAGTGGCAGTAGTGGTGGTATTGGATTTATGAGTGAGACTTGCGTTGGGTTGCGGGCTCTGTCGCGAGAGGAGCGGGAGGATTTGGTCGCCGTGGCAGGCTAGGATGACGTGGGAGAAGACGTCGCCCTCGATGCGGCCGGATGTGGCGTCGAGCCAAGATACCGTCACGTCGGTGTCCTCTTTGCTCCAAGGACGGAGTACGTTCGCCACTTCGCATGAGGTATGCAGATGTAATCGTCCAGCCGGAAAGCTCTTAACGATTGCATCGATATATCTCTGCGATCCACCAGGAATAGTAAGCCAAGGCGGACGTTCGGCAATAGTCGTAAGTAAATGATGATTCCACATAAACCTTACCAACGTCGCAGCCGGAAACTCCAAACTAGCCTTATCAGGCGAAGTACTCCAAACAGCAGCAGTCATAGGAATCAAATAATCATCCCGAAAAGCCCGCGAATAACCCTCCTTCTCCAAATACGCCCCAATCGTCATCTCAGCATCGTGCCTCCTTCCCTTGACTGGCGAGCCCAACCTCCGCAGCCCACCCTCCTCCTCATCAGCAATAAGATCCAAAGCGAACTGATTAAATCGCACAATATCGAAAATCATCCTCCAATACCTCAACCTGAACAGATTCCGCCTTTGAGCAAAGATTCCCCGCGCCTCGCCACTCCACTCGAATTTCCCACGGTCTCGTGAGACGCCGAATGTCATTTCAGTCTCTACGGGATCGACGCCGACTTTTTGTAAAAAGCGGATGAAGTTGGGGTAGGTGGCGGTATTCATGACGATGAAGCCTGTATCGACGGGGACTTCTTGGTCGCCAGACCGCCATATTTGCGTGTTGGTATGGCCACCGAGACGGGATGATTTCTCGAAGATATGGACTTCATAGTCCGTGTCCTTTAATGCCCATGCGGCGCCCAGACCTGCGCAGCCGGAACCCACGATGGCGATTTTGTGGTTTCGTTGTGGTGGCGAGGTGGCGGCGGGCGCCATTGTTTCTTGACAAGATCGATGCCGTTGAAGGAAGATGTACTATCTTCTAAGTTGACGATATAGCACAGGTGTGAGAGGTGGTAAGAATGTTGAGTGGGCAGTCAAAGCATCATGCATGTAGACGAAGAAAGCAGCCAATGGGAAACGTCACCGCAGCACGGGCCGAGACTGGCGTGCCTGCTATCCTCGTGCAGTACTCGACGTCCATACATCGTTCATGTCACTGGGTAAGCCGTGGTATCAATCGTATGGGCGGTTTCAAGGTAGCTTGGGCCTGGATACTAGATCAGACGCCCAGAGCGGAATCCTGACCAGAGTCACCGCCCGGCATTACATACAGGATGGACGATTACAGAATGTCGCCAGCTTTGGCCTGCAACCAAGCTGAAAACGCTATAAAGACAATCCACATGTAGTGATAACTACTACATAGGCATGGGAAATCATCGACATCGGATATCGAGAATCCAGCCTTCATACATGAGAGAAAAATCCGACCTAACCTATCCCCTTTATCTTCGCTGAACGAGCAGGCCTTGTAAGCGTGCGTCTAGGCGGCCTCCACACGCCAACAAGATCTTTGGACCTTGTACTCCGCAGTCTTGACTCACGTAAGCCGAGAAAGGGAGGGCGTTTGAAGACAGGAAAAGAGTCCGCTCGTGGCATACAAGGCAAGCCAAAAGCAGCAGGCCAATGGGGAGATGATGGTTAAATGCTTTGCCTACGTCTCGCTCCAGGCGCAGCTGCAGTTGTCGCTTAATGATGACAAAGATTCAACATTATAGCCAATCAATTCTCGACTGTGATCCGGCTACGGTTCTCGCACAGCAGGGCTCCATTTCCGGCTTCTGCCTGCCCTTGATCCCTGGCTCTCACCCGAAGGACGAGCATCAAGAAGTAGCACGTCCACGAATGTTTCCCACCAACCAAACCACCCCCCTCCAGCCACCTCCTCCACTCATTCAACTTGACCCCAGTCCCATGAGGCCGGCCGGACAACATTCGCTTGCGCCCGTCTCGTGGGCCGCGGCAACCTGACCAATTTTGGCCGATTACAGCGAAGACGGTCCTCTGTCAGGATCGTAGTTCCACGAGGTCAAGGAAGGATGAGTAGACTATCTACGCGTGTGGGGGGCTAGAAGAGGGGCCCCACCTCGCGTGTAGTGGTGCTGATCAAGCGCAGACAGGCAAGTTTCGACATCATGTTTGGGCTTCGGGAGGCTCGTGCCGGCTGGAGAGGCGACATTCGTCGCGTGATATCTGTTGTTGAGCGGGGTGGACAGTGGCTGCTTTGAAGAGGGTTGATGAGAGGAGTTGTTGATTTGCCATCTCCTGTGGTTGTATCGGTCGATCTGAGTAGTCTCAGGTCGCAAGTGAGCCGTGCAATCCAGTGGAGGGAAGAAAAAGACTGGCCAGTCTAGCGATGATGAGAGCGTCACAACCAGATGACAGCCTTTGTCACACCAGGCAGTGACTGATGAAGGTAGACATGTCATGCTGGCACTTTCCACCCCCACGATCAAGGACCCTTTTCACCCTCACCCCTTCTGCGTCACCGCAGCCTCAGCGTTTCCCCGCTCCTCCCTCTTTCCTCCCCTCCCCACGCCGCTGCCGCCTCCAAATCCCATCTCCCGCCTCATCCACCCCCTCACCTCATCCATAACCGTACGTCTCGGCCTCCCATCCTCCCCATCAATGAAATCCAAATAAAGCACCCCATACCCCACCACCCACAGTATACTCACCCATTGCACCAACGTAACCCCCTTTTTCCAACCGGGTCGTGCCCATTTTAGTTTTGTGCGACGCCGATAGCGGCGTTCGAGGCGGAATTGGTGTTTGGAGGAGAGGTGGGTGAAGTCCGGGGGCCAGGTGCGCTGGGCGCGGTAGGGGTTTGTCTCGGCTGTGAAGGGGAGGGTACGGGGGATTGTGGGGGTGGTGCGGCGGAAGAGGGAGGTGAGGAAGGTTGTCATGGTGGTGTTTGGTGGTGTTTGGGTTGGGTGATGGTGGAAGGTGGGAGTGGCATATGGATGAGCTTGTCCACTCGAATTCATTGGAAATGGCTGATTTTCATCAATTCCAATCAATATTGCGGAGTGCGGGGGTTAGTCGACTCATCGAAGCTCATGCATATGCCTGCGTAAGGGACAAACAAAAGTCGAGCTTCCAGCCAAAATTCCAGCCACCACCTACAACGCAGTCCCCGTGACTCACCACGCTGCTGTCATACCCTCTCCGCCATATACGGCTGCCAGCCGGCCTTCGCTCCCTTCGACAATTCACTACTCACCACGCGACCATGGCAGCCGTGCAAGCAACACAACAGGCGCTCCAGCCCGCCAGCCAACCGAAAGGCACGATGAAGCTGGAGAATACAGATAAACGGGACACGCTCATAGCTTCGGAGAAGAAATACCAAAAGGCGTGGGCGGACAGCAAGATCTTCCAGCAGAATGCTCCTACGCTGGAGGATGTCCCGTTTCATTCGATAGGGAATCGGGAGATGCATGACAAGTATCCTAAGTATATGGCTACCATGGCTTATCCGTATATGAACGGGACCCTTCATGCGGGTCATTCCTTCACGGCGAGTAAGCTGGAGTTTGGTGTGGGTTGGGCCAGGATGCAAGGGAAGCGGGCCTTGTATCCTCAGGGGTATCATTGCACGGGGATGCCGATCAAAGCGTGTGCGGACAAGTTGGCTAGGGAGATGGAGATGTTTGGGGACGAGTTTGAGCGGTGTGAAGTCTTTCAGGTGCAGGAGGAGGAGGCGGGGAAGGAGAATGGTGCACCGAACGGTGAGCCCGCGGTTCCTGCTCCTGTGCAAGAGACGACGAGAGAAGATGTCACCAAGTTCGCCACGAAGAAGAGCAAAGCTGCTGCCAAGACGAATGTGGCATTGAAATACCAGTTTCAAATCATGCTCGCCCTTGGGATTCCCATCCAGGAGATTAAACTTTTCGCCAAACCCTCCCACTGGCTCGAACATTTCCCTCCGCTCTGCCAGCGTGACCTCACGAACCTCGGCTGCCGTGTGGACTGGAGGAGGAGCTTTGTTACTACAGACGCGAACCCATACTACGATGCTTTTGTGCGGTGGCAGATGAATCGTCTAAAGGAGATGGGCAAGATCAAGTTCGGCAAGAGGTATACCGTCTACTCACCCAAGGATGGACAGGCGTGTATGGACCATGATCGGAGTGCGGGAGAGGGGGTGGGGGTGCAGGAGTATACAGCTCTTAAGCTACGTGTCAAAGAATGGCCTGAAGCGGCGAAGAGCAAGATCCAGGGCAAGGTACCGGAAGGGGCAAACGTCTACTTCGTCCCGGCCACCCTGAGACCGGAAACAATGTACGGCCAAACCCACTGCTTCGTCGGCCCCAACATCACCTACGGTATCTACGAGGTCAAGAAGGGCCAAGAATACTACTTCATTTCCGAACGCGCAGCACGAAACATGGCCTACCAATCCATCTTCCCCGAACCCTTCAAATGGGGCCAATGGACCAAAGTCGCCGAACTCCAGGGCTCAGACGTCATCGGCACGCTCGTCCACGCTCCTCTTTCTGCGCAAAAGGATGGAATTAGGATTTTGCCGATGGAGTCTGTGAAGGCGTCCAAGGGTACGGGTGTCGTCACTTCAGTCCCATCTGACTCGCCTGACGACTACGCGACGATGATGGATTTGGTGAAGAAGGCGGAGTACTACAAGATTAAGAAGGAATGGGCTGACGTGGACATTCTCCCTATTATTGAGACACCGTCCTACGGCAACCTGACGGCGAAGTTTCTCGTGGAGAAGATGAAGATCATGAGTCCGAAGGACGCGAAACAGCTCGCCGAAGCAAAGGATCTAGCGTACAAAGAGGGTTTCTACCAAGGGAAGATGATCTATGGAAACTTCGCTGGTAAGTCGGTCGAAGAAGCGAAACCCCTGGTGCGACAACAATTGATCGATGCCGGCGATGCGTTCGCGTACGCTGAGCCTGAGGGCTTGGTCATTTCCCGGTCAGGGGATGAGTGTGTGGCGGGCCATCTGGACCAATGGTTCATGAACTATGGCACGCCGGAGCGGAGTGGCGACCAGAAATGGCAGCCGTCTGTGTTGGAGCATGTCAAGAACGAGAAGGGAGAGGGGTTGAACACTTTCTCCACCGAAGTCAAGAATGCGTTTGTGCAGGTGCTGGATTGGTTGGCGCAGTGGGCTTGCGCGAGGAGTTATGGGTTGGGGACGAAGTTGCCGTGGGATCAGAGTCAGCTCGTCGAGAGTCTGAGTGATTCCACGGTTTATATGGCATACTATACTTTCGCGCATATGCTGCACAAGGACATTTTCGGCAAGGAGCGCGGGAGTGCGAATATCGGAGCGGAGGAGATGACGGATGAAATCTGGGACTATCTTTTCTGCCGCACCGACTCCCTCCCAGAAAAGATGGTGGGGAAGAAGGAGGCGTTGGAGAAGATGAGGCGGGAGTTCGAGTACTGGTACCCTCTCGACGTACGAATAAGCGGCAAAGATCTGATCCAGAACCATCTGACGTTCTGCCTCTACATCCACGTCGCGCTATTCAAGCCCGAGTTCTGGCCCAAGGCTTTCCGGGTGAATGGCCATCTCATGCTGAACGGGGAGAAGATGTCGAAATCCACGGGTAACTTCCTCACCCTCGCCGACGCAACGAGCAAGTTCGGCGCGGACGCCACGAGGATCGCCATGGCGGACGCCGGGGACGGGATCGAGGATGCGAATTTCGAGGAGACGGTCGCGAATGCGAACATTTTGCGTATGTTTGAGCTGCGGCAGTGGTGTGAGGGGATGGTGCATGATGCGCGCTTGTTGCGAGAAGAGAAGGGGGAGACGTACGCGGAAGTGAAAGAGGGTGGGGAGAAGATCAAGAATCCGGATTCCATTCAACGGACGGGGGCGTTGATGTTCTGGGATGAAATCTTCGAGAATGAATTGAATGGGTTGGTGAAAGTGGCGGGGGAGGAGTATGAAGCGACGAATTATAAGGGTGCGATTAAATATGGTCTTTACGATTTCATTTCCGCCCGGGACTTCTACCGTGAAGCGACCAAAGCCGCGGGAGTGGGGATGCACCACGCCTGCGTGAAAAGGTATATTGAGTTGCAAGCCCTCATGGTAACGGTCGTGGCCCCGCACTGGGCGGAACATGTCTGGGTGGAGGTGCTGGGGAAGAAGGATACAGTCCAAAACGCCCGTTTCCCCAAGGTAGAGGCCACGAAGCCGGAGTTGGATGCAGCGAGGGAGTATGTGAGGACTACGAGCTCTAATATCACTTCTGCGGAGGGCGCGCAGTTGAAGAAGATGGCGAAGGGGAAGGCGACGAGTTATGATCCTAAGAAGGAGAAACGGTTGTCGATTTTCGCCGCGCGACGGTATCCGGAGTGGCAGGACGGGGTGATCGATGTCGTGCGGAAGAATTTCCAGGACATGAAATTGGATGTTGCGGGCGTGTCGAAAGCGATACCGAAGGCGGAGAGTAAGAGGGCTATGCCGTTTGTGCAGACGCTTAAGAAGAGTTTGGAAAGTGGGGTTCCGGCTGAGGTGGTGTTTGAGCGGAAAATGGCGTTTGATGAGGTCGAGGTGCTGGGGCAGATGGTGGCGGGGTTGAAGCAGATGGTGCAGAAGTGTATCGGGGTGGAGGTCGTGGTTGTGGAGGAGGGGGGGAAGAGGGGGAAGGTGGTTGTGGGGTTGGGATTAGGGTTGGGTGAGGGAGGGGGGAATGGGGTGAAGGAGGGGGAGGTGAGGGAGAATTTGCCGCAGACGGCGGAGAATGCTGTTCCCGGGCAGCCTACGTTCTTTTTCGAGAATGTTTAGGGTTGTTCTTATCCGGGTTGGTGGACAGGGGTGTCACGTTCAAGGGGTGGGAGTGTTTGGGAGGGGTTGGGGTGGGTATGGGGAGGTGATGAGGCGTTGAATGTTAATACTCTGGCCTTTAAACGCTGATTTGACTGGCCGTTGCTGTCGGGCATGTATAGTTGAGTATAAGCCATCGCCAAATCAGTAAATGCAGTGTTTCCCACTCCCAAATATCTGGTCCGGGTCCAACCATTCTACCGCATCATTTGCAAAGAAATTCCGACGATCAAACATCTAGACTTCATTTCTCTTCTTGCTTTCTCATCACATACCTTGGTTTGTACGACCAGGGACGAGAGCACGCCCTTGCGTGCGTGAGGCCTGGAGCCATGCTGCTCCTCAGGTAGCTGCACATTCCACTATTCTCACTTTTCATCGAGCTTTGATTATGGGAATATGAAACTCCATGTCTAGTTGGAGCGCGATAAGCAGATACGACCGGCCGCGGCGATGTTTTCAGACTACTAGAGTCTCCAGGACTACGAACTGATGTTCCTGCTATCTGTTCTCCCAGCAATAGTCGCCTCGGATAGGATCGAGCACAGCTAGTCGGGTCGAAAGAGCGGCAGAGCAGCTCTGTGGAGGAAACGTGTGAACCGGAGCAAGGAGTAGTCCAGCACAATATACTTGTAGTAGTGATCGTCAGAAGGAGGGAGTTCGTCAACGGGACCTCGGAAAAGCAGCATGAGTGTCCTGAGGGAGGTCCAATGCTCATGATTGTGGCGGCCCACGAAGAGCCTCGTCAACGGGAGCACAAGCTGGCTCGTTCGGGGTCGATGTTGGATGGGGGTCAGCAGGAAAGCGAGTACATCAGCGGAAGCTCGTCGTAGCATGTTTATGTTCCATAGCGGTGGAAGTGGAAAGATAGCTCCTCGATGCCTACACTGACCACTCTATCTCGGTGTGGTATTGGAGGTCTTTCGACATTCTCGTTCGATTGGATCGCGAGCCACCATGCGTCGAGTGTAGCGGTGGACGAAGCCTCTCGAGGAGTAAGTCGTACCTTGGTGGGAGTACGTCGTAATATTCTGGCTCCTCATCGGCCAGTGCAAGGCTTGGATGATCGAAGAAAGCGGAAGACTCAAGTCGCTGCCATGATGTCTTGACTCGATAATGAGAGCTAGAGATCATCTAGACATGATGTTGACATTTAGAGGGCTGTGGGCTCTGTTATGAGGTCGATGCAGCTGACTGTCACCTCATCGTGCTGTTGCATTGGATGGCCGTACGGCAAGCAGTGGATCATCGAGTGGTATATCGTCCGGACACATCATCTCCACGATCCACTAGCCATAGTGAAACGTTGCCTGTGTCATGGTCCAATACACAGGACATCTAAATTAACGTGTGGAGGAGAAAGGAAAAAATTGTACCGGGAAGAGTGGCGAGACGCAGACCTACGAAGTCTTGGCACGACACCTCACCACTTGTTCTCGATTGCATGTACATCGATTACTACTATGTCTTTCTAACGCCACTCATGCGATCATAGGTACACGAACATAGTTCTCATCGAGCGGACACGTAGATGACTCCCGCCTGTCTCTGGCAACACGGATGTTGCTTACGCCGCAATCGCTCGACAATCCACTTCAAAGCACCACGATGACCGCATCAAGACCGTCCGCTGACGACAAATGATGGCTACACTCTGCAACTAGAACCACAAAATCTCGACGACCACCTTGAGCTCACAGTACGAGCTACCGAACAGAGACGGAGCCGGTGCTGACCATCGCTAAGTGATGCAATGGAGCTGTGTACAAGTCATGTCATAGTGGCTATACAACGCCTCTTTACTGGATATTGTGATCGCGTGCCCGCAAAAGTAGACATATGGCCTATCACGATGGGGCGACTTCATGCGTGAACGTGACGATGGCATGACGCCTGTCGACCTTGAGACGTGGCTACAGGCGTAGGTGGTATATATGCTCCAGCACAACTGCTCGATGCCTGCTCTGTACATAAACACTGTCCCCCAACATCACGCATCTAAACACCACCAAGTCTACCACCACCATGTCTTCCACCAATACCTCTCACGCAACCGACCCCGTCAACGACTCCGTCGGTACGCTATCCTCCTGCTCCACCCTTGCAGCTCATGCTCTTGCTAACATCCCCATCCAGTCCCCGGCAAGGCCCAGGAGAAGCTTCCTGCCAGCGTCGAGAACGCCGTACCAGACAGCATTCACGACACCAACTCCGACAGCTCCAAGTCGAAGTCCCACGCCACTGGCGAAAGCAAGGTCCCCGAGGCCATCCAGAAGGCCGCCCCCAAGGGTCTTGAGAAGGCGCTGCCTGAGTCCATCCACCCCACCAAATAGACGGGCAACTATATATGTCGAGGAGGTTTACCATTGGTATGAATGATGAAGGGATAAATGTACGATAGATGTTTAGAGAGTGGAATTGATCGAGACTTGACCACCACAATTCGTCTGCGCTCTCTTGTTGTCGTCTTAGTCCTACCCTTGTCCGCTTTCAATCAAGTGATGAGGCAACTAGGCTATGTCCTTGACGAACAATCTACAACGCTTGGAGGAGAGAGTTGTGTATTGCGTCTGTCGTCTGGTGATAAGCGAAGCTACAGAAATTCTATGCACATTACCAACCGCAAATGCTTTACGCTAGACCTACAACTACCATGCTCCAAGCGTTACTCGCCATCAAAGGGTATATACTGTAATCGATATGTTCAGCCCATCTCCACTAGCCAACACCCACGCTGCCAAAAAACCGAGTAGCCATCTTTCCATGCTGGACCGATTTCTGCCGCAACTAATTAAAGTCCGCCTGGACGCTTCCATATTGCACACCATCCACCCTAAGCTCAAAGACCAGATTCGCACTCTCGATCTTCATATGCAGTTCGAAGTCCAAGTTATCGAATTCCAGCCCCTTGGTGGTTGTAAGGCGGGTGAAGAGGCTCTTGGGCACGGAGTTGATATCTGTCGTAAGCGTGCAGACTTTGAACAGATCTTTGCCAAAAGCATCAGGTGCCGTATCGCCTTCACACGCTATCAGCTCGTCCTCGATCACCAGAGATTGGCCGGGTCGGAAGTTGCGAGTGTAGTGGAAGGAGACTGGTTGGTCGGCTGAGATGGGAGTGCCCTGAGATTATGGTAAGTATTAGGGTATAGATTTGCTGATGGGTTCGAATTTACCTTAGCGATATGCCACTGCATTCGATCACTAACCATCCACCTCTCCCACAACGGACTCCAATATCGGTCTTCGATTGGATGCTTCTTCTCATCGTACACTGTTGCATAGCTCGTCCCATAATGCCATCGACTCCGTCTCTTCTCTACCATATCGCCTTCGATACCTCTCAAGACCGCCCCTCGCACGACAGCCGTCCAAGCATGGAGCGGCTGCAGTACCTCTACATTCTGCTGTTTGGCGTTCGCCGTGGCGTGCGTAGGAGTTTCAGTATATGGTGGCGGCGGTGCTGCATTGAAGTGCTGTTTTAGACGGGTGTAAAGGTAGTTCGACTGGCCGAACCCTCCGACCAAGATGATGCCTGATACGATACCATTCTTGGCCTTGATCGCCTCGACTTGTCCCTCCACGAGCTCAACGACCTGTCTTATGACCGGCTCGAAGATCTCTTTCACTTGCGCCGCACTCATGATCAGAAACCCACTGTCCAAACCCGCCTCCTCATCATCCGGTAAACCAGGAAACGGCACGTTGACCTCACTGTGCTCTTCCTCGTTGAAGTTGCGCTTTACGAACTCCTCGAAGTATCGCAGACCCATTTGCCAAGTCTTGGGCTTCTTCTCTCGCATATTGTTGTATCGCTCATCACCTATCCGCATCTTGACATGGTCCTCGAACCTGTAATTCAGGAAAGCGGAGCCACAGAGCCCTCCAGTGCCTACTGCGCTCTCTTCCACTCGTAGAGGATATAGACCGGTGACTTGGTATGCGATCAGATCGACCGTCCCACCTCCTGCGTCGCAGACGATGTAGTTATCTCCCAGCTTCAGTCCATTGGGCTGGATAGTCTTCAGGGTGTACACCGCAGCCGCCTCTGGCTCACTGATAAGTTTCAGCTCATGCCTATTACCCATGCCTGCTCTTTCTGCCCCTTGCAATGTAGCGTTCTTCGCAGCATCAGACCATACTGCCGGCACCGTCAAGACGAACTCCACCTTCGTGGACGAAACAAAGCTCTCGCCATACCTCCTGTTCAATGTCTCCATCGTGTGCTCATATATCCGGGTCAGGTAGTCCGAGACCGCATCCATCACAGTGCGATCGCATTTCCGCAGCTGCGCAGCCGTCTCTAATGGCGAGACGAAGTGCGGGAGTTTCTGGTTGCGATCGAGGAACAGCTTGATACATCTTAACCTCGTCTCTTCCGGCTTGAATTGGAAGCCCCATCTCACCGTCTTCTGCGGCAGCGCATCAGACGGACCGTCTAGAGGTGATATTGGCGACGGTTCCGAGGTTGGTATGGGCTCGTATGCGATTTCTGTTGGAACTTTGTCGGACGTGATGCCGTTACCTCCAGGCCACGTCTTGATGATGTCGATGTCGTCCGGTGTTGCGCTGTATGCTGCGGCAACGCCACTGTAGGTTGTCCCGAAATCGACACCTATTACCAGGCGATCTGCTTGTATTGGTGTTTCCGAGTCGGTACCCGCAGTCGTTGGTCGTGAAATGATGCTCTTCGTCTCGGCGAACGATCCATTACTCGTGCCTCCGTTCATTGTGTATGCCGTACCATTCGCATGAGCATTGCTGTGAGTTCGTTGGTTGACAGTCATGATAGTTCGATGAAGGCACAAGATCGGCACAATGGGCGCACAGTCCCGTCTGGTTGAAGACCAAAACTCTTGACGTCGTGTACGCTGGTGAGGTTGTACAAACGGTAGCGCCACTGATGAAAAATCTCCGGTATGTGCTACTCAATTCTCCTGGACAAATCTAGTCGCAACCTTCGAAGACCAACGGCAACTTTTGCACCAAGTCCAATGGCAATGCGAATGTCACCAGAGACGCAACGGGCTGATGCTAGCTCACAATCTTACAAGAAGCGAACCAACAACTCCTCCATACCGCATATGCTCGTGAGCACACCGACTCATGGGTCTCTGCGTCGGCTCCAACAAAAAGTCATCGCAATACATGATCGGAGTCCGGTTGCGCATGTCATCAAATAGACTTCGGTCGATTAGCACCTGGAAAGCAGGGATCAGAAGATGACGGGACGATCTGGGGGCGCCGTCTATTTTAGACCTCGCGTGAGCGGTCTCCTCACCCCAAAGGAGTAATATGACCATCGGCCCATGATACGCCTTGTATTGAATGAATCTCGGCGCGGGCGATATGCCGCGACACTCTGAGGAGGGGAAAGTCTCGAGCATCGTCTTCCCGCGACCGCCACATGGCTAGGTCTTCGAAGAAGTGGGACCATTGGTAGAGTATCCAAACTTTCCAAGCTTTTTTCTCCGTCATATGCAAGACCTCAGGCGCTGGGCTGGCGCTGAGCTGTCATCGGTTGTAAGCTAACTGGGCGGAGCACGAGCGGAGCCGATTCCTTCCCTTGGTGGTCCATCAAATCGCTGCTGATACCAAGGACCTTCCCGCATCAGGCGCATATGATGAAGTAAACTCTACAGCCTTCCGCAGTCGAGCGGTTACCCGAAATCCACGGCGTCTGCATCTCACTGCAGCGAGAGCTCCTCTTTGGGTCTTGCTACGCCTGTAGCCATGGCAGATGACCCCACTCCTACCACTACCGAATCGACAGCCTCACCGGTAGTATCGGTGCCGCCTAGCCGGGACGATATCTTATGTACGAAGGCTGAGGACGCTTCCCAGGATCGAGCTGCTCCGCTGTCAAACGCTCTTACCCACGACTCAGCTGAAAGTGTAGTAGCCACCAACGCCGACAGAACCTCTTCTGTTTCCAGCGACCTGGTAGACGACGTCCGGATGGCTGGTAAATCAAAGTCACGCCAGAATTCTGGGTTGGTGAAGAGTGTGCGGTATGAAGAGGCAGCTGATGCACCCGCGCCCAAGGTCGTTGGAAAGATCGACAAGCCAAGCGAGGCGTTGTTGAATAATGCGAGGGACGACTCTGTCAGCTTGCGGAGTTCGAATGGAAATAAGATCGCCAACTTGAGGGCCGCATTTGAGAATGGATCATCGCCGGAACGATCATCGAGCTCACTGAGTTCGATGAGGAAACGCTTCGGTGGTGGTGATAAAGGTAATGGCGGTTCCGTCAAGTCGAGTGGGCGCCTGGGAGAGGCAAGAGAGGATCTGGAGAAGGAAAGAGAGCTGAGGCAGAAATATGAACAGAACAGTGGAGTGTTGGAGGAAGAGACCGAGAAGCTTCGACATGTGTATGACCAGAAGTGCACATTCCTGGTCGAGGAGGCCGAGCAACAGCGGGTTAACTACGAAGAGAGGTATGCTCAGCTCGCGGAGAGCACAGAGATGCAGAGGCGATCGTTGGAGGAGAAGGTCGCTGCTCTGGAAAGGCAGGCGGCCGAGCAGCAGGTTGCTTGGGAGCAAGAGTTTGCCTCCGTAAGGCGTGAGAGAGATGGTCTGCACATGCAGCTGCTGCAGCAGACTCCACCACCAGAAGACCTCGAGATCGGCCAAGCAGTGACTGGAGATGAAGTGACTTGGCTCAGACGTCAGCTAGCTGACTTGAAGAAGACAATCTCAACGTCGACACGGATGGATGGGCAAGTCACAGATTCAGTATTTGCGCAAGAGACTGGCGTGTTACACCACGAGCTCCAAAACTGGATTGTCAACAATTTCCGACGAGCACGAGGAGACGTCACCGCACAAGAAATGTGCGACAAGCTGAGCAACATCGAGCTGACACCCGGTCAACGTCATCAACTACGACCAATGTACGCTGCCTATCAACCAGCCGCAAAGCTATCCATGTACCAAGCCACTGCGATCTCCCTGCTGATGGACATCTTTGAAGACAATTCCCTGTACGGCCTAGCAGAAGACGTCGCCTGGCGTCAGAAGCTCTGCGAAGCCGGCAACGGCCTTGAAAATGTCCTGAGCCCAGTAGCGCACAATAAATGGCGCGCAGTAACCCTCGATGTCATCCGCCAGTCCGAGGGCATGGAGGACGTGATTTCCACAGCTGCGAAAAAGGTGGCAGAGAAGATCTGCCACGCCCTCACCATTCTCTCCGAGGTCGAGGGTACCGTCACAAGATTAGCGGTCCTGACTAGTATCGTCACCCGCGCGATTGAATTACAGCATATTTTCCGTGTGCAAAAGGCAGGATATCAATTCGATCTTCCTTCGACCAACGATATCTTCCACCTGGATGTCATGGAGGACATTGCCGTGGAAGCTGATTCGCCGGGCGAGCATATGGTCCGGATTGTGAAGTGTGCCACCTTCCCTTCAGTGCTCAAGGTCGGCGACGAGTATGGCGATAACGTACATTTGACGAACGTCATCTTCCGGGCCAAGGTCTTCTGTGGCTGAGAGTTGATCTTCACATAGTGTTCTCCCTCTGCCGCATCGGCCCACGGTTCGTCGCTGTTCCGCCCGCGTTTGCTCGCGATGCCTTCGGGGTTGACTGATCGCTAGAGTAGTCTTCGACCTCAGCGCTTTGAGCACTGACGAGTGTTGCACGCGACACCTGGAGCCGGTCTGAAGGTCGCCGGCTGCGAATGACTTCACCATCAACCAGCCGAGACTCCCACTGGGTGTCTTTGCTCATGAACGCCTCACGCCTCTGCAGGACAGTTGCGGGGCTCGGGAAAGTACTGGACAGCCCAGCAGAATGCCCGCGATAGTAGTCTTCAGGCTCGGTGAAGTCCTCATGCGGTGGCGATTTTGGCTTAGGCGAAGCATGCTGTCCCTCTGGTGTCTTGACTTTGTTCAGACCAAGTCGCTCGACGTCCGCCTGGAGCTCGCTCAGAGAGCCCTTGAACACCCGTGGCACGTTGCCCGTGCTCGGCTTACGCTGCGAAAGGCGGCCTGCAGTATTCGGGACTTGCCTTGGTTCTAGATTGGAGATGCCTAGGCCGGTGGCCGACTGGTCCGCCACGTAGCCGGTGCTTGACACTGTTGCGCTCCGGGCATGACCTCGCTGGCTGACTTGATCCTCCACTGCTGAGAAAGACTTGTAAGGAAAGATGAGATGCTTGTTGATCCGGACTACAGCAGGTGCAGATTGTTGGACTGGCTCGTCGACTTCTGGGATCTGGAATGGTAGTGGGGGTAGTACAGGCGGACCATCCAAAACAGACATGATTGGAAGTGTCTTCGGAGTCTTGGCCTTCGCGATATCCACTGTTAGGTCCGGCTTGCGATCTTTACGCGGCGAGGACCTAGTCGCTAGGGACGCTTCTCTTGCTTTGCTTAGCCTGCCGTATTTGTTTTCGATACCCTGCGTCACCTCGTCGGCTGATTGGCTGATCTCATAAATAGTGTCGATAGCTTCTTGGATAGCAAGCAATTTTCCATTGACACTCCACCCAGGACATTCCGGTTGAACGTGATGAAGCTGCAAGAACTCCCCATATACTGCGTCGTAGAAGTGAGTTGCCAGATGCCGAAAGAATCTGCAGTCGTTACCAGTTGGAACGTGCAACATCCTGCTCAAGGTCAACAACGACTCACGAAAAAGGAACAGTAGACTGACCTCAGAAGAGCATCCGGCTGCATAATCATCATTTTCTCCTCCTGCGTCCCCCTGAGCACCTTCGCCAGCCCATCCAATTGCTCCCCAATGGCCTCCGCCCGATCCGCACGCATACCATAGTGCCTCTTCAAAACAACGCAACCCTCAACCACAAAGCCCGCATGCTGCCCCATCCTGTGAATGACAGAAACGTGAGCTGACTTACTTTGAATGATACTATGCAGGTCCTTTCCCATGGCGGATATTAGAACAACCATGCGGTAAAGCATGGCGTGGGTCTTGGTGTCGATGGCACCTGAGGCATGATGGGCGTCGAGGAAGCGGATCACGAGGAGCTTGGTATTCGTCGGTGATGGTGGCGGTGGTGAGCGCAGATTTACTGCTGCTTGCGATGTGGCGAACATGGTGACGGTGATCACGGCATACAGTGCGATGGTCTGAAGGTAGAGTGCCGGCCAAAGTCGTGTGAAGTAGTCAAGGTGTTGAGAGAAAGGTCGCACGAGAAAGGTATCAAGGAGGTCCATGATTGTCGGTAAAGTCGGGACTTATCGCAGCTGTGTAGTGACGTTAGATCCAAGGTACCAGGTTGCGAAGAAGGAGCGGTTCGAGGTTTGCAGGAGCAATGAAGCGGTGGGAGACAGTATTTCTGTTCTTTGTATCTCTGGTATGGCTGATCCTGCGTCTAGAAACTCGAAATGTGTATGTATCTGCTTTTTCTTCAATCTCTGCTCGGTCTCAGCGATGCTTCATCTTCGATAGGAAATGCAGTGCTAATGCCACAGAGAGGTCCGCAAATTCCCGCTTTGGGAAGGAACGACCTCGAATTCTGCTTCGAAATAGTGGCAACGACAACCCACATCGCGTCCGGCGACAATTGAGAGACCATGAGCATGTGATGAAGAGGCTTGACATTACAAGAATATGGATTCTAGGACAACCGAAACCAACGCCACGCTAATCCAGTAAAGGTACCCCTCAAGACCACCACCACCCCCATCTCACCCCTCCTTCCCCTCCCTCTCAATCCTCCTCATCTCCATCTCCGCCAACCTCACACAAATATCCGCAACATCCTGCCCAACCTTCCAAGTCCTAACAGTAACCCCCTTGGGCTCGAGCTCCCTCCTCGCCTTAGCCAATCTCTGCATCCAAAGGATTTCTTTCTTGGGAATTCCTATATCCCCCGGACTGCTGGCTCCGCTCTCGTCCAGATCCCAACCACCAGATAGTCTGTTAGAGGACCTGGTGCGGGAGAAGGGGTAGCCGGAGATGTTACGACGGATGGGGAGCGGTGGTGGTGTCGTAGTATTACTTGAGGCTTTGTCCGGATTCGCACGAGGTGTGGTGGAATCGTTGCGCATTTCCTCCATCGACCGTGTTGAGCCACTAGACAATGAGCGGGTAGGTGAGAGATGGCCACTGCTGGAACGGTAGTTATCCATGCTCTGGCTGCCATGCCAATAGGCACCCGCGGCGGTTGCAAGGCGTTGTGTGATCTTAGGTCTGGCGGGAAGAGGCGGACGGGCCTTACCTACGACCGGTGAGTCCTGTCCTTGGACCTGCGAGAGTGGGGAGGGCTGGTGCGTTTGAAGGGCGGGTGGCGGCAATGGCGAAGGCGGTCGTGAGGAGCCATCTGTTTGTGGTATGATGGAAGTGAGTGGTTTGACCGCAGACGACGGCTTCCTGGGTCGAGGCGGAGGTAGCTTGAACTGAGTGCTATTCGGATGTGCTTGCGTAGGTGTGGCCTGAGAATTAGGTGAAGGGCTGCGCAGCGACTCCGGCTTGGGAGGAGGTGAAGGTGACGGGCGCTGTCCATTTGCAAGTTGCGATGAGGCAGTACGTAGAGGTGGCTCGAGCCAGGGTCGTGTAGGTACAGGCTCACTCAGGTCGATCAAATCTTCTTGTTCTGGTGAAGCAGTCATGGTTCGCTCAGGCTCGATACGGGTGTTTTGCGTGCGGCGAGGTTTCGGTGCGGGTGGCCTCGTCTTGCGATCCAATGTGCCATCGTAAGGAGTGTCAGGGTTGATGTTGCGGCGCGCATTGCGCGTCTCTGCTTCCATGTCTGCTAAAGATGCGGCGATGGCGTAATCTAAATCAGCATCGTCATTGCGTATATCGTCCGGTCGTGATAGTCGTTTGGAGACCGCCAATGTATCTCTACTCGGCTGTCTAGAGTGACCACGTGAGCGCTTACCCTCGCTGCCCGAAGGTGGCATCGCGGAGTCGAAGTACCCTGTCCGTGCAGTGGTAGTGACATCTCGAATGAAGATACCAATCACCCGCCCAGGATTCTCCATCGCAGTATCAGTGTAGACCTCGAGATCCGCCTCACCGCTGTCGCCGACAAGGATGAATTTGCGGTCGGGAAAGTCGCGCAGAATCTTGTCGATAGACGATTTCTTCCGCTCAGCGACAGGCTCAAAGATACCAGCGAGAATGCCATTGTAATGCTTGAGATGGAAGGTGCCTCGCGGCAAATGTGCCATCTTGAAGTAGCTTGTCAAGATCGGGTACATTTGCCACGGCGAATTCGAAACATAATGCAGCTTAACTCCCATGTCGAACATCGTGTTGTACCATTCTCGCACGCCCTCGATAGTCAAATCGCCGAGCTCACGAATGAACGCATTGCGCACGACCTCAGCGATACCAGCACTGATCGCCGAATGCTTGACCGTGTCGTCGATGTCGCTGATCAGGCTCACACCTTGAGGCGGTATCACGTGCACCTCTTCCGTGGTCGAGAGCTTATCTGTGGCCAAGACACGAACATGACTTGGCGTGAACTCCAACGCTGCACGGCAGGTGAAGTGACCGGCTGGGTCAGTATAGACAGTCATCTCGCGTGAATCAGCGTCCCCATAGAACATGAGCTTCACAGGACTGTTCTGCAGGCCATTATGCATGAAAGGCTTCGCGCGCTGTAAAAGGTGCGAGTTGGCCATAGTAAGTTCGGCAGCTGTCATCTTGCCTGGATGTGCCCAAGAAGCACGCTTGTGAAGCGGCTGAATGATGGGCGACCCACTCTCGGATGAGAGGGTGCTGATTGTAGACAATCTGTTCCCACGATCTTTGCCATCGGGAGAAGTTGTCCGGCTCCTACTATTGAAAAGGCTGTCGGCATCACCATATTTACTTAGATCTTCGGTGTAGACTCCTCGTTGCGCATTTCGTCGTTCCATCTCACCCCGCTGCACTATCTTCTCCGCCTCCAGATTGATAAGGTCTTCTTCTTGCTGGGACAACCTTTCCGGACTTGACGAGCGACTCGAGGGCTCGTTTGGACGACTCGCAGGTGGCGCAGGAATACCAGCGAATTGTCGGAGTGCCCCTATTGCTAGCCGCTGTCTCCGTGTATGTGGTCCACGATGCGGCACATACACCCATCCACGAACATCCACATCCAATATAGCAATTTTTTCCTCGTGCTTCTCCCATGCTTTCTGCCAGTATTCCTGCTCTGTACGCGGGTTTGGGATGTCTCTGAAAAGCTTGCTCTTGACATGCTTCCTGGCATAGCTCGGGAACAGAATCAGCTCCTCGTTACCACTACGCACGACAGCTGCATCTGCAAAATAGCCAGGCCCGTCCTGATCATGATGACGGCCAGCTTCTCGCCCGTCGTTATCGCCGCTGAAATAGCTCTGCCTCATCTCATTCGCTGCCTTGAGATATCCTGCAAACTTCTTCCGCCTCGAGCCCTGGCCTAGGGCCTCAATCCGAGGACTCGTCGGCGCGCTGTAGACCATACTGCTGCTGCTCTCATTGTGAGCCATAGTTCGTGCCCGCTGCACGAGCGCACCATCTTTCAGCAACCGCGGCGACGGAAAAGCGAAGCCTCGTCTTCTGAGACTAGCGAAGAGAACGTTTGCTGCAGGCTGTCGGCGTCGGCGAAAGCGTCGAGCAATCAAATAATGCCAGATACGTGAGTACAATCGTTCCTTCAGGGCTGGTAGGTAGAATTGCTGGAAGTTCCACAAGCGACGTTGAGTTCGTAGGCCAACATTATTCAGAGTAGAGCGTAGTGGAGACGCATTGCGATGGCTACTGGGTTCCTTGGCGAGGCGGAAGAGATATGAGCGCCAAGAGGGAGCCACGGTGTATTATAGACAGATAGGTCTGTACAGTACAGTACCTTCTTCCACACGATGTTTGAGCTGGGCCAGTGAGCATGAAACGTGCCTACGCGATGAACAAGGTTGGAATTCTGGAAGCGGCCCACGTCATCCTTGCCGACACACGATACTGTACATCTCGAAGGCAGCAATAATCATTACTTGCATTAAGCCCACTTTCAGTGACATCTACTTCTCTCCGGATTTGCCCAGCAATCGAGAATCAGTATCGAGTCGTCAAGGCAACATGTATCGGCAAGAATGTCCTTTTGACACGGCGAAGTGCTACGAGGACGGATCGCGATCACGAAGATCAACTAGCATCCGTGCACATACAGTAATATATCCTTGTCAAGCGCCATGAGCTTGAGACATCACGGTTGCAACCTCATCTCATACTGTCTTGAATTTCCTACTCGTCTACAAACATGACAGACTCGAGGTCTCACGCCCATACTACGACCAGCGGTGGCGAGGCTAGCTGGTGGACCCACATCGTTCCAGCTGCACACGGCTGCGCCTTTGAGGTGAAGAAAGGCGACCACTTCCGTATAGTGGATCTGTATGGCGAACAAGTCGTTGGTAGGTGGATCAGTCGCCACCAGATGTCGCTGAGCTCACATCACGCCATCTACAGATTTCGCAGCATGGACGTGCAATTCCGATTTCAAGATTAATTGGGACGAAAAGCTCTCGATGGCCTACACTCGCTATCATCTCTCGGGCGTGACACCTGCCATAGGAGAATGCCTGTGGACGAACAAGGACGAACCTATCCTGCAGATAGTTGGCGACACAGTCAAAGTCCATGACATGACTTTCATGTCTTGCTTTCCAGAAATTTACGCCAAGAAAGGCATACATGACCACCGCAGCTGCGCAAGCAACATCGCCGAGGTGATGAGACCTTATGGTATGAGCTCCTACCTGGAAGTTACCGATCCATTCAATATCTTCCAAAATACTCCGAACTACAGCCTCAAACCACTAGGCAGCAGTAAGCCAGGAGACTACATCGAATTCAAAGCCATGCAGGACTGTATTTGTGCGGCGAGCTGCTGCCCGTACGATCTGGACGGTTTTAATGGAGGAAGAGTTACCGATGTTGCTGTGGTCACTGGTTTGAAGTCGGCATCGTCGGCATAGTGTGGACTGGAGGACTGAGGACGGGGGCCTGAGAAGGTCGCCGAGACGCCATGCTGAACGAGAACGCCACTTGTATGGGTACAGCTGACGCGTGACTGTATGTCGTTGACTATCAAGTCTCTTGCAGATCAGCGTCTTCTGGGCAAGTGTCTTGTGTTTGAAAGACACATGGCCGCCTACGCGGTTGTGATGTCCATACTATCAGCAGATACTGATCACACCACAATGTCTGCAACAGCTGAAAATCGTTCTGGCCAACTCAATCGAGAAGATACTAGTTGGTAGAAGAAAGATCTTGCTGATGTCTCGCAGATAAATGACAAGCAAACTCGCCTGCAGCATCGACATACCCATTTCTGATCTACCTTTCCCTCACAATGTCTCATTTGCGAACACAACATCGTGCAGGCGTCCGTAGTGTTACGTTGTGACACAAGAACGTTGGCGCATCACAAGAGAGAAGTATAGCGCTACAAATGTGGTTGCTGACAGCAGGCCATCCGGTCGATATTCCTACAAAGATGATCCCAGCACCAGCATAGCGACCAACAAGAAGGAGATTTGCAGCTTGCGACGATGTCGATTCCACCTGCCCGGGTAGTGGATCCAGTGCCGAGGATTTAACTTTTGCAACACCCCGAAGAAGTCAAGCCGACCGTTTGCCCTACCCGCTCGACCAATGTCTCACACGTATTGCCGTGGTGGCGCATAGAAGGACCCACGATGGTATGAACCATGATTCTCAAACCTTCCTGGTTACTATGGCGCACTGCTTGCACGTGTAAACATTGCCCTGGCGAACCGGGTATTTTCTCAGTGGCCCTGGCCCGGGTTATAAGCATGGATATGCCCTTGCCAGAACTTTGGAACAGAACCCTTGTACCTACATACCTTATCCACTATCAGTACCACGATCTCTACGCATCTTGCATCTGCCGTGTGACTTCGGTTGTGCGACCCGAGAACTATACCTTTGTGACCTCTCGCGACGCCAAGGCGCTGTCACTTGCTGAAGGGGGAACCGATTAAAGGAACAGAGCATACTAATATAACACAAGACGTTGTGCGACAACACTCTGTTGAAAGCCTTGTTGCAGCCTGCAACCCATACGACGACGGGAGGATAGACAAGAAGACTTGTGCTGTGAGCACATCATACAAGCAATTGGCGGATCGATCAGAAGAGCAACATAATAGCAGCTGAGTACAAAACAAATTGCCCATACGTCCTTTGCACCACATCAGCACAAGCATCCCATTCTTTCCATCGTACATAGGATACACGTCCAGAAGCGCTGCCATTGCATTGCACAAACTTCCCTGCGCAATTGTCAGGTGGTCTTTGCATTGCTCAAGCCTCCGGGCGCCCTTTGCGACCATGCATCTCCAGCATACCGTAAGTCACAAGAATCACCTACGCCGTCGAAAGCTATACTAACGAATCTTATAGCTCACCTCTCTCATCCTATGTGCAGCCCTCACACAAGCCAAACCCCTCGCACGTTTACGATTACATGCCCGTCAGTTCGCGAACTCTTCTACTACCGTGATAACTTCGAGCCAGATTTCTACAGATATGACGAAAACACCGACGACATCGACTACGACGACCGAAACAAGTGCCACATGCACAGCGACGACTACCGTCACACCAGGTACGAGAGATGATCCGGGCGATCAGGTATCAACGCTGATGGCTAAGCAGAAACGAATTGCAATCAAGTTGCATCAGCATACGGACTACGATTGACGACATACGAAGCGAGCAGTCCGGCAAACTCGAGCGTCTGCCAAGATATACTTGCAGGATATGGCATATGTGTTGAGACGGCTGGCGCATCGACGACTCCATCGATCGACGTGGATGCCACATCGGCGCTAGGAGCATCGAACACGAACGTCACATTTGGAGCTGTTTCCATAGTACTCAACATGACGACGGCGGAGCTATCGATCCCAGCGACATCAGCGCTTGAGACGTCATCATCATCAAGCTTGACGCCGTTGGTCTTCGCGCCAGCAGCCTTGACAACATCCACGACGCCGGTGGTAACTGCAATCGAGACGCAATCAACAGTCACGATTCTGACTACGACAACCCTCACATACACTCTCGGCACTGCAAGGACGGACGTCCGGACTCTGCTCCAAGTTCAGACCGTGACGGAAATTGTCACATACACCACCACTGTCGAGCTCTCAGGCCCAGAGACGACAGTCTTCGCTGCCAATAGCCTCGTCAGTCCTGCCAGCGCCACAACTCAAACCTCGTTGTGCACCACTCCGCTACCTCCCGGTCCGGTCCAGTCCGGGGTCGTACCTGGCTGCACGAACTGGTACGTCGCACAACACGGCGACTTCTGTTATCATGTGGCGACTAGGTTCGGACTGAGTCCCACAAGGTTTCAGCTATGGAATCCCGCTGTCGGACTCGAGACCTGTACGAATATGGTGCCGGGTCATGCTTATTGTGTGGGCACTTGTGGGAACTACCAAGGACTGAGCTCGTCGTCTGCTGGTGCATCTAGCACCGACTCCAGCACGATCAGCTTGAGTGAAGTCTCGACTTCTCCAGCAACGTCAGAAACATTGATCTTGCTCGCTTCGATCCTGACTTCCATCTCCTCCAGCTCGACGTCACTTACGAGCTCAAGCCAGGATCCCACTTCAACCAGTACCACGAGTTTGAGCAGCACCGCTCTATCATCGACTTCGACATCGGCATCGCTCTCAGACTTGAGCTCGGCATCGACCTCGAGCTCTAGCTCTTTGCCTAGCTCAAGCATCGTGCTTAGCGTTGTGTCCACATCTACATCGACTACGACTTCCAGCTCAGTAACGACTTCGATTTCGAGCTCGATTTTAACGACATCTACCAGCTCGTCAACAAGCGCAAGTCTGTCGTCCTCTTCTACACTAGCTTCCACTTCCACATCCTCGGCCCCAACATCGATTATAACCTCCGACGCACAAGTGCAGTACAAGACATTTAAAGGAGATGGCTCGCTGGCAGCTGGCTGGCCCGCCATGTCTTCTTGGATTGACTATGACACGATGTAAGCTGGGTTACCACATACAGAATAGTAAAGGCCGCACTAACATTCTCCCAGGTTCACAGTCAATACACCCAACATGCAAGAATCTTGCTCTCAGTGGGGCGTTCCACTCGACACCGCCACAGAGATCTCCGAGATGAAAGCCGCCATATCCGACATAGCCTCCTCAACAGGCGTAGACGAACGACTGATCCTAGCAATCATCATGCAAGAGTCCACTGGCTGTGTCCGTGTCATCACGACTCAATACTCCGTCTTCAACCCCGGCCTCATGCAATCGCACAACGGCACCGGAACCTGCAACACCAACAATCTACCTCTCGCTGCAGGAGTGACAGGCACCGGTGTCGTGCAAACACCATGCCCAGACAGTGAGATCCGACAGATGATCACAGACGGCACGAACGGCACTCCTTCGGGTGATGGTCTGAAGCAATGTCTGCAGAAGCAGGGTAATACGGATGTCAGCCAGTACTACCGTGCTGCGAGAATGTACAACGGCGGTAGTATCGCCGCCAGTGGAGACCTTGGGCAGGGCTGCTGCACGCTGTGTTATGCCAGTGATGTGGCGAACAGGTTGCTGGGATGGGTCAATGCGCCGCATAATTGCAATTTGTGATCTGAGAGAATGCTTTTGGGTGTTGGGCGTTCTGGGGAAAAGCACACTTAGGGTGAATGAAGGTCAGAATGCAGACTTATGATACCACGCGTAATGCTTAAAGTAGATCCATGTGACGACAGACGGCTCCAATATATACCATGTAGTGCCACTTATTCATGCTATCTGAAACCTCGTTAGTTCCATTTTGTCATGATATCCTCAGCATGAGAATCTCCAAAGTCGTGTCTATCGTACTCCGAGGCTGGAAAGTGATCGTCCTCGGCCGCGACAGACACCGTGGCGTTCGGATCATCAGACTGCTGATTCACGCATGCTCCAACGTCTCTACTACCCCCATGCTGAGGAGACTAACGACGGACTCTCTAGACCCGTCAAAACCTCCTCTAGTTCTTTTCGTGCGATGCGAATATACTCATGAATGACTGGGAAGCCGTATGCATTCCAGATGCCAGTGCACGATTTCGTTGACATACTGCATCGCCTGGAACTTGACCAATGCTAGGACTCCCAACGCCAAGTGGAAGGTGGAAATCTGTTTGCTGAAAATGGGCGGCTGAACACTTGACCATCAGGGTGGTCGAAGTGATGCCTTGCAACCAGAATCTTATCGAGCTCATGCATGAATGTGTCGGCCGCCGGCGGACACGGATCAGGAAGACCATTGACTACAGTTGACACTTGTAGATCATGAAACCTGCAAATGATGAACCTTGAGTAGTAAATCTGCCAGTTGTCTTTTATAGCCTCTTCCGACCAGAAGATCTTCAGCACTGCCAGGGCTAACTGCACTGTAAAGGCTACGTGACGGAAGTGCGAAGGCACCTGGGGAATGAGAATACCCCTCATACGCTTAGTCCGAAGAAAATCAAAGGCAGAACGATGCTTGAATACGACCTGCGATAGTAGGGACAACGATCTTTCATCCTTGACACCTTGACGTGGACGTACTAGGACGAGTATGTCCCTACAGCACCCACCAATGAAGTTGTAGGCATCCCAAGCCATGTCTTGGCTGTGCGCAAATTTATATTCAAAGGTTGCTGACAGAGTCCAAAGCTGGGATTCTCAATCAGTCCATCATGATCTGTCCGCCCTTCACGGAGGCCCCAGAGGCAGGCTAAGCACAGCGGCAAATGTGTGACTCCTGCATGCTGGGTCCACAGAAGCGCAATCCGGATGGCCATAGCTGTGTCAGAGTACTCTTCTGTACGATAAGTACCTTTTATGCGAGAGTACACAAGATTGTAGTTATAAGCGTCCAAGTCCTTGGGAAAGCTGGACAAAGCCCTGCGAGCCGCCGTTATACTTTCACCGGCCTGTATGCGGGTGGTAACAGCTCCGAGCACTAATTCAGTCCACAGAAAGTCACTTTCAGCGCGATTGCAGATCTCGAATACTAGACATCTCGCATCACTCCCTTCTGACCAACCGGTGTCTTCTATACAGGCTAGAAAAAGACCAGGATCGAGGCCACAGGGAGCAAAGACTGAGTCGTCTACTTCTTCCAGACGGCGACAAACTTATCTGAAGATATCGCTAGAATTACGGGCGTGGAGTTTGAGATTTGGGCGCTGTCCCAAGGCTTACTGGAATACAGTCCACGGTCTGCTAGACACCACTAGCTTGACGTTCGGTAGGGCGTAAAATGTTGCGAGGGTCTTGAGCAAGAGGCCGTGCTCTTTCTCCGCGCACTCGTCCAGTCCATCGATAACCAAGAATAGTTTGACGTCGAATACTTGAGCGATGCTGGATATCATAGCCCACAATTCTGATACTGTCCAATCACGTTTGCTCTGTGGGCGAGCAAAGCGCTCCTCGCAAGCAGAAATCGCTACGGCTCGTCGTTGATGCAATAGCTGGTAACATAGGTTCTGAAGCATGGCCAGGCATGAACGCTGGTAAGGTGACCCAGCAACCCAGAAATAGTGTTTAAGAACAAAAACTTGCCGTTCAGGCGCACTTTGTTCAAGAGCTGCCATCACAGAGTCGTTTCGCTGAAGAAACTTCATGACGGTTGACTTTCCGCTGGCTGGCAAGCCGCATATCCAGAATAGGCTGCTGTCAGATTTGAGCCAGTCCTCGAGATTGTTCAGGTCCTCGTCAGTGCTGTCTCCACCTACGTCACTCTGATTGTCCTCTGAAGCCGCGTCGCTACCAGGTGTGGTGGAGGTGTTAGCGAACGATGATTGTACACTGTCGGAACCGGAATTGGAAGCATCTGGTGGGCGGTAAGTATGTCTGTCATCCTCAGGAGGCTGTTCGAATCCCCCAAAAGCCCATTGATACTGATCATCGGCCGCATCGGTGATCATAGTCTTTCGCAGGCCCATATCCGTGTATTTCAAGCTGTCGATGATACAGTCGATCTTGATCTTCTCCTCGACACTCACTCGATGCCTTTCAATATTTGCGAAGCCAGCATCCACTGTCGCTTGCAGTTTCTCAAGGCTCTTCTGTACTTCATCTTTCATATCAAGTACTCTTGTCACCACATCTTTGCCATGCTGATCAAGTATAATCTTCAGAGAAGCGAACTCTTGATCTTGCGATTCACGGACCACACACAACTGCCGTTCCAAACTTTTAAGCTTTCGTTGCCGAGATTCCAGCTCACCATTCTTCAGCATGGTTTTGAGCACCACTTGTACGGCCTTAAGCTTCGGCTTGGACCCATCTGGTCTCGCAGGGACTTTAAGCTTAGCCAGAAGCTCGATTAGACCCTTCGACTCCTCTTCGCACCTTCCAGCCAGCTTGATCACAGCCGTCTCTGCTTTGCTTGTGGCTGACCGCTTGCTAGCCGACTACCTGACCTGGTCAGCCAGAACCTGATTACGTCCAGTAAGTTCCTCGAGCCAAGCATTGTTGGAAAGCGCATCGGTGCCGTCCTTGATGAGCTTTTTGGTAGCCACGCTCAGTTCAACTGTGAAATCTACGACCGCAATGATGCTCGTGGCGAGACAGACAGCAGACAGAGGATCCCTGTTCGTCGTTCGTGCCCCGGATGTGATGCAAAAACATGAGGATCCAGCTGAGCTTCGACAAGAGAAGGTGTCGTCCAGCCTTTCCCGCGCATACATGAGCCGCCGATCAGGCTGATGCAGATAGGCCGCATGATTGGGACCACGATCGCGGAGTTGCATATGCATAGCCGCCACTGCCCATAGATAGGGCAGCCCGCACGGCGTCTGAGCGCTGTTGCATGTGGATCCCGGCGGCCTCAATGAACGAGCTCAGGTCAGAGGATTGGTTCAAGAACCTAACAAGACAAAAAAGCTCGGCATTATCGCTATCTGGCCATAAAGCTACCAAGATCTCACGCATGCTAATCCCCAAACAAAACCAGCCCGAACCGCCCCTGCCCACACCGTTCCTCAATAAAACCCACCCTACTGCCCCGTCTCCGTCTCCACACCCGGCTGCCTCCCCTCCAAACCCCCTGTAATCTTCCCCTTCAACCGCCTCAAACCAATAATCCCCTCATCCTTAGCAAACTTCAAATTCCTCGCCGGCTTCCACTGCATCATCCCCCTCTGCTTCCTCTCCTCCGTCTTCTTATTCTGCCGATTGACTTGCTTCGGGCTCATATCATCGAGCGTCGAACCCTGCGTCCCCGAGGTCCCCGCCGTGTTGGCGGTGTCGGTTGTGCCGGTCGTCATACCGGATTCCATCGTCCCCGTTGTGCGGACAGAGTGCATGCTTTTGCGTCCGGGGGTGCCATTTGTGCCTGCGTCGCCGGCTAGGAAGGAGTCGTTGTCATCGTCGTCTTCGTCATAAGTGTCGTTCCCCGTATCCACCTCCGTCTCGCCCTCTACAAGTGGACCCTCAGCACGTGATGCATGTCTCCGCTTCCCATGACTCTCAACATAGTTTGCCGGATCATCGCCAAATGCTCCGCTCCAATCCGTGCCCTGCTTGCTCAACCACCTCTGCTTGTCCTCTTCTGACGCCGCCTTAAGCACATCACGACCCTGCGTAAGACTCTGATCATGCAGCTCACTGACCCTCTCCGGCAACTCCTTCTCCACCTGCCTCGTCCGTACGCCCTCAGCAAGACAAGCCTCCCACGTCTCGTACGTCTCGCGAGAATCATTATCGACAATGAAATGCTCATGACTCTCATCCATACCCGCCTTGAACCGACCCTTGAACTTCAGATGTCCGACCACCTTGATATCCTCCAAACCTGGGATTTCGCCCTTATTGACCATCTCCTCGGTTATGAAGTTCTGCGTCAAGTGCTGCGGCGCCGAGCAAGAGTAGATAGGAGTTTCAATATCCACATCCTCGTTATCTGTCAAGGTACTCAACCATAGCACAGCATACGCATCCGGCTTCCGCTTGTTCGCTGTATGGAACTCGAAGACCACGGGAGATCGATAACGGTACTTGACAGGAAGTCGGGTGACCTTATCCTCGGCGCTCTTGACGGCCTTGGTAAGGTCCCAGTAATAGCCCTGACTATCACCCTCAACCATATCGTCTTTCCCAATCGCATGGCACACAGATCGGGAGATCTTACCAACCGAGCCGCCAGTGCGGAGCTTGACACGGGCGTGATGAGTATAACCTGTTGCGATAATCCTCTCCGACGCGAACATGAAGGTGCCTACGTCCCACCCAAGCTGACGAGGAGGTAGCCGAGTCTCGATAGAGCGGAAGAGAAGAGATATACGGATGCGGCCAAAGCCAATGCCGCCGTCGAGAGGGTACCAGCGAGTGACCTGGCTGCTTGTGTCGAGGATATCGGTAAGCTTGAGAGGAACAACCCCAAGAATCGGATCATGCTGTCGATTCCTCGAGTCGCGTACCGTAACAGTAATAAGCGCTGATCTCCAATCGCGAACGAATCTCTCCGTACCCGCATTGAAGATCGGCTGGCTACTAACAGCTTTACTTCTCGTACGGTAAACCAGCTCGTCATTGTACAGGATTGTGCAATAACTTGTGGGCAAATCACCGCCAGTCTCAGCGGCGGCATCACCATAAGCCTTGGCTGGCTCAAATTCGCGACCAGCCTTCTTGTTAGGATTGCTGCCCTGGATGTTCTCGAGCTCGAGGTTGACAATTTGATGGACGACGATGGAGCAGATGCCCGATGGCCAGAGAGGGTCCGGAGGGGTGTGTTGCACCGCATCATCTTGTTCGCTGTTTGCCGTACCCTTCTGATCTTGAAGTTCTGGTCTGTTCTTGAGGTTGTCGGGTAGGTTCGTATTCTTGCCATCGGTGCGAAGGGCTGGGCGGAGAGATGGTTTGCCGAAGAAGCCGACTTCCCAGTGCAGCTCACCAGGCATTTCGGAGCCCTCGTTCATGCCGGAGAGCTTGCTGACTTGCGGATACATCTTGCCAGGATGCTGAATCAGTTTCTGCATGCTGAGTTCGACTTTGCCGACAATGTCATCCGCAGAGTGTCTATCGCTATCCCAGAGCTCAACACTCAAATTCTCATCAGCCTTGATCAGCTCGGGCGTAACCAACAGTGCAGTCGTCTCCTCCCACACCGGGTTTAGATCATCCGTGATGACACGGGTGCAGTACATGGGCTTGCCATATTTGCTGAATGTGAGAGTAATGTACGGGTCGCTGCCGCCGTGCTTGCTACCACGCTTGTCCTGCTTCGAAAGCCCAACAGCCCGGTGAATGCGGATCCACAGCACACCCATTGCCTGCACGTCCTTTGCGATGTCGTCTCCCTGCAGCATAGCGCGCATATCCATGGACATACTTTTCGGCGCCACATACAAGCTCGCTGCAGCACCAATGGCGTAGTTGACGAACTGTGAGATTAGTGGCAGGTTGAGGATATTGACACCCTTCTCCACCATTGGTATACAGCCAGCCTGGACGTGTGGCAGGCCCATGAGTGTGAAGGTGAGGGTTTTGAGGAACGGTGGCTCAGGTGTCATAGCCATTCGTAAACGCACGGTGCCGACCAGTTCCTGCAGCTCGACAAAAATCGGGAGTGGTACGCCGAACAGGCCCTTGATACCAAGGTAGAAGACCAGCTGCATGTGCATATTCCTCGCCTTGTCACTCGCGCGCTTGCCAGATGGCGAAGCATGATATGCGAATGAGACCTCAAGATTGTAATAGTCGCCACCCTCCTCATCGGCGGCAGCTTCTTGTGGGTCCTTTGTTCGCTTGTTCTCGTCATGAATTGCTCTCTTCATATCGCCCATGTGAGTATCAGGCAGCGCACGTAGCGACAAGATACGAATGGGGTTGCTGCCTTGGCTGATCTCTGCAACCCGCACGTTCTCGATGATACCAGGAACGGAGGCTTGCATGACATCCTCCAGGGTGTCGGCGACCGGGATGAACATGTCCGGGTTAACTAGACCCCAGACTACGCCCAAGAGCGTGTTCATCCATTCCACTGATTCAGGGAGAAGATTGGCGGTAGCAGTAGCTCCACGCTCCTTCTCGCTTTCCCACTCCACCTCGCGACCTGATCGCACTACCTCCTTGACCCACAGCCAGATACCACTGGCTACGCATGCTGCGAGTGGAATGATACCGATGTATTTCCCACCAAAAGTCTTGCCTAGGATGATGATGGCGAAGAAGACACCGATGATCATGTACAGACCTCTCTGCTCCAGACGATTGAAGGTAGGCTCGTAGCTTACACTCGGTGTCGGATGAAACAAGATATTCGTCTTCTCGCCATGAATCGGCACATCGCTGGTACTACCTTCGGCAATGGGATCCGGTGGGGCGGTGATGTCCTGCTTCTCTTTGTACTCTGGGTTCTTCATGCCTGCTTCTGTCTTGACAGGAGTGTCCTTACCAAGATTGGCGTTGGGCACTGACAACACCGGGTTTTTGGCCTTCTCCATCATCTCCTTGTTGACATCCTCAATGACAACCTGGTTGCCGGTCACGGGATCGGTGACGGTTTTCTGGCCTACCTTGTGACCAGTGTCCTCGTTCTGATGAGCCACCACGCCATCGTCTCCTGCTGCGCTTTGCGATTTCTTCTGTGCCTTCTCAACCTTCTTCCGCTCGTCAATCTCCTTGTCGCGGTCCTTCTTGTCGGCGTCAAGTCGTTCTAGTAGCTGGTTGACTGTGGGGATCTTGTTCCTGCCCGAGTAGAAGCCACCTGGCTGTGTCTGCTGCTGGTCCGCCATTGTGCCAACACAGTGTGTCTCTGTCGTTCAGAGTGGTTGGCGGCCAAACAATCACTGCACCTGGGCGGGGTTATGCCTTCCACCACCAGAGCAACTGGCAGCTATACCGCGCAACGCTCAAAAACTGGAGGAAGTGGTTGTGGGATAAGGAGGGGCTGCCAACTTGGCAGGTACAGTAGAACTAGACCACTCCTACGACGAAATCAAGGTAAAGAGCAGGCTGCGTGTTGCCGTGCCGTGCAACATCCTCGTCCACGTCCTCCCTCACCTTTTCGAGCTCCTCCTACGTCATATTCGACAGATCGGAGCAAGGGGGGTATCCACTCCTGCCAAGCCACCAGCGGCGACGACGACGATGTTTCGTGGACGAGACTGTCTCGTCTTGGCAGAAGCCGTTGTACATGAAGCATTATTCTTCACCACACGGCCGTTCAAATGCCTCGGATTGTCAAACATCCAATGTCTTTCGCAACCCATGTCACTACGGGCACATGATTGATGTGCAGCTCGCAACGTGCCGGTGGATCTGACCCCACCATCGACGTCGATCACATGCACCAGCTTAAGTGAAGTTCAGTCTCTCGTATCGTACCATCTCATTAGGGACACGTTACCAGCAATGCCTTCCGACGTGCTGCTGTTCATGAATGCCCGGCTCTGCCGTTATGGACGACTCGTGAATGGCATGCTGCCAATATCAATGTCAACTGGCCGGATTGTCAGCAGCGCAGAAGCCGAGGGTGCAACCAATTTTTATAATATGAGAGGTGGCATCATTGCTCCTGGGTACCTTGAATTACAGACAAATGGTCTCCGAGGCTTTCACTTTACGCATTTTGAGGACGAAGAGAGCTACCTTAAGAAGCTCGAGGATGCTTGCACATATCTTCCGCAAACCGGTTGCACCGGCTTTTATCCTACCATACCGACTGTGCATAGTGACGAATTCAAGAAGGTGGGTGATACTGTGACATCTCCTTGTGTGCAGTTCTGATGAAGCGTACAGTAGATCCTGCCGTCGTTGAGACCACGAGACTTTGCCAATGGCGCCTCTATCCTTGGCGCCCATGCAGAAGGACCCTATCTCCATCCAAGCAAAAAAGGCGCCCACAATGCTTCGCTCTTCCACCAGGCTTCAAAGCCGCCAGAAGAGATCTATGGATCAACAGCGAAGTCAAACGATGTCTTGAAAATCGTAACCATCGCCCCCGAATTGGAAGGTACTCCCAAACTCGTCTCTGATCTAACCTCCAAAAGTATACGGGTCTCGCTCGGTCATTCAAGCGCCTCCTATGCTCATGGTCTCGAAGCCGTCAAAGCCGGAGCAACATGCCTAACCCACACCCTCAACGCAATGGCATCCCTCCACCACCGGGACCCAGGGCTAGCTGGCCTCGTGACAGCATCACCTAGCACTCTCCAGAAACCAAGCGACAGTCCTTATTTCTCCATAATACCAGACGGAAACCATCTCCACCCATCCGTCGCCACGATGTTGTTCCGTTCGAATCCGGAAAAATGTATCATAATAACCGACTCCATCGAGCTCGCCGGCTTACCAGATGGCACCTACCCCGGCCACTCCCAGATCCCTCATAACCAAACAAAACTCGGTACGAAAGTCGTTATCGAAGGGACAGACACGCTGATAGGTGGCTGTGCTGGGTTGGACGAGTGTGTAAGGAATGTGATGCAGTGGAGTGGATGTGGGGTGGCGGAGGCGGTGAGGTGTGTGACGGAGAACGTGGCGAGTCTGATGGGATTGAAGGATAGAGGGTTCTTGGCAGTGGGCAAGAGGGCGGATTTAGTCTTGCTTGATGAGGAGGGGAGGGTGAAGGAGACGTGGATCCAGGGACGCCAAGTCTGGGTCGCAGGCAGCTGAGAAGTGAATGAGGGAAGGTAGTGTGAAGACGACTGGACGGTGAGGGAACGCAGCTTGCTGACTTTAATGCGCAGTCTTGCGTGACATATCATTGTACACCGTCTGATAAGAGACATGTAGCAACTCAATCCTCAAGACTTGGTACCGTGCTACGTTCCATTTTGCTCACAGAAAATAGATCAGTATTCTCTGCATTGCAGGCGCTTGCTGGTCTTGATAGTCCGACATTGTTCGAGCAAACTCTTGATACTATGAGTCGACTATACATTAACGCTAAGATGCCAGTCCAGTACGACCCTCGCAACCGGATCGGCACACCCGAAGATGAGTGACCAGGCAAAGCCGAAAGGCAAGTCGACCAAGATCACCAAGGAGTCTTTGGACAAGCCACTCCCGCACGAACCGCTGCCAGATAAGTCGACTTCAGACGACGGCCAGAACGAACATGTGGAGACGAGCCATGCAGATTCCGGACCTACAGTACCTTTCATAGCGCAAGCTCTTCGATCTCCCCGTAGCGGAGGAAGTCTTGGGCCATCGGACTCTGAGCAGGATGATTTGACCAGTTTGAGCGAGTCGGCTCTTGAATGCATGCACACGCTATCAGCCCCTGAGACGACTGGTCCTCCATTCGCAGAGCCAAAGCAGGATCATGAACCCAAAGACAGTCTATCCGCTTCTGGTGGACCAGAGACTACAGCAGAAACCGGGATATCTGTTGCTCGACCCAAGGACGCTAAGCAGTCCGAGCCGCTAAGCAGTCCGAGCCGCTAAGCAGTCCGAGCCGCTAAGCAGTCCGAGCCGCTCAATGCTCATGAGACAAGTGCTGAGCGGTAAGCGCGTCGAGATAGTACAGCCACGCGCTGGCGCCCAACCCCTGAGCCTGGAACGTCTCAAAAAGTGGTTTGATACCAACATCCATGTAAAGATCTCGGACGCTGACGCAGTCTTATTCCAAAGCGCATCTGACGGCGAAAATGGCGGCACACTCCCGATGTTCCAAGAGGCAGTACTTTACGCATACCAGCACATCGAGCCGCTGCAAAGAGTCGTCAAAGTGTTAAAGCTCCGGACTGTGGAGCTAGGAGATGCTGATACGGAGAGCTGGCTTCCAAAGGACGTTGTTAGTGGTGAGCCTGCCGACAGCATCGATGTACCCATGCGGAGTAAGGTGTGGATATTGCAGGAAGCGAGTAAGGTGAAGCTGAGAGAGAGGTTTGTGTTGCTAGCTGTGGCAAGGAAGATGTCGGAGGGTGCCAGGAAGGAGACGGCGCTTCGTGTTAGGCGGCAGTGATGGCCGTTCGGAACAGAATCTGATCGATGCTAGCAAGGACGCACTGGACAAATGCAGTATGCCTGGAGAGTCAGCACTATTACTTGAGCTGGACTGTTCAATATGCAGCCTGCTACTCCGGTGTTAATCGTCTTAACCATAGTGATACTGGGCCGCTGTCAAGAAGTTATTGGCTGATGCAGGTCGTTTTCGGTGTCCCCGCTCGTCACAACACCAAGACAGAACAAGAATTGGTCGCGCAATCCTCGTACAGCCAAGTCCACGAAACCCTCACTGGTTGGTATAACACCCCGGCAGCTTCGGGAGGGCGGCTGACGACGCCACGGTCGAACTTCTCAAGCGCTGGTTCGAAGCCAATCTCGAAGAAAACCTAGAGAAGGCAGGAAGGTCACTCTCCGTGTGCTTGGCAGAGGTACAATGTATCCCTACTCACGATACGCTGGTACAAGGTCTTGAGTATAGCTTGGAGCGCAGGGTACGTCTGCAACAGCTGGCTATCAACGGGGACGTCGGTCGCATCTGGGATCCTGCTTTGTGCGCTGCTTCAGCTGAGTTTCACGAGAGGCTGTATATCCTGCGGCTAACGGAGATGTCGGAGGCGTTGGGGCTGAGCCACCAAGTCGATGTTGCTACCCTGACCAAGACGTTCGTTCTTGAGGCGGTGATCAAGACACTCTTTGAGCAGAACTTAGAGAAGTCGGCGCAGGAGAACGAGGATCAGTGAGCCGAGACGCTGGGTGAACATAATGGTTGACGAGCAGGCGGTGGAAAGATAACCATACCTTGAGGATCGGTGGTATGATTCTTACAATGCTTCGATCGGTAGTCCAACGCTTTTGTAGCGTAGAAAAATCAACTCGCAAGATGAGGTGGGTCATTGCAAAACCAGTAGATGACTTGTCTACTTCTCATCAATAGCAACAACATCAATCTCAACCTTCATCTCCGGAAGTGCCAAAGTCGCCACCCCAAGCATCGTCCAAATAGGTTTATGACCCGGCGCATACTTCTTGAGATTCCCGATCATAGCCTCCAGAACAGTCGAGTCAATAGTACCGACATGGTAACTCTTGATGCTGAAGACCGACTTGAAACCATCTTTAACCCCAGCCGTCTTCAGGGTAAGGTCAACATTGGCGAAAGCCTGGTCGATTTGTTCCTGCCAGGTCTCGAGGCATTTACCGGTTTTGGGGTCCCATCCACCTTGAGTACTGTAAGTAGCTGGGCGTCTTATATGGTACAGGAATGGCTTGAGCAGCTTTCGAGAGAGAGACAGACCTTGACCGGAACACTCGACGCGATTTGGTGGGACTCGAACAGCTTGACTATAACGGTAGGTCTCGAAAGCATAATCGCCGTAGCCTTCGTAGTGCGAGTACTCTAGATTTGACATGGTGAGCTTGTGTGATATGCGTCTAGTCCGAGAGGGATTGATGTTGGTGTTTGGGAGGAGGTGGAAGTCGTTCGACAGCTACCTCCTACTTATGTTATTGGTGGTCTGACCAAGCCACTGCATCTCCGGAAGCGCAGCCAAGAAATGCTCCTCATCTGCTCCAACCACCAATAACATTAGCAGAGGCTGGCTGTCGACGAGTGGTAGCAGATCAGCCAACGTGCCATGCAAGAACTGATCCCATATAGGCAATTGGGAGCGAGCAGTGGTCGCAAAGCAACCATTAAGGCACATGATTATAAATGATGAAGTGAATGATCGCGCACGGTCCACGATTGGCTCCAGCTTCTTTTCCAGCTTTCACATTGCCGAGACTTCTCCCTTCACAATGACGATGGTCACGCCAGTGGGTCTTTGCGAAGATCTCGTCCGCTATGCTCCGCTCACAAGGGCAGGTCGAATGTAGCATGGTTGCAAATCAGGACAGCAAGAGATAGCGCACGCTGTGCTCTTATTAGGACGTCACGAACGCGGTAGTATTCTCCAACTTCTGACTTCCTGTCACATACTCTACCTTCCCTTCCTTGCTCCCACAGCATCAGAGAAAACGTATCAAGGAGTGGGCTACGACACTGACCACACAGCAATACACCCGACATATTCGCCATGGGTTCAGCACCACCTGCCAGCAAGCTCTTCGAGCCCATCTCAATCGGCAACAACAAACTCTCCAACCGTCTTGTGATGGCTCCTTTGACGCGATTCAGGGCTGACGATAGCCACGTTCAACTGGACTTCGTCAAGGAATACTACACTCAGCGATCAGCCGTTGCCGGAACCCTTCTGATTACTGAGGCTACATTCATCTCGCCCGAAGCCTCCGGATTCCCCAACGTACCCGGAATATGGCACGACGACCAAATCAAGGCATGGAAAGAAATTGTGGAGAGTGTGCATGAAGCAGGAGGGGTGATTTATCTACAGCTATGGGCTCTTGGACGTGCAGCCAACGCGGACACGAAGAAAACCGAAGGGACGGGCGATGTAGTCAGCGCGAGCGATGTTGCTATGTCCGATAACAGCCCGGCACCTCGTCCCTTGACTGAGGAGGAGATTCAGACGTATATCAAGCAATACGCTACTGCAGCGAAGAACTCGGTCGAGGGGGCTGGCTTCGACGGCGTAGAGATCCACGGTGCGAATGGTTACCTCATCGATCAATTCACACAGGACAATTCGAACAGGCGTACCGATGCCTGGGGCGGGAGTGTAGAGAAACGGGCAAGGTTCTGCTTGGAAGTCAGCAAAGCCGTAGTCGACGCGGTGGGAGCGGACAAGACGGGAATTCGTCTGAGCCCGTGGTCCACCTTCCAAGGCATGAAGATGGAGGACCCAATACCGCAGTTCTCCTACGTAATGCAAGAGCTCAAGAAGCTGAAGCTTGCTTACGTCCATTTGGTCGAGTCGCGTATCTCTGGCAACGCCGACGTTGAGACCACAGAGAAGATCGACCCCTTCATCGACATCTGGGCGGGCACATCACCAATCTTGGTCGCTGGTGGTTTCAAACCTGATAGTGCGAGGCGGGCTGTGGATGAGGAGTACAAGGATAAAGATATTTTGATAGTGTTTGGGCGGTATTTCATCTCGAATCCTGATTTGGTTTATAGGTTGGAGAAGGGGATTGAGTTTACGGCTTATGACAGGGATACTTTTTACAAGGCGAAGAGTGAGGATGGCTATACTGATTATCCTTTCTCTGAGGAGTGGAAGAAAGAGCATTCGGCGAAGGTTTGAAGAGGAACAGAGTGAGATAGATTCGACAGAGATAGACCACTGAACTAATGACTCATTGTTCCTGATACTGCGATGTGGATGGCCGGTTCGGTAGTGAATCCCTTGTACTGGCACCGAGCGGCACATTTCAGAATCTCAAATCGCAACGATCGATGGCGGCTTTCGGCTGCCAAATCATTCACCTGGAAACTTTTGACTGCGCGTTAGCGTCAGATATCTCTGAGCCAATCGATAAGCTCTGATACATTATCGATAACCATAAATCCGGGTCGAAATAATTCTTGAGAACGAGCACATCTGAGGATAGCCATGGCCAGAATTCTTCCAATTGCCTAGTCATTGAAACACAGGCTGGCGACCTCAGCAGTACCTTTCCGCTTCAAAGCCGGCGGTAGCGGAGGCAACATGGTCCCCACCACTGACCACCACCACCGCTCCACCACCAAATCCTCGAACAAGCCTTTCAAAACCAAGCACGCTACCAAAAGTGCTCTGAAAGAACGCTCGAAGGGCAAGGTGGAGAAGCTGGAGGTTGGTAATAGAAAGACACCACATCAGCAGGTCATGTCGAAAATCGATCGACGGAATCATGCCAAGCAGTTGAGACAGAATAAGTTGGGAGAGAGGAGGGAGGAGGGGAGTGTGTTTACGGGCAGGGATGGAGCGCCAAGAATTGTCGCTGTTGTGCCGTTATGTTCGGATGTGGAGAGTGCGACAGTTGTGAAGCATCTGAACGAGAGCATGGACGTTGATGAGGCGGCGATGGAAGGAGGGAGGGTGGAGGTGCCGAGATTCAAGACGAGGGTGCAGTATTTGACCCCTGCGAGGGAGTTGTTTGCAGTGCTGGATGCATGTCGGGTCGTGGATTTCGTATTGTTTGTGTTGAGTGCGGAAGAGGAAGTGGACGAACTTGGGGAGCAGATGTTGAGGACGGTCGAATCGCAGGGTGTGAGCACTGTGCTTACTGGTGCTTATGGTCTGGATAAGATCGAGCCGACGAAGCGAAGACCGGATGTGCTCAAGAGTCTGAAGAGCTTCATCACGCACTTCTTTGCCATGCAGGAGAAAGTGTATGATTTTAGCAGCAGGCAGGATTGCAGTAACGTCATGCGCAGCTTGTGCACCACTACGCCGAGAGGTATTAGCTGGCGAGAGACGCGGAGCTGGATGACACTGGACGATGTGAGGTGGGAAGAGGCCGGCCCTGTTGTGACTGGCACGATCAGAGGCAAAAATCTGAAAGTCGACAGGTTGGTACAAGTTGGCGACTGGGGTGACTTTCAGATTGAGCGAGTAACGGCTGCTACGATCGAGCGAAGCAATAAGCGTGCGAAGCCGAATGATATGGCAGTCGATGCTACAGGTGGTGAGCAAGAGCTGGAGCAGCCAGGCGAAGACCAGGACAACCTGGCCGAGCTAGCGCCAGAAGAAATTGTCATGGACGATGCGATGAGTATGCCAGCTCCCTCGATGGCGGCATCAGAGCGTAAGCACGTATTACTCGACGACCACCAATACTTCGACGAAGACGAGCAGGAAGATATACCCATGCCCAAGCGCCTTCCGCGCGGTACCAGCAAATACCAAGCAGCGTGGTACCTTGGCGATATGTCAGACTCAGGATCAGACATGACGGACGTCGAGCCTGATCGAGATGGCGACTTTGACATGGACGGCTCGGCAGCTCTGGGCCCTGCCGATGGACACTTCGAGAGTATGACTATGCGTGATCCGACAGAAGCTGGAGCGTCGGAGTATCCGCAAAGCGAGTTCTTTCCTGATAAGGCACCACAGGATGAGGCCGAGCAGATCGCCGCTTACCGTAAGCAGAGGAGAGAAGAGGCTGAGGACGATCTGGAATTTCCAGATGAGATCGAGCTACATCCTGGCATGGATGCCCGAGAACGACTGGCGAGGTATCGAGGCTTGAAGAGTCTACGAAACAGCAAATGGGAGACGGAGGAGGATCGTCTGCATGAACCTGAGGACTGGAGCAGATTACTGGAAATCTCCGACTACAAGTCAGCCAAGAACCGTGTCCTCAAGGAAGCTCTTACAGGTGGTATCAAAGCCGGCACAAGAGTCCACATCCACCTTCGCCTCTCAGCAGACCAATGCAAAGAACAAATGCAAGCCTTGCCAACACCAACATCGCTCTTCTCCCTCCTCCGCCATGAGCATAAATTGACCTCCGTCAATGCCTCCATGTCACTCTCATCCGAATACGGCGTGCCTCTTAAGAGCAAAGAAGAGCTCATCATGCAGTGTGGACCAAGACGTCTCGTCATCAATCCCATTTTCAGCCAGGCGGGCAATACACCGAATAATGTGCATAAATTCGATCGGTATTTGCACCCAGGTATGACAGCGGTAGCGTCGTTCATTGGGCCTGTGATTTGGGGGAGTGTGCCGTGTCTGTACTTCATGCGGCGCGAACCATCACAAGGACCTGCAAACGATCCTGTGGAAGATCTGGGACAGAGCACGAAGACCTCACAGGCGGGCGACAGACTAGGCCTCATAGCAACAGGCACATTCTTACCTCCATCAACAACCGAAAACAGAATCATCACCAAACGTATCATCCTCACCGGCCACCCTTACAAGATCCACAAGAAGTTGGTGACGGTTCGGTATATGTTCTTCTCCGACGCGGATGTAGAGTACTTCAGTGCTTTACAGCTGTGGACGAGAAGAGGCAGGTCAGGATTCGTCAAGGAGCCGTTGGGTACGCATGGGTACTTTAAGGCGACGTTTGATGGGAAGATTAATCCGCTTGACAGCGTGGCTGTCAGTCTATATAAGAGGGTCTGGCCTAGGAAGGCTAGAGCGTTTGTGCCTGGGCAGTTTGTATCGAGCGAGGGAAAGATGGGAGGAGTAGAGGAAGTGGGAGATGAGGTGCCTATGCTTGTCGAGGCGTAAGCAGATGTAAATTGCTTAATGCTACGGAAGTGGCTACATCTCGAACCATGCCACTTCTTGCTTAGACTCCTGTTGTTATATCTCCGCGCTTTGCCACATCAGGTCTTACACAGCTACAGCCATAGCGACAGTAGTCTCAGAAACAACAGCAATCTCGTCACGACTCCTCAGATCCTCCAATGTCTCATCAAGACCCGACTGTAGTTCGTCGGGAGGAGAGACACGACTCCCCTCCCCATCCTCAAGCAAGCCATGCTGAGCCAAAAGATCCCATTCCATCATAGCGATCTCGACTTCCAACAAATTCACATCATCCAGTCCACAACCCTTCACCTTCCGTCTAATCTCCTCCAGCACCTCAACCTCGTTCAGCAGGCTGAGATCCACACGCACCCAACCCTGATCCGGACAAGCTTTGACATCATCGGTGAAGCGGTCGGTGATGCACATCTCCAGTTCCGCTAGGTGCGCTGTTTCAGGGTCGCCGAGCTGGTAGTCGATGTAAAGACGTTTTAGGACGCCGGCTAGGGTGCGAGAGGGGATCTCGATGACTTTGGATTCGCCGACGACTTTCTCTGGAAGGAACACGGGGATGGCCATGTGACCGTTCTGGATGAAGTCGTGGATCCGAAGGATCTTAGCTTTGACAAGTTTGGTGAGTGGTGCTGGCTGATGCGATGGTTCGAGTTCTGCTTCGGCTGGTTTTTGGGACCCAGGTGCTAAACGTATGCGCTTGGTGCTTGTGCTCTTGGTCCGTTTGGTGCGTTCCTGTGGCTCTGAATGGTCGGTGAGCTTAGTCTTGATGCAGATGTGGTCGTGATCACTGCTGAGTGCGCTATCATGAGCTGAGCTTGGTCCTGCTTGGTCCAGCTCGATGGCTTCGGACTTTTTGGACTTTGGTTTAGCTTTCGATTTGGTTCTCTTAGGTGGCGAGGCGACTTCGGGTGTGGCGACGTCGTTGTCTGGCTTCTCAGCACCTACTGCCGTCTTCGCGACATCTGGAGTTGAGTCAACATCCCGTGGTGTATCCGTGTTATCCTCAGTCGTAATTTTCTTCGTATTTATTTTACACTTCTTCGCTGGAGGTGTATCGACATCTTCCGGTGTAAGTCCGACTTGTGCGAGCAAGTACTCGCGGTGCTCTTTCATTTTGGCTACGATCTCTGTATCCGGTAACGATGAATTACCAGAGGCTGTCGTCGTCTTGGGCAAGTCATCTCCACTGCTTGAAGCCTTGCGCTTACCCATGTTGCTGTATGCTAAGTAGAATATGTATGCTCTGAATGCTGGTGTTCCAAAAGTGCCCGAAGATCGTTTTGGGATAGATTGAGATTGTACAAACCTTGATGATATCTGAATACTTTAGTTATGGTGTAGTCGCCGCTTGCGGATGCTTGTCGCGCTGGAATGTTCTGACCGCGAGCTGGCGTTGTTATAAAGGACTTGTATATGGAGCAGACTGAAGAAAGATATGTGTATGAAGCTTTATAGCTGCGGGTGACAATGGTTGACATATACCATTGTGTGTTGTTTGTGAATTCAAGGACATGGGTACATGTGAATGTGAGCTTGCGCCGCGTAAGGATGCAGCAGCCGCTTCAAGCCGCCAGACCTCTATTGCCAGATGTATGTACTCACAGTTGATGACGGCTCCGAATGCGCGACATTACATGGTGTTATCTGGTGGTTGTGTAACAAGGCTTCACACAAGTCGAGGTACTGTAAGATTAGAAGTGGTGATGTTATTCACTCGAGTCATTGCACGTGGCTAGCGGCGGGAACGACCGCTCGGCACGTGGGCGCGCCGGCGTTCCGTCATCGTTCGCCGCTGGCCGCAGGAAGCTCTCACTAACTGAGCAATCGTTCCTGCAGCCTCGCAACTGGTATCTGTTATTGCCTTACGACATCACATCTTGATACTTAATCGAGCATCACACGATTCGAGCTTTGCAAACAAACGCCACCAAAGTTTAGAGGACAGCGCCTGCGCCGCTGCCTTCACTACGAAATCCGAGATCAAGTTCTGAACAAGAAACAGCACAGACATAAGCTTTCGCACGCGTGCAACTCCATCAAGCAACTCATACAACCTTCCATCACCTCACTTCGACCACGAGACACAGGTTGCCACGCTTGCTACTTCCTGTTTGAGCGAGCACTATTTCGACCACGAGATACCATCCTCTTACCAGCCTCACCAGGCAGGATCCCACGAGCAAACGGCGAAGCTGGCGGAGCACAAGTGGCCGATCATCCCACACCTGGAGGAGAAGGAGTAAGCAGTGAGCGCAGTGGGCGCGATGGGGCGGATCAAGAAGGTCGCCAACGAGCGCCACACGGCAACACTGTCGCCGTTCATCGAGGAGTATGTCACACAAGCCACATCGACACCTCTGTATCGATTACCACAGAAGCTCGCAGAGTTCCCACAGCAATGGCCGTTTCCACGCGGTGACTTGTATCACTGGATACCGCTACTGAACCGCTTCGATCATGTCCTGGAGCTGTTTGTCAAGGAGTACGAGTTGCACAATGGCCCGCAGACACAGCCATTCAAGCGGCAAGTGCTGCAGAACGGCGATGCTGAGGAGGGTATGCCATACCCCGGCGAGGGCGCCAAATGGGATGAGCTTGACAGCATAGGCTATTCTGAAGAGGGTGATCGCGAGCTGGTGGAATCGATCCTCTACTTCTCAAGGCTACTGCATGAGCGTTGTGGGAATAGGAGCTTGTACGACAGCAGTGGACACATTAACGACTTGCTACACACGACCTCGCTTAGTCTCCTTCGACTCAGCCTGAAGCTCGCTCTCCGACTGGCTCAGCGGTATCAGGTTGCTAGGTACAAGGGTCAGGGATCACACAACACTGCGAAGCTGATGGCGGAGAACTACAATATCAATCTCGATAATATGCAGAAGCTTGCTATGCCTTTTCCAAAGCCTTCATCATCATCATCATCATCGACAGGCGTTCAGCCCGTCACACCTGGCAAGGGTAAAGAAAAAGCTATGGTGGCGCAGACGTTCAACCCCTCCGATCTGGTCACGATTGCAAAAGAACCTAGCACTCTTGCATCGAAAGGTGATTTGTGCGGTGTAAATGTGAGCTTCTACAACGCCCCACAACAGAGCTCTACAACCTCGGGACCGTTATCAGAGCCTACCGAAGCTTCACCTAGTACGCCAACGCCCGCTCGCAGAACCTCCAATCTTGGCCCATCGAGAGACCGTCCGACATCAGGCAATTCAGATGAGATGCCTGAGACGCCGTCGCGATCACGAGAAGCAAATGGGCCAGATGCGATTGCACCAAAAGTCTTCCACATCACCTCCACGAATGTGGCCGAGTCTCCTTCTTGGGCACTAGTGCGTCAAGGCCTACCGAATGTACCGTCGGAGATGCGCTACGATCTGCTTAATCGCATACGCATCGCGAAGGTCTTTGCGTCATCTGATCTGCCTACGCAAGCACTTCTCGAGATTCGGCTGCTGGCTATTGCCAACCTAAGCTTCGCGCTTAGCGAGTCAAAGTTTCAGGAGAAGATCGGTATTCCTGACAATGAAGAGCCTCGACGCTTCCACCTGGCGCAGCAGCTGTGCGATCTGCTTCAACCGGCCACGAATGGCCAAGCCGCATTGAGTCTAGAGCTTGAGACTGTTGTGCTTCACACTATCGAAGCACTTTTGAAGTCGAGACACAAGATCACAGAGGTCATTGACACACTCTCCATCAACGTCAATCACGGCATCCTCTATTACGAGCTGCGCAAGGTCATTGCCACGCTTGCCTCGGAAGAGCATGACAACGTCTCCGATGAGCTTCGTAAGCTCGAGTGGCGCGAAGCAACGTTTGATCTCATCCATAATCTTCAGATCCAGCAGGCGCAACCTAGGGTGGGCGAGCGACTGGTTTCTGCCGGTATCATGAGTATTCTGATCGAAGTCCTCAGCTTGCGCACATCCCGAGCCGAGCGCTTCAAGGAGCGTGTACTAAGCTTCTTCGCGAGCTTCATCCACAATATTCAGGCTGCCATGCAGACCTTTGCCACCGACAAAGGCTTCGACATTCTGGCTGATCTTACTCAGTATGAGGTCGAGACGACTCTTGCAGCTGCGCAATCGGGCAATGGTCTCCCAACCGAGTACAAGTCCAAGGTCGTCGACTACGAGATTCCTTTCTACCAGCAATCCACCCTGCGTCAGCTTCTGAAGTTCGTTGTTCAAATGTTCGACAGCCACAATGCTGGCACTCACGACCGTCTTCTGCGCAACTTCGTCGACACGCCACAAATCCTTGCGTCGTTGAAAGCTGTCATCGAGAATTGGAAGATCTTTGGCAGCAACGTCTGGACGAGTGGAGTCAACATTATGAGTGCTTTCATCCACAACGAGCCCACCAGCTATCAAGTCGTTGGCGAAGCCGGTCTGCCTAGAATATTTCTCGAAACTATCACGGATCAAAAGCTGCCAGAGGAGATTTCGACCGAGTTCGAACCAACAGCTAAAGACCTGCCTGTCGATATCGAGTTCATCGATGGCGTACCACAGTGGCCAACTATCTCGGGAATTCTTCCGGTTGAACAAACTATGTCTGATGTCCCAGGTGCTTTTGGCGCTATCTGCCTGAACGAGAATGGTATGGCCTTGTTTCAAGCCTCGAAAGTGCTGATCAAGTACTTCGACATCTTCGTCTCACCACTTCACGTCAAAGCCTTGGTAGAAGACGACTTGATGGGCAACAGTGGCGCAGCGAACATTGGCCAGGCTTTCGACGAGCTGGCGCGGCACCAGCCGCGTCTGAAGGACCTCATCAACATGTCTGTCTGTGCGATGGTCAAGAGAGTGGCGAAGCTCAGTCGAAATATGGCGCGGCATCGTGCAAACGGTGCCAAGCTTTGGGTGCGCTCCGCTGACGGCTTTGAGGTTGAGGGCGGTCGTGCTGCCGTGGCTGGTGCGACCCAGACCGGTACTGCAGCTAGTGAACTCGCAGAGATCGCCATGACTGAGAGGACTGTCCGCGATGCCGATTTCGAAGACGCCGAGAAGGTTGAGGCTCTCCGCTTCACTGCTGCTTGCATCAAGTTCCTGGAAGGCTTCCTTAGCAACAGTGGCATGTGCGCTCTCTTCTGCGAGACTGGTGGGGCCGAATGGGTCCTCGATCTTGTCACATCTCCGAGCAATCCCGTTGAGCTTGGTACGTTTGCCATGTACAAGAGCTTTTCGAATGTGCTCAAGGCTATGTGTGAGAGCAAGGCACATCTTGTACTTCCCAGCTTACTGAGGAGGCTGGAGAACGCGCTGGGTGTCGTCATGCCTACGATGGAGCAAAAGCTTGATTCGCAAACTGGACTATTCCAATCGTTTGTGAAGGTCGAGGCCGATCACCTGCCTTCTGGACACACTGGTTGCGCAGTAGATGGAACGACACTGCTCAAGTGCATGAGTAGCACACAGATTTTGACCGACTTGCTCGGTAAAGTCCTGTCGCCTCCGACATACACTAGCAGGCATAGTGTGCAGTCGAACCAGCTTTTCACCAATCTGAACTTCACAGACGTCTACCTGCAATTTGTGGAGCAGCTCAGTACTCTGCGTTCGAACTGCTTATGGGAGAGCTTAGCGCTTGAGGCTAGTTTGTCGCAGGAGTTGAAGGACACGACCAGCCCGCAGACTCACAAGGTCCGACGTGTAGATGTCAACAATCGCATCGAGTTGACCTCGTACAATCCTGCTGAGTCGAGCACGAACGGCGACAGTGAGAAAACCGCGCGCACACCGGAGGAGTATGTCATCAAGAATGTTTCGCAACTGCGTTATGTGCTCGTTGAAGCAACCTCAGCCATCTCAAGATTCGAGCAGCATCTTGCCCAAGCTCTGGTTCCACGCCGCACCACCGAGATTGCACAGAGACAGCATGCGTCACTCGTAGCAGACAAATTGGCCACGAGCGCACTTACCAGCCTAGAGTACGTGAAGTACGATTTCCTGGCAAAGGGCGCTCAGCTCAAGTACGTGGCCGGTCTGATTCAGATGCTCCAACGCATGATGTTCAAACAGTCATTTCAGGTCCCTGGTGAAGCCAAGGAGGCTTTGACGCTCGTAACGAACAAATTCTATCTTGCTGGGGGTTTCGAGAAGCTAAACGAGTATCTCGCTATGTTCGGCGATGTCATCGCCGAGACTAAGGGCGCTGAGTCTGAGGATCCTCGTACCAAGCCTTCAACGTACGGCCTCAATGCTATCCTGGACTTCTACTCCCTGGTTGTGCGTCAGAAGACTATCAATGAAGCGCACCAATCTGGTCAGATCTCCAGTCGCCACCACCAGCATGCCGATTACTTCATGCCTGGCCAATTCGTCGTCGAGCTTCGCTACACTATCTTGCCTGCCGTCAGCAAGCTCTGGTATTCGCCCGCCATTGAGACGATGGGCGACCAGTGCGTCAAGAAAGTCATCGACATCGTGCGCCAGATCATCAAGGCCGACGGCGAAGACAAGGCTATCAAGCGCAGCGAGAAGGCCAGTCGGCGCGTGGAAACCAGCGAGCCGGACTTCTCTCTTCGCAACTTGGACCATGTTGCCAGTGTGCAGCAAGATGGGATTGATTCTAGATTGGCGAGAGAAGCCATCTATCGATGTAATAACGCCCAGGCGAATGCGAGGGAGTATGCTCAGTTGCGCACAACGGCACAGGTCATCCCGAGATTCCCTATCCCACAAGGCGAGCCGGCGGAAGGTGAAGTGCCTGATGCGCCTCCGATGGCTGAGCAGGGCGCCAATGCTATGATTGACAACGACACCGAGACTGAGCTGCCGAGCGAGAGCCAGGCGAGTGAGTCAAACATAGCTGGAGACTCGACCGAATCTGAGGACGAGAATCCTGGGACGTTGGGTAATCTGCCCGCGGACCTTCTTGGCGATGCCGGCGATCAGGACCTCATGGCCATGATTGGTGCTGGTCGGATGCAGGATATCTTGAACCTTGCTAGCAATGGTGGCAGCTCAACACCTCCTGGAGGACCCCCCTTCACGCCTCCTTCGAAAGACACAGGTAAGCCCTTCATAACGATTGAGGACCTGGACGAGAAGCGCCAAGCCTTCAAGGATGCACTCATTGATCGTTGTCTGGAAGTCCTGTCTGCTGCACCCGGTGTAACGTTCGAGCTCAGCGACCTTATACAAGCTGCAGTCGGCAAGTCAGGCCAGCGTACGACTCAGCCTTATGACATCGCGAGTACGTTGGTATCATCATTGATGTCCCTGCAGTCCGATGAGCAGAGTAAAGAGGCCGGGCTCAAGCTTGCGGCTTACGCACATCTCGTTGCTCTGATCTTGCAGGACCGCGACTTCTTCGACTCGACTTTGGAGGAGTTGAAGGAGTATCTTGATACCCTTGTAGGTTGGGTACGTCTGCAGCCTGAGCAGAAGACGGAAGATGCCCCGTGGTTGGAGATGGTCTTGCTCATCATCGAGCGCATGCTCAGCGAGGACGAGCAGCCTGTGGAGCTCAATTGGGAGCCACCACCACCCGACGACCCGCTTCAGCCGCTTGCCGAACCAATCCTTCCCGAACCTGTCGTCCCACAAGAATCTCGCGACATGCTTTTCGATGCTCTCATCGACATCCTACCGAAGATCGGCAAGAATGATTCCTTGGCATTGTCAGTTACGAGAGTGCTAGTCATGCTTACTCGGCGCCGTGATACCGCTCTTCGGCTCAGCGAGAAGCAATCCATGCATCGCCTCTTCCTAATGGTTCGACAACTGGCCGGTCGTGGAGACGAGAAGTTATACAGTTCTTTCATGCTCGTGTTGCGCCACATGATTGAGGATGAAGCTTGTCTGCGGCAAATCATGCGGACGGAGATCAAGGCTGTTCTCGAAAACGGAAGGCAGTCGAGGATCACAGACACCTCGAGCTTCACACGGTCCCTGTACTACCTTGTTCTCCGGGATCCTAAGATCTTTGTTGAGATCACTGGGGAGCTGGTGGAAATTGGCAAATTCGATGGCAACCCAAGTCGAGCGCAGAGCCTTGTGCTGAAGAAGGAGAAGCCCGTTGCTCAGCCTGCGGAGAAAGTGGTTGAAAGCGCTTCTGCCGAAGCCAAGCCTACCAATGGCGATAACGCTGAGCCCGCTGTCCAGAAGAGTACCGAGCCTGCAGCTGAAGACAAGTCTGCTGAGCCCAAGGCGCCTGTTGTGGAGAGCCCAGATGGTGTCATGGCTTTCCTGCTGCGTGAGCTGTCCAACTACAAGGATGTGGAAGAGCGGCCGGCTTTGCCGAGCAAAGACAGTCAAGCTGAAGGTCAAGCCGCTGCTGATGCGAATGTGGATGTCGACATGGCCGATGCTTCAGCATCAGCTGCACAAGCACCTAATGGAACGTCTCAAACTGAAGCAGTAAAGGCGGCCGACAAGCCTATTTTCAAGGCTGAAGAGCACTCCATCTACATCTATCGCTGCTTTTTGCTGGAATGTCTCTCCGAGCTTCTGTCATCCTACATCAGGACGAAGGTCGAATTCATCAACTTCTCTCGCAAGCCAGAGACGCAGCCTGCCACACCTATCAAGCCTCGTGCTGGTACGCTTCACTATCTCCTTTACCAGCTGGTCCCGGTCGGAACGCTTGAGCACAAGGATGACATTGCTCATCGTAAGAAGCTCTCGACTTCGAATTGGGCTACTACTGTGCTTGTTGCACTCACAGCCAAGACTCCGGAACGTGGAAGCAGATCAAATCGTACTGTCGAGGTCGATGGCGAGGAGAACGCCGACTTGGTTTTCGTGCGCAAGTTCGTGCTTGAGCATGCTATGCGTTCCTTCAAGGAGGCAACTACATCCAATGAGCCGCTCGACCAGCGCTACTCGCGTATGTTGGCGCTTGGTGAGCTGTTCAATCGGATGCTTAATAAGTCTGACCGCGACGCCTCTCCATTAGACCCTGGTCACAAGCAGCAGCTTGGTCGGTTGATGTACGAGAAGGGTTACGTCGGGGCTCTGACTTCTGCTATTGCTGAATTGGATCTCAATTTTCCCAACGCCAAGAGGGCTGTTAAGTACATCTTGGGTCCCCTCAGGCAACTGACGGATCTTGGTGTTGAGCTCAGTCAGACGTCTGATCTCTCTTCTTCAAGTGCGCATGGCACTTCGACCGAGGAGGATGATGACTCGTCTACTACAGCTACCTCCGATGAGGAGGATGACCGTGAGCAGACTCCGGACCTCCTGCGTAATACGACTCTAGGTATGCTTGAATCCGGCGCTACGCATGATGACGACTCGTCTGAGGATGACGATGAAGACGATGAAGACATGGAAGATTACGAGGAATATGATGAGATGGAAGGGATGGAGTATGAGGAGGACGAGGCTGAGCACGGTGATGTCGTTAGTGACGAAGATGAGGAGGAAGTGGAGGTGGATGGAATGGGCGAGATTGAAGGCCGGCCTGGAGACATCGAGATTGTCATGGAAGGCGATGAGGACGACGAAGATGAAGATGATGACGAAGATGAGGATGACGAAGAGATTGATGAGGATCAGGAGTTTCATGAACATCTTGACGAAATCACAGGCGACGACGAGAATGCCAGCATAGCCGACCGCGATGAGGGCGAGTGGGAGGAGGACGATGAAATGGATGCTTTCGAGGCCGAGGCTGGCCAGGGTGGATCGCCGCACGGCGGGCCTCTGGACCACATCGCTCAAGTGCTCGATCCTGATCTCCATTCTGAGACTGGTGAAGAGCACGACCACGATCATATTGTACGTGTCGATGTTGGTGAAGGGCCAGAAGACTACTTCGAAGACGAAATGCCACCAGAAGATGAAGACGAGGAGGATGAGGAGATCGACTACGATGGCGAGGTGGCTTTCGAACCTGAAATCGAGGAGGATGAAGACGAGGACATGTGGGGTATCTCTGGTCCTAATGCGGGCGCTTTCAGTGCTAGACATGATCATCATCACCATCATGGAGGCGGCGGGCTGAGGACTTGGGGCGGCATGGTCGATATGCTTGAAGGCACCCAAGGCTTCAGGGCGCCCGGTATGCGTACCCATCGTCCAGTGAATCAACCAAGCGGTGAGGATGGTAGGAATCCTCTGCTACAGCGTGGCTCGACCAATATGGGTCAGAATGGTGACGATGGAAACGACAATCCGCTCACCCGTCTCGGCAATAGGCATGGTGCTCGCGCCTTCCCACCCGTTGACTTGATTCAGGACCTTGTTGCGCAAGTTGGTGCGAATGGACATGGCACGATCAGCGTCAATATTGGCGACATGGCTGGTATGCGGCATCTCCCTGGCATGTTCAGTCTTCAAGGTGGCGCTGGACGTCGCTTCCTTGATATTGATCCTTCAAGACCATGGCACGAGCAAATTCAGCCACGCTTCGGCGAGATGGCTGGTATGCGTGGCGCGAACGACGTCCACCGATCTGGCGGCAACGATGAGGCTCGTGCTGTCGAGTTCCAGATCCATGCTACGATTCAGCGCTGGCAAGAGGAGGCCAGGATGCTATTTGCCAGCAAGCATCAAGAGAAGGCCCTTCGTATCAACAGCACCTTACTTCGCATGCTCATGCCGCCGGCTATGCAGGCGAGGCTCGAGCATGAGAAGGCTGAGAGTGAGCGTCGAGCTGTGGAGGAAAAGGCCAAGGAGGAAGAGCGCAAAAAGCTTGAGGCTGAGCAAGCTGAGCAGGCTGAGCGTGAGGCACAAGACAAGAAGGAGCGCGAGGAGGAAGAGGAGGCTCGTACCCGTGAAGAGGACTCTAGACGTGCTCAGGATGAGGCTAGTTTGGCTGACGAGATGGCTGATGAGATCGCGGACGAGACGGCTGCCGAGATGGAGGGTGTGGAGTCAACTCAACCCGAGATCGAGCCTGAGGCAACCCCTGCTTCTGCTGTCACAGCCCCTGCCGAGCCAGAGCAGCCTGTCGAACGTGTCATGACTACTATTCGTGGCCGGGAAGTGGATATAACCTCACTGGGTATCGACCGTGAGTTCCTGGACGCTATACCGGAAGACATGCGTGAAGAAGTCATCATGCAGCAGCTTCAAGAGCAGCGCACGCAAGCCGCACAGACTGGCGAGCAGCCTACTGAGATTAGCCGAGAGTTCCTTGATGCCTTGCCACGTGAGATTCAACAAGAGTTGATCAGGCAAGAGCAGAGCGAGCGCCGCCGTAGAGACCGTCAAGAAGCGCGCCAACGTGCTGCTCAAGAAGCTGGCGCTCAGCCGGCTCAGCCGGAGGAGATGAACAATGCTGACTTCATGGCTATGCTTGACCCACACCTTCGCCAGACTATCCTCATGGACACCGATGAGAACACTCTCGCCGCCCTGCCCGAAGAGGTCCAAGCTGAGGCTCGTGCTCTTCTTGGCGACCGTATCCCACCTCGCATGGCCGGTGGAGTAGGCGGCGCTGGGGCAGGCGGTGCGGGCTTAGCCAGACGAGAAGCTATTCGCCGCCATGGTGAAGGCCCAGTTCAAGAGCTGCCACGCGAGACTAGGCAGCGCAGACCGATTGTGCAGATGCTCGACAAAGCTGGCATCGCGACACTTCTGCGCTTGATGTTCGTTTCGCTGCACCACAAAGCCAAGACCAATCTATACAGCATTCTGTCGGATGTGAGCAAGAATACACAAAATCGTGCTGAGGTCATCAGCATCCTGCTCTCGATATTACAGGATGGTACCGCAGACGTTGGTGCTGTGGAGCGTAGCTTCGCGCAGCTTTCACTTAAGGCCAAGCAGCAACAAGTCGGGTCCAAGACACCACAGCCATTGAAGCGAACACCTACTGGGCTTGCCGTTGCTCCTACGACTGAGCTTTCGCCACTCAACATTGTGCATCACTGCCTGACCACACTTCGCACGTTAGCCGAGGATAACACTAAAGTGCCCTCTTTCTTCTTGACTGAGCACGAGACTGCTACCGCGCAGAAGACCAAGACACCGAAGAAAGGCAAAGGCCGTGAAAGCAAGGCTCCGAAGTATCCATTGAATGCTTTGTTGGCACTTCTCGATCGAAAGCTCATCACGGAAAATACCGGTGTGATGGAGACGCTAGCTACGTTACTCAGCCGCGTTACCCAGCCTCTGACAATTCTCTCTCGTCGTCCAAGAGATCCCGCTCCTGCAGTACCAGATGCTGGGAGCGCTGTTCAGGAACCCGCGGCCGAGGCGCCTCAGCCTTCCGGTAGTGGTGATGTGGCCATGGAGGAGGCGCCTGCAGCTACCGTCGAGTCCTCTGCTCAAGCTTCGAACTCCGAGCCAAAGCCCGCAGACGCAGCTCAGCTGGTCAAGCCACAAGAAGACAAGAAATCGCGGGACTTGACACCACCCGAGGTACCTGACGAGAACATTCGCCTTGTAGTTAATATCCTTGCAGCCCGCGAGTGTCCAAGCAAGACTTTCAGTGATACACTCGATATTATCAAGCACCTGTCAGCTATCCCTGGAGCACGCAGTGTATTCGGAAAAGAGCTCGTTCGTCAAGCGCAAGAGCTTGGTCAGACAGTTCAGACGGACCTGGAAGACCTTGCGAAACAGATCAACCAGGCCGAGAATAGCACTGACTTGCAGGGTCTCGCTCTCGCAAGCTTCTCATCCGGCGACTCGAAGCAGCGTATGCTTCTCCGTGTCCTCCTGGCGCTTGATCATCTCTTCGACCCAGCCCGGATGCCACAAGGCACTCAAGATACACAAGTCGATCCCAATCTCAAGGAAGATGTACTGGCGCTGCTTTACGGCAGCAAGACCTTCGAGTTGCTGTGGACCAATCTCAGTGCTTGTCTGGAGGCGATTCGTGCTCGTGGGAGCATGCTCAACGTGGCGACCATCCTTCTGCCACTGATAGAATCGCTCATGGTCGTTACTCGTAATAGCACGCTCAAGGATGTGCCAACATCAGCCGCTGTCGCCTCACCCGTCGAAGTCAGGGCCAGCACCCCACCACCACCAGCATCGCAGATAGACACATTGTTCTTCCGCTTTACTGAAGACAACCGCAAGATCCTGAACGAGCTCATTCGTAGCAATCCCAAGCTAATGAGTGGAAATCTTTCGATCCTGGCCAAGAACTCCAAGGTCCTTGAGTTCGACAACAAGCGGACCTACTTTAATCGCAAGTTGCACAATCGTGGCGAGGTGCGTGCACCTCACGCATCACTGCAGCTCAGTGTGCGTCGTGAGCACGTCTTCCTCGACTCCTTCAAATCGCTCTATTACAAGAATGGAGACGAGATCAAGTATGGAAAGCTCAACATTCGATTCCACGGCGAAGAGGGCATCGATGCTGGCGGTGTCTCACGCGAATGGTTTGGCGCCATGGCACGTCAGATGTTCAATCCCGATTACGCACTGTTCACGCCAGTGGCTTCTGATCGCACCACTTTCCACCCAAACGAGCTCAGCACAATCAATAACGAGCATCTACTCTTCTTCAAGTTCATTGGCCGTATAATCGGCAAGGCGCTTTACCAAGGTCAGGTGCTGGATTGTCATTTCAGCAGAGCAGTCTACCGCCGTATTCTCGGCAAGTCCGTTTCCCTCAAGGACATGGAGAGTCTCGATCTTGAATACTACAAGTCGCTTGTGTGGCTACTCGAGAACGACATTACGGACATCGCTTTCCAGACGTTCTCCACGGACATTGACCGTTTTGGCGCCAGCGAGACCATTGATCTTATCCCGGATGGTCGCAATATCTCCGTCACGGAGGACAACAAGCACGAATACGTGCAAAAGATCGTCGAATATCGCCTCATCACTGCAGTGCAAGACCAGCTGGAGAAGTTCCTGGAGGGCTTCCACGAGATCATCCCAAAGGAATTGATCGCTATCTTCAATGAGCAGGAGCTCGAATTGCTCATCTCCGGTCTGCCTGAGATCGATGTGGACGACTGGAAGAACAATACCGAGTACCACAACTATCAGCCTACCTCACCGCAGATTCAATGGTTCTGGCGCGCTGTACGCAGCTTCGATAAAGAAGAGAAAGCCAAACTCCTGCAATTCGTTACCGGCACCAGCAAAGTACCTCTCAATGGCTTCAAGGAGCTTGAGGGCATGAATGGCTTTGCCAGATTCAACATTCATCGTGACTACAGCAGCAACCAGAAGCTGCCATCTAGTCACACTTGCTTTAATCGTAAGTCTACGCCCAATAGTCACAACGGTGTGAAGTGCAAAAGCTGACATTGATATACAGAACTTGATCTCCCCGAGTACGAGACCTACGAGCACATGCGCCAACAGATGTACACTGCCATCACTGCTGGTAGCGAGTATTTCGGGTTCGCTTAGCGTGTAACATATGGGAAGGAGGTTTGTAATTTGCACGGCGCACATTGTGTGTATAGATAGCATTGTCACTGCTGCAGCGCTCAGCGAGGCGCAGGGGGGATGGTTTTGTTTATTGTGTGATACCAAAGGCACGAATCAGTGGTTTGCTTTGTGCGCGCGGCAAGCAGTTGTGCGGGCTTGTCTCGCAATGCGCCGAAGTAAAGACATTTATATAGAGTTCAAAGAGCTTGTCTATTGCTCCTTACAGATCTGAGCCTGCTATTTTAATATTTTCCATCGAGCGCAAGTTTGTTGTTGTGAGGAGAGCGCTTTCTTCGCACGTGACGCCGAAAAGCCACCGATCGCCAACATCAATTCTTCCTCGCGCTTGTAGTTGTTTGTGATAACCGACGATATGCTCAGATCAATCATTTTCCCTTCCATTGACTACGACCTTCACTTCTACAACTGTTTCCACTTCGACAGTCCCATATACAGAACATCTCCCATGGCCATACTCACTTGCTACAAGGACATATAAGTGCCACCAAACTCTATCTAACAGGATCTCACACAATGATGGAGACTAGCAGTCCGGAGCTGCGTGTACGCAATGTGAAACTGCATCATCGTGGCCAGACGCAGCAAGGTAGCATTGCGCTTGGCCGCGATCACCTCATCTTCACTTATGTGGTGGATGATGCACAAGCTACATCGACGGAGCCCCAGGGCAGGAACTCATCACAGTCACAACACAAATCAACCATCTCGACAGAGAGCTCTACAGTAAGTCATCCGTCGCTCGAAGTCCCGTCATCAGAGGCAGCTGTTGGGCGGTCGGCGGCGAAGGTGGGGAGCGAGCGGCGAAAGCCAAGGACAAAGTCAACTTGGGTGGCATATCCCATGATCAACCACTGTGTCTTGCGTCCCGGTCACTTGTTGAATCACTCTCGCACTTCTACGGTCGATGATGAAAGGCACGACGATCTCGACGCCGGTCTCGACGGCACTGATGACACGTTCCCGCCGAGCTATGGCACGAGCACTTACGGCAGGCCATCGACGGACTCGGCTCGTCTTGGACCATTCGCATCACCCCGACGACCTGACTCGCCAGCAGTCAACAGTATCCGGGAGACTCCTTCGTTCGATAGTGGGCGCTCACCCTCTCTACGTCTACGATGTCGAGACTTCCGCATGATGGCATTTCATTTCCAGGCCGGACCAAGCGACAATAAACCGGTGGATGAAATCGCCAGAGAGTTCTTCTTTTCTCTACGAAGTCGTTGTTGTCCCAACAAGATCGAGGACATGCTAGCATTTCACTTCAACGCACCACCAGAGGAGAAGGATGCTACATTGCCGCCTTACGATGCGCGAAAAGAGTTTGCTCGGATGGGCATCGGCGAAAAGGCACCGGATGGTCCTGGTAGTGCGTGGCGAGTCACCGATATCAATCACGACTATGTATACTCCCCAACATATCCCAGCTTGATCTGCGTACCTCGAGCAGTGAGCGACAACCTACTGAAATACGGTGGTGAGTTTCGATCGAAGTCACGTGTACCCGCACTATCATACCTTCATGCAAATGGCGCGAGCATTACACGATCCTCACAGCCAAAGGTTGGCGTTCAGGGGAAGCGCAACCCACAGGATGAGAGGCTTGTATCTGCTATATTCTCCAGCCATACACCATCAATGTCGCCTACTTCCGAGGAGCCGCCAGCGCTGCTGAATACGAAAGAAATCACCAAACCAGGCGCAATTGATGAAGGCGAAGCTGAAGCTGTTATGCCCAACATAGACAACAGCCAACGAGAGAAAGCGATTGATGATACTACTCAAGATAAACTCGCCAGCGTGAAGCGCAAAGTCTACGGCAGCAGCAGACGCAATCTCATCGTTGATGCTCGACCAAGGCTGAATGCGCTTGCGAATAGAGCTACCGGTGGTGGTATAGAAGACATCTCGAACTACATGGGTGATGGTGATGTTCCTGTCGAGCGTATTATGCTCAACATCCAGAACATCCATGTCATGCGGGAATCTTTGCAAAAGATCATCGACAGTCTTGGCAACGCCGACTATCTTTCTATGCCTCCAGACCAGGAGCTCCTACGGAAGTCTGGATGGCTTGGACACATTGCAGGTCTGCTCGAGGGTTCTGAACTCGTGGCCAAAGCAGTCGGCCTACGTGCTAGCCACGCACTTGTCCATTGCTCTGATGGCTGGGATAGAACAGCTCAAGTCTCCGCTCTAGCTCAGCTCATGTTAGATCCATACGCGAGAACTTTCGAAGGCTACATCAACCTAATTCGCAAGGAATTCATCTTGTTTGGACACAAATTCAAGGACAGAAATGGTACGATGGGCAGCGAGAAGTGGTTCGAAATTGAGAACGAGCGTATTCAGCCCTCCCGTAGCCGTGACGAAAGCAGCCCGCAGCCCAACAGCTTGAACACTTTTAGCACCAAGGCTCTAACAGGTGCCAAGAGCTGGTTCGAGAAGAACCGTGCCAATCTATTCCGACAGCAGAACAGCAGTGAAGACAACCTTGCGGAAGCATCATCACGACCCGCCTCACCTCTTCCAAAGCCACTTCTCCATTCTCCAGCTGCCACAAATGGAAAGGATGACAAAGAACATCGAATCAGTGAAAAGGAGATCTCACCTGTCTTCCATCAATTCTTGGATGCCACATACCAGCTACTGCGCCAAAATCCTACAGCCTTCGAGTTCAACGAGCGGTTCTTGTTGCGGCTGCTTTACCAGGTGTATGCTGGTCAATATGGCGAATTCCTGTTCAACTGTGAACGTGAGCGAGCACAGTATGCCGTAAAGCTGCCTTCAGTCTGGGGTCATTTCCTTGCTCGCAGGAGCGAGTTCATAAACGCAGAGTATGTTGCAGTGAATTCGGTCATGTTCTCAAAGAGAGCCAGTGACGGCGAGGTCGAGGTACGTTGGTGGAGCAAGCTCTTTGGTTGCTCGGACGAGCAGATGAACGTGCCAAGGGCTCTACTGGCTCGGCCTGAGCATCCGGCCCTTGATCTGCAAACTTCCAGCCTGTCGCTCGACGATGCCGCCATTGCTGTGACCAGTAGGACCAACGAGGATGCTGCGACGATTGCGTTACGAGCGGCGAAGAGCACACCAGCCCTTGGTGCTGCTAAGGTCTATGATGCCGATGCTGGAAGGTCTAGCATGAGCGTAGAGCAGCGACATGATACAGAGATCAATACTGTGATCGTGGATAAGGTAGCTGAGACACCTCAGCGACATGAGGCCGACATAGGTACTGTTCAAGCTCTAGGATCTGGTCCACGTAATGAGGTGGAGGAAGACGACGATCCTTTGGGAGTAACAAGTAGCCAAAGAGTGCAGACTGGTATTGATAGCAGCAGTGGTGGCAGACTGGACGGTGCAGCATTCGCTTTTCAGAATGCCTTTAAGGATTAGGAGTTCATCAAGCATGATCAGGAGCGTAGTTGCATAATACAATAATGCTAATGACTTGCATCCTTTTGAAGTGAAGTTTCCCTTGCGTCGCGTCTATCTCGCGTTTCAGTTCAGTCTGAACTTGGCTTCACCTTCAACATCATCTCGTCACATCTTTTCGTAGGCCTGCCACAGTGGGCTTGCGTAGATGATAGGGAATGGTGGCAGTGAGGAGAAGCGAGGGTACTTGCAACATCGGGTTTATGGCTAATCGCTATCAAAAGACTATTACAAATTACCACCCATCAAAGGGGTGCCAGATCAAGAACAGTGCCCGCCTGAGAGCGGCTGTCGCAAAACGCGCCCGCTGCTTGTGGTATCATCGCATAATGGCAAAGCTTGCTCGCTCGCTCATGCAGAGCCAACCCAAGCATGGTCCACTCATCAATGCGCCCGTACGTCGTTTCCTCATATGCATAATTCGCTCTTGTATTTGTTTGTGCTCGAGCGGAAGTATGCTGCCAAGTGTCATATCTGAAGGACAAATGGGCTTTTTAGAGGGCGAGGACAGCGAAAACGGCAGCACCGAGAAGAGCGGGTGCAGCAGTCTGGAGAGCACCAGCGCCAGCTGCGGAAGAGGCGGAGGAAGCAGCGCCACCGGCGGCCGAAGACGCGGCAGATCCGGCAGATGAGGCATGGCTTGAAGCGCCGGATGCGGCAGAGGAGGCACCAGAAGCACCAGAGGAGACCCCTGAAGCAGCACCAGAAGTGGCGGAAGCACCAGCACTGGAAGCGAGTTAGCATGCGACATGAAAATTGTGTATGGCGGCTGAACTTACGACGAGGCACCAGAAACACCAGAGCTAGCACCGCTGGCAGCCGACCCAGTTGCGCCAGCAGCAACACCGCCAATTCCGAAGATGGTGGTCGAGCCGGTAGTAGTCGTGTACGACGAACCAGAAGCGGAAACGAGAGCAGTCAGAGGGGCGGTGCTGATCGCACTGCTGGACTCGGTCGCGTTGGCGGAGTTCGAGGGAGCTCCGGAAGCACCACCCGTGACGGTGGAGGTAACGGTAGCGGTCGACGAAGCGCTGCCAGTCATGGAGCCAGTGAGGACGCCGACAGCGCTGGCGGAAGCGGAGCCGCTGGCAGTCGAAGAGAAGGCAGCGAGGGCGTCTGACAAGCTATTAGTATCATGTGATTGCTTGTGGTTTTGTTCGAGAAGGCTTACTCTGGCAGTAAGTGACGCCGAAGGAGATGACAGTGTTGGCATCGCCAGAGTTGGCGCAGGCCTGATTGGCGCAATCACGGACACCGTAGCCAAAGTCGGGCTGGGTGCAGTAGCAGGTCACGTTGCCGTTGCTGCAGCCGAGCTGGGAGCTGGCGATGCTGATCATGTTGTTGATACATGTTTGCTGAGCGCGTGAGTCAGTATGTGATTCCCTTTAAAAGACAAAGAACGTCTGTACTTACACCGCACTGGGGCAGACTGCTGAGCTGCTGGGCGGCAACGAGGGCGGCGCCAGCGAGAACGACGAAAGTGGCCTTCATTTTGACTTGTTGTTTGTGGTTGGTGAAGTGGTGGGCTTGACGGTACTGCTGAAGAATAAGGCTGAAGTTGCTGAAATACCAATGGCTTCACTGTTGATGGGCTGGTGATGAGATAGTCTTGAAGTGCGTAGTGAAGGAGGAAGACGTTGTGGAAGGGGCGGGGAGAGCAGTGTTTATGGCTGGTCAATGGCTGCGGCAACGTTAATGGTAGTGCAGCGCCAACTGCTGGGTCACCCAACCGCGCCTCCCTTTTCGTGTCTTGCAGAGAGTGCTCTCAAATTCCAGGATGGGACGCTGCGATCGAGACTTTCCAAGATTGGTGTGAAGCTACTGATCCCTGCAAAGGTCAGGGACCGCGGGATGGTCAGGTACGATGCAATCTCCCTCAAGCGGCTTGCCCTAGCAACGGTTCTGATTCGCGTATCATAAACCAAACGAGATGAGTCGTTCTCCAGCAGCCGTCTGCTTTCATCACAAAGTGGCACGAAGCATGTAATGTTGGAAGTCGTACATTGTCAACGCGAACACTCACTCCATGCAAGCGCCAGTACTACCTGACACACGCGCACAACCTCGACAGACAATACCCCACAAGGAATACGTAACACAATAGCTGCGTTGCTATGCTGTGGCGCACATCTTCGGTGATTTACTGCTTGGCAAGCAATAACCAATGATATCAGATGGCTCCGACTCGGTGCGGTGTGGCCATGAAACTCCATCCCCAGCCACTGCAGACCCATGCAGAGCTGGCGCATATGACGCTACCGAGCTATGCAGGTTCTCGACCGCCTCGGAAAGCTACTTGCATGTGGCTGTGCGTATGGCAACCACTACTCCAAAGGGTTGAAACCAAGATTGCCACGATCGCACCAAGTTTCTCGGCCTGTCCGTTTGCGACTGGATCTCGGAGACCGTTGCTGTCGGGGCTCATCACCGCCACCCTTCACACGGCACGGTTGAAGCATGATTGAGAGGCTAATTTCCTGAGTCCCATTATGCGCTCTAACGGATCTTAATGCAATTAATCGCGCGGCGCGTCCTTTTACGCGTAGAGCTACTTCTTCCAGGCGAGCCTGCTGCGCACGCTTCATGCTGCAACAGTGAAGAAGGCGAGGGTATCCGCTTGGTTTCAAATTTGATGATAGGTTTGTGAATGTTCGAAGAGAATCAGCAACCGTGATTGCGCGGTCCTGAATTCACATCTGCTGTCCCTCGCACACACTTCCGCGGTGAGGTGGCAAGGTCGTCATGTCACCTCCACGTGCGGCTCTGCGAGATCGCCGTCATGCCACGGTAGATCAGGATTCACCTTGCATGAATGATCTGTGCGATGACCAGAACAGTGGATCATCGTCACGCTGAGCCGGCACGGCCAACACATTCAGGAAGCAATGTTTCACAGTCACTGCTTCTTTCTGACCACAGCCTGTCAACGCAGATCCGTCATACTAGCTGCCTGCACATACAGATCCATCAACCAATGCATATGAGCAGCTCATTCCTGCCCAACTAATGACATCCGAACGGTAGTGTAGACTCTGTCTATGAAATGGACTTGATTTCTGTCCCCTCTAGCACTTCAGGCACTTCACCAGTCCTTGCGAATTGCCCAAAGGCTCTCCTGACCGCGGATCCTCTCCTGTCCCACTCCTCGTTTGAAGCCTTTCCTCGCATTGGGCTCAGCTTCCACGCCTCAGCATCGCCCAGTATCAGCGGGAGATCTAGACAATGAGTCGCACCGAGCTTGAATCCTTCTGGTGTCCTACACAGCATCAGCTCGATGTCCAATGGCCCACGTCGGACTGGAAGACTTACCATTGGTGTTCCAGGGTCCCCACCTTGTGCCCAGCCTTTGCAAGTCGCTGCGCGAGCTCAATGGAAGGATTCTTGAAGACGTCGTCTGTTATCTTGATGCTCAGCTCGTCGGATGCCTTAGTCTCGAAGCCACCCGCAAGAGCAGCAAAAGCAGATCCGTCATGCTGCATCCAAGTCACCCAGATATCCTTCCGGGAGGCCGCATCCTTTACAGTATGACGACCACCTGGCGGTTTCCCATCTGCGATGACTGGAGCGAATTGTGCAAGCCCACCTACCTTGACTGAAGCAGATGCTTGTGCCTGTAAGAGCTCAGTGACACTGGCTGTCTGTGGCGTTTGGCCGGATGGTAAACTCGATTTGACGGCTTCGGCGATCTTGTTGCCGTTCTCAACGGTGAATGCCATATTTGCAGGCGAGCTCATGATTATAGCTCTTTCGAAGAGATCCGGGCGGAGGTCAAGCAGCAGTTGGGTGTTGTATGCTCCTGCAGACTGTCCAGCCGCTGTGATGTTGCTGGGATCGCCGCCGAATAGTTCAATGTGGGTGCGTACAAATTCAAGGGCAAGTATGTGGTCCTCTGTGCCGCAGGCAAGATCTTTGCCTTGGTGGTACATGTAGCCAAGTATTCCTACTCGGTAATTGATCGTGACTACTACGCAGTTGCCATCTCGTGCGAGGGCAGTCCCAGTATACCAGTTGATCTCACTACTACCAGTCTGCCAAGCTCCACCGTGCATGTACCTGTGAAGGTGTCAGTACTGTGGTTTCGACTGCCCACACTATCCACATAGCATCAATTCTCATTGATGGTCTCAGGACGTGACGAAGAGGGCATCTGCCTTAGCTAGCGATAATAGATAGATGTCCTCTTACACGATCACAGGCAGCTTCTGACCGGACTTTTGCGCTGCAGATTCTGGTTGATACACGGACAGCACGCAGCAATCGCTCTCGTCCGGATGACCTCCATTCGGTGGAGCAGGCCATCGACCGTAGACATGCGGTTCCAGCCTCGATGCATTCTGAGGGCAAATTGGGCCGAATTTGGTCGCATCTTGAACGCCTGATGAGGTCGAGGCCTTCGTCACCGGCTTCGGAGACTTGAAGCGTTCGAAAGGCTGTGCGTATGGAATCCCATGGTAGCAATTGACGTCACCTTGAGTACCGCCCTCGTAGGAGCCTTGGGGCAAATGTACTACGACCATGATGTATCATATAGCAAGTTCGACGAACATGGTCAGGGTCGTGAAGTTCATGTAGCTCCTCACGAGTGTTCCGGTTAGCCGGTTGGCGGAGCTACATGGCTTGCTCAGTAGTGATAACTTCCTCTCGTTCTACGTAGGTTCTGCTCTCTACTAATAGTCAACTCGTTCAATCTCGATAGCCGAGTCCTTCCTCCCTTCCACCTTCGTCCAATACTTCAACTGGTCTATTTCTTCCGTTGATTGTTCCCAATCAGCCGCAACTTTAATCCTCGCGAACGCCATCCTCAGTACATCATCCTACTCAGGTCCGAGAAAGACGCTCCAGAAAGTCTCCTCATCATTCAATTGCACAAAAAACTGAAAATTCCTTTCCTCCAAGATCTTGAATGCCAAGATGTAGCGGCCCATCTGGGCAGGATAGTACTCGCTGTCATGGGCATGCTCCAAGTGGTACCTCCACATTCGATCGCGGCGAGTGGCGTTGGTGTCCCAAAATCTTCTTATGCGGCCCGTCCAGAGATCACCTTGAAGTGACACTCCGCGACGCCAGACTTCTTTCCTCGGCTTGCCGTGCCGCACGCAGTATTCCAGTAAGCGATTCGCCACGTCGACACGAAAACCCACAATGTCACAATCATTGACAGGTAGGAAGTCCTTAGGAGGACCAGACGAGACCTTCGCTTGCCATTGGCCATCGGGGACCTTGTCGGATTGAACGCCGGCCTCAGCAGCCGACTTTGCCAGAACTGCGGCCAGCACATCCTCTTGGCCTTCCAGAATGTAGTTGCCCATGTCTATCGAGGTATTCGGTGACAGAGACTGCTCTTCTACGGGTCTGCATACTGACTTAAGTGGTAGTGCATGAGTACTTTGACAACCCTTTGAGCAATAGGCCACAAGATTGCATCGCACGCAGAGAGATAGAGGAGAGCCATCACTCTGGTCCTTTCCACCGCAGAAGCTGCAGAACTTGGTCTTTGGCATTGGCGCCAGAGATGGTGGCGGTATAGCAGGTCGCCACAGCGGCAAGTCACTGAGATGTGATGGACACAGCGGTTCTGAATGACGGCGGTCCTCTCGCTCCATTTGGGGCTCCAGAAATCGTTTGTGCTCCTTCTTTGGCCTCTTCCCAGCTGCTGGGAACACGAAACCCGGATCACTCTTGCGCTTCTTGTGCTCTCTGCCACCCATGTATTGTGGTGTGAGGCACCCTTGAGCGCTCGGATGTTGACCATTCCTTGGTGAAAGCCTCAGAGGATTCTGTAATTCAGGTCCCCACCACTCGTTCAGCCAGTCGCAAGGCCGCGCAGCATCAGTACAACGGCCAGCCCACTTCTGATCGAATCGCTTGTACGTCTCGTGCACCTTCAGTGGATCATGTTTGCGGAGCCACACCGGCCTCTTCCGTTCCTGGTCCTCAAGGTCGTCCTTCAGATCTTTCAACGACTCGTTCAGATCTTCGAGATACATTCCTCGATCTGAGCCCATGACTGGCTTCCTGAAATTGCCGGAGTATTGGAAAAGCGTGGAGTGTTGGTTAGAAGTATCTGGGACTAGTACTTCGCCCGAAGGAAATGTCCTGATATATCTGCGAAAGGTTCAGCACACGCCACGAACAGGACACGCACGCACGGCATTTGCATGATATAACTCACGTCGTCAGACCATGGCCTGTGAGACCCGGCGCTATACTTGGCGTGCGACTTCTGTGTGGCGGACCTGAGAGATTCTAGTACCATGGTCGACCACGAGACTCGAATGGATGAGGGCAAGGTCTCGCATCGACCTCCATGGCGTCTTCGTCAACAGGCTGATCGTCGGGCTTGGGAGACTCCGAGAACTCTTTCGATGGTGGAGTCCTCGACTTCTCTCGTATGGACTTCAGCGCTTCCTGCAAGACAAGTTTACCGTCGTGATGTGGACTTTCTGGGTGCTCAGAGGCAGGGCTCTGGGGCAGTCTAAAGCCGTCGGTGCCAGGGGTCGAGGCCCTCGTGCTATCGAGAAGATTAATCGTGCCTGTGCGCACTGGAGAGGGTAGTGGAAATTTAATCGGCAGTGGAGCCGTGGAGACTTCTCCGTCGGCCGTCTCGACAGCTTGTTCAGTAGCTCGTTTCGCCTCGACGTGTGTGGGTCGTGGGGTTGAAGGCGGCGAGCCTATGCTGTCCTCGTCAATGTCCATGAAGTCTGCTGCATAATGATGTTTTGGCAATGGTACATCATGCACGAGTGATCTGTGTTAGAATGTGAGAATGAAGCGCACGTTGCAAGGATACCGTAAGGCGGTACACTGTTGAAGGAGCAAGTGTTGGTATGCTTCTGGCAGGAACGCTACGAGAATCTGGTAGGTGTCCCTGCGTTGTTAAGAAATCGCATCCTACTACGGGGATGTTGGCCTGGCGTAGCAAGTGTCATCTAGCATTGCAGTGTTTCTCTGTAGACTGATTCCTTTGGAGAAATGGCGCATGCCAGCTCTACAAATGTCCTGGCGTCGCTCAACCCCACCCTCTCTGCCCACTGGCCCTCCTCCCCACGCTCGTCGAAGTCACATTGAGACCTTCACCTAGCCGCCTACTGCCAACACACATGTAGTGTACCACACTGCCGTCCGGCAACACCCTCACAGCCGAGGCTCCGAACCTTTTGAAGCACACTCGACAATGATCCTCCTCTCCAATCCTCACCCGTGCGTTCCTGCCTGCCTTCTTAGCTATAGCCATGTTACCATCCTGCACATCCACACCAACTATCAACGTCCTTTCTGCACCTATGCGCTTGACACCAGTCAATCCACGGACTACACTGCTAAGCCGTAAAGCACTAGTCGCACTCCTCACACGGCCGACGAAGTACTCTCGCAACTCACTAACGCTCAGATCATCAGGCATAAGGTCAAGCGTACTGCTCGCAGGCAACCTAGCCCCATGTCTCGAAAGCAGATCCAATGCCTGCGGCCACTTCTTCTCCTCACTAGCCGAGCTTGGTGGACGCAGATAAAGACCCAACAGCATCGCGAATACGTTCTCATCGCCGTCTCCCTCGCTGTGAGCATGATGCCGATCTGGCGCCTCGAAAGCGTAAAGGCCTTTTTCGTGCTGTAGAAGATTGGTATCGGTTTCAGTAGTGTCATTACGGACGGCCTTTAGGTGTTTAGCGTAGATGTCGTTGCAGTAGCGTTCGGCTTTGGCATAGTCCTTGAGCTGGTAGACGTAGATGCTGAGAGCTTGCTTGTGATTACCCATGGCGCTGAGCACGATAGCGCGGGACTCAAAGAAACTCGGATTGTCCGCTGGAAGCTGGCGAAAGGTCGCAGCTTCGTCGTAAGAATTACTCTTGCAAAGGAAGTCCTCCAACCTCGCTTTCAATTTGACCTTCTCATCGCCTTCCTTAACTTCCTTCAGATGTGCAAGATATAGCTCTAGCAGCTTCTGATGAAAGTTCCTCGTATCATCGCCCAGTTCGTTGATAACATGCTCCAAATACTCCTCCTCAAGTTTCCGATCCAGACCTTCCAGAAATTCCGAAACGATCTTCCTCGGCATCCTGTCAGCATACTCAGTATCCGCAAGAAAGACCTCCATGCCCTTTTCCGCATCAACCTGCAATGGCCACTTCACAAACTCCAGCACGAGCTCCACAAGTTCGGGCGGTAGCTGTTTCAGATACACTACCGTCCTATCCGGTCCACGCATCCCCTCTGGCACACTATCTTCATCTTCCGCCTCGCCTTGGCCAAATTGCTGTAGCATCTCAAGCGCTTGCCGGTGAAGACGTTTGCCGTGTAGGAAGTCGATTAGGTCGCCGTAGCGCTCGTTCTCGTACAGGCTTGCCTGCACCACTTCTGGGTCGCAGAAGTTATTGAGACGAAACAATGAACCGGCTAGTGATGGCAGAGCGAGCATGTAGGCGCGGAACAATGTCGTGTCGACCAGTTTCGCTGTTTCGAGGAGGGCCTGATGATAATCAATCTTTATTTCATCCTTGCTAGCTTTGCCACTCTCGCTTTTGTTACCATAGACGCGCTCGGGTAGAAGAGTCGCAAAGCCGACAGGCCTACCAGTCTCAAAATCCATCTCGGGCGGGTCCTGCTTCAAGGATCCATCTGTTCCCACGTACTTCTGGATTTGCCTTCTGGCCTGCGCCAAAAAGGAGCAAAGCCACCGCACCGCCAATTTGAGATCCTCGCCTTCGAGCGGCTTATCCGCTACAGGTGCGGCCTTTGTGGGAGTGGCTTTCAAGGGCCTGATGCTCATATTATCGCTATCAATTCGAGCAGCTGTCTTAATGGACGCCGGGTCTGATTCTTTTCGAGCATGACCAGTCGACCGGAACTTGCTTAGCATGCCCTTCGAGGGTGTCACAGGCGGCTCCTTGTTCGTGCTTTCATCGGCTTTGCTTTCACCTTCTGGGACTATTTCTGCATTGCCATTGTCTTCAGTCACTGGATCAGGCACATTGCTGAGGTCTCCAGTAATGCTACGTGGATACAACGCAATGACGCGCTCTGGTGGTGCGGCGGCATCGGTGAAGAGATCCAGAGCTGGTTGATACTTCTGCTGCTGAAAGAGTGAGATGGCTTTCATGATCTGGACTTCGCGGATGCGTCCGAGCTTGTCATCAATCAAGGTATCTTCCAGTAGTGTCAAGAGACTGATAGCTTCATCAAATCGCTGCTTCTCTACTAGCTCGCCGAGCTGCGGATCATACGGTAAAGCGTTCATACGCCAGATCGTGCGTTCGGAAGCTACGAGGAAGCCTTTGCCAGCATGCGCCAGACTGATATTGGCTTGCGGGACGTGTAAGATGTGGGCGCTCGGCACAGGTATGGTTTGGAGTAAAGTCAGACTGTCAGGGTTGCGAATCTGCAGCGTACCTTTCTCCGGCGGTTGTAGCGCAAGGAGGAATGGATACGAGTAGCCTACCGCTTCAGGTGCCAGAGCCCATGGAATCTGCCGTTTTTCGAGTGCTCGCCCATCAATATCTGTAAACAAAGTGTTGACGTCCTTTGCGAAGAGAATGTGCCCATCTGACAACCCAGTAACCATGGGCTTCGGCACCCACGATCCCATACCCATGTAACCCATCCCACTACTGCTCACTGCACCAAACCTCACACCTGCTAGCTCGCCCGAGGCTGTATCTTGCCTACTCGCTGGCTTGAAGACAGGCTTTACGCCATCGGCTTCCTCGCCTGCCGCGCCTTCACTACCCACCGTAGCATCCACATCCACGATGGCAAATCCAGGATCCATGCCTACCACTAGCCTCACCATCATGTTGCTCTTCTGCACCCAGTTCAGACTCTTGACACTGGCCTCCATGTCCAATGCCATCGGTTCCTGACCCTCCATTTCCATATCCCGCCATGTCCAGCACAGCACTCTTCGCTTCACGCCTACTGCGAGTCGGCTGACTAGAGACGGCACACCAGTTTCGAGGTCCTTGACGACATTGCTCGTAACTGTAAAGCAGGTAGCGCCTTTCGTTCGTTCGATGCGCTCGACTGGCGCATAGCTCTGGAGGTCATGGAGGTTGATATAGCCGTCGCTCAGGCTGACGAGCAAGCTGGCTTCCTTGACGATGGCTAGTTGCTGCACCGGTCGCCGTGAAAATTTCTCTTCTTCTCGTAGTAATTCGATCGATCGTGGGATGGTCGCTGGAGTAGGAGCTTGGCTACCCTCGCCATTGCTTTCTGTCCAGGGTGCTGGCGATGACTGTTCGTTCACACGATATATTCGTAGAGAGCCGGTGCTGAGGCCAACAAGTAGACGATCGCCGTACGCCAATAGCGATTCGATCTTGGACTTGTCTCGTGCTTTGAGCTCGTGGATGGCTTCTGGCCGGAATGCGGAGAGCATTTTGCTCTGGCAGAAGGCGCGTTACCGTATGAGCATTGTCGTGTGGCTATAGCAGCTCCTGTTCACTGTCGTATTCCACTCGGAGTATCGTGTAAACGCTACATGTAGGTAGAGGTCATGGGTGCCTTGTGAGCTGTGTTAGCAACGACGACGTAGGGCTGACTAACCACCGCTCAATCCATCCGACTCAAACCGCAGCATCATCGACACTCTCTCAAGACATAACACCACAATGTTATAGCAGCACGACACTCACTTCTACACATTCATTGGTAACCCATTCACATGCCACCATGAGCACACCGCAACCAGGACCGCCGCAAGGCTTTCCTCCTTCACACCAGCAACAGCAACAGCATCCACCAGGCCCGCCAGGTCTACCAGGACCTCCAGACATGATGGGCGGCGGACCTCCACCTCCTGGCCCTCCTGGTGTTCCACAGCTTCCTCCTCAGATGTTCACGACTGCCGCTCAGTTACTGGACTTGACTGACAAGAAACTCATGGTCGCATTACGAGATGGCAGAAAATTGCTAGGTGTTCTGAGGAGTTGGGATCAATTCGGCAATCTGGTTCTACAGAATACGGTTGAAAGGCTGTTCGTGCAGAATCTGTATGCTGATGTGGAGAGGGGTCTGTTCCTGGTGAGAGGCGAGAATGTTAGTTTGCTTGGGGAGATAGTAAGTACCACCAGCGTCACGAAAAAGGCCTACGTAAACGTGTGGGATGTTCCAAGAACAATTTGCTAATCAGAATGTTGCTGCGCAGGATCTAGATAAAGACGACTACATCCCCTCGCCTTTCAAGCAGGCACCTGTCGAGCAGGTCTTCGCGTTGAAGAAAGCTGAAGAGGCCGAGCGCAAAGTGCATGACAAGAGCCGGTCACGAAGACTTGCAGCCGAAGGATTTGAAGGCGAGCATAATGGGGAGGCGATCATATGAGCTGTCGTGCCGGTCCACAGTTAGACCAACTTGTTCGAAACGAGTTTTGGGTGGGTGTCAGCGACAGCCCAACCACGAGCTATGGGAGGTCCCAGGGCACGATTCATACTTTGCCTGCCGGCGCGGGCGGTGCTCATGAAGAAGACAACCTGCGACGCTGATCGTCAAAGAAGACTATGAAGCCTGAGGAAGAAAGATGAGTAGCTGGGAGCCGATGGCGTGACTTTTGAAGTAGAGTTCTATACGTCTTGAACATGCAGACGTTCTTGCAGCCCCCCTTCAAAGACTCGGCCTGGACTACCTGGCGGACGTTCCAGGCAAACAGAATTAAAGCACTCCGCAATCTCTAGACCCTGGATTTGTGGCACCTCGAGAAAGCATTCACTGCAACGCTCAGCCATCATCACTGAATAATATTTTCTCGGAGGCAACGATCGGGCCGTATGCATCTGTCCATACTTCTGCATACCTTGTTCGTTTGCTGTCTGGTAGTACTGTGCGACTGATATCTGCAGCAGGTCATTTCACGTTTCACAAATCACCGTCAAGCGTGTCCCCCACACATCATTCACCAACCTAAGCAGCACTAGTATCGGGGTCGGGAAGCTACCAAGCGGCCCGTCCAGCCCGCGTGATTCGAAAACGCGTCGACCTCGCCTCAGGTTTCTTCACCTCAATTCATACAACGCGCTTACGCAGATGACAGCCTGCACCTCGCCAAACCACTGTACGCAATCGGCCTGCTAGGAATCGATCTGTAGCGAGATACAATCGATGAACCTGGGGAAAATAAGCGCGGTTTCGTGAAGTGAAGTTGAGGCAAGAACAAATTTTCAGGCAGCAGGTACGTAATTGCTCTTCTTCGCTCCTTCTCTCCCTGCATACATGCAAGTTGGCATCATGTGCCTCGATCATGAAGATTACCTTCGCTGCTGGACTGGATCTCATTGGTCATTTCAGGGCCTCGTGCGGTGAATGACGCTTGGACCCATCACTGCTCGACAATAAGCTATCAAATCGTTGCCTAGCACGACTCGGAGCTCCACTAGCATTCATTGAGGAATTTTCCGCACTTGTGAATTCGTGACTCCAACACAAACCCGGTCCACGCTGGCACATATCCACATCGAACTGCCTCTGGTCTGGATACCATTCACCAACATCACACTTGGTTCATCACACCTTCCGCACCACTGTCCGGCCACTGGCCGTGACTGCAGAAAATACCAGCGTCGCCGCTTCCAGAAGCATTGAGTCGGAGCCGTGGACCTCATTCCAACACAACCGCCGTACCACACTACGCTGCTCTGCCGGACTGCTCGCCTGTGTCACACGCGTTGCTTTTTGCGTACCATCATTCATCGTGTATTGACTCACAATGGCTAGAACCAAGGAACCATCGTTTGGCAGGCTGCCCTTACGAGAGCAGAGCATCAAGGCTGCTGCTGCACGTCGCTTGCTGGGCAACGCCATCTCAGCTCCATCGACGGCGACGGAATCGGCATCGAAGAACGAGCTCCCACCAGAAGCTCAGACAAGCAACAGGAAGCCAATTCCGAATGTGAAGTTGAAGAATACCCACAAGGCTTCGTCGGAAGAAGGACCCAGTGAGATCGAGAAGCCCAACACCACTGCCAGCGCTCGACAGCAGGAGCTGGAAGACTCAACTCAGAGGCGCAGCAGTCGTCCTCGCAAGAAGGTCACCTTCGAGGTTGACTCGGCCCTCGAGATGTCGGAGTCTGCCGATCCGAAGACTTCTTCCGCGCGCTCGTCCTTGTCTACAGTCGAGACCCAGAGTGTCAAGTCCACTGGTAGGTCCACATCTGTCCACTGCGATATGCAGGATTCAACAGCTGACGTGCAAATCACAGCCATGGAACTTGATGGTGACACAATCCGCGTGCAGCAGCCCACAGACGCGCTGCAAGTCAAGATCCCAGTGCCCGGCGATGCTGCCACAAAGGGTAGTGGCGATGAGGATGACGACGAGCACTCCCCGCTTGATGATTTGAACATGCTTGACCAGCAGATCGAGGCAAAGAAGAAGAAGAATGCTGGTGCTAATCGTCCTTGGGGACGCGAGGGCAAGCAACCTCTGCGTAATGCTGCTCCTGCCGACAAGGATGTCGTCATGATTGATGACGTAAGTTGTGTTCAAGATTGCGACCGTGTTCTCGTGACAGCGCTAACTTCTGCAGGATGAGGACGAAGAAGCTGAAGACATTGATGAAGGCCAAGTCGATTACGATGATGTCCGTGCATCGGAGCATGATCTCAGCCCTAGTGATGCTGAGGATAAGACTCGCGAGATCATTACGCTGTCTTCCGATGACGAAGGTGCTCGTGGTACGGATCCGAAGAAGAACGACGACAATGGCGAGTACGATCTGGATGAGACTCCGTGGAAGACACAGAACTTCACGCGTGAAGTACGTGAGGTATGGGAGTTGGGTTATTGCAATACGTTGAAGCACGCTCAACATGGTAGCTGGGAGATGACTGAGTTCTTCCAGCTCAAGAAGGTCAGTAGGTCTCACAAGCTTCTAATGTGCCATACTGACATCCAGCAGGATCAAGAGATGCTCAGGTACCTGAAGGACTTTCCCGTATCGGAGTGGATCATCCCTCAGAAGCAGGCGAGCGAAGCCTATGCAGCCTTGCACGAGCGTACACGGTGGCGTAGCGTAGGTGTGAAGATCTACGCAGAGCAACAGGCTCGGGAGGCTCAGCAGTCGATGCACTCCATGCACATGCAGATGCAAAGTCCCATGAGTATGCATGGCAACATGCACCCTCAAACCTACCAGCACCCTGGCATGAATAATCACCCTGCAAGCCGTCCTGGCAGCGTATCTCAGCAAGGCATGCCTTACCGTCATCATCAGCCGCCGATGAATGGCATGGCACCACCTCCTCCTGGTCAGGTTTTGCGTTCGCAGGTCACCCAGATGCCTATGAATGTGCCACCAGGTCGTGGGCCTCAACCCATGGGTCCTCCACCTCCACCCTTCGGTCATTCTCAGCATGTCGGCGGTCCATACGGCATGCCCAATGGCGGTCAGTACTACCAGAGCCCTCATCAGATGCCGCCTCAACATCAGCATCCACACCAGCAGATGCAGATGCAGCCGAATCCAATGGGCCCGCCGCAACTCATGCCACCATCTTACGGTCACAATCAAGCCAGGCTACCAGTCCCGTTGAGGGCGCCGAAGCCGAAGAAGGCTACTCCACAACCTGCTACCTCTCCTCCTCCGGCTCCAGTCCCGCCGTATTCTAGGTGTGAGCGTCCAGGCAAGAGCGAACCGAGATATGGCGGTGCCACTAAGACCGGCAAGCGTGGTGCGCGCAAGCAGGCAGAGGCTGAAGAGTTCCCGTGGCATCGTGCGCTCGACTTCGTCAAGGAGCGCGATAATGCTACTTGGGATGAGTCGAAGTACGACAAGACCATCATGGAGCAGATGAGTATCGTTCGGAGGCTCAACGTGCCTGTGATCATCGCCATTGATGATGAGCTTGCCGAGAAGCAGAAGTTGTCTAGGAATAAGAAGAAAGCTGCGGGATCAGCTCGTGTCCCATCACCCAAAGATGAGACGCCATCTGGCGATGTTGAGATGGAGGAGCCTGGCGATAAGGGGTCAAAACGCAAGAATGAAAACATTGGTGGCGATCCTTACTATTCCGGTAACTTCTCATTCGCCACCGAAGAGGACGCCAAGAAGGCCTTCGATATCAATCCGAAGTACAAGACCCCAGACGATATCATCACCGCAGTAGAGGATGGCGACTTCGACGCTGAGTTGACCAAGGACCTTCGTCATTGCTGGAATCCAGGCAAGAAGGGCACGACACAAGAGCTCGTGCAGGCATCGTTCCGAATCTACGACACAATCATCACACGGCAAATGTACATGATTACCAAGATCTTGACGAAGCGTGCCGCTGAGTGCATCATCGACTTCAGCCCGGATATCCTGTGGCGTGAAGTCTTGCTCCGCATCGTCTCCGAAGCCGGCATGGGTAACAAAGACGTCCGGGACCGCTTCTGCTACAATGGCTGCTATGCCGACAAGGCTACGATTACGAAGCGTATTGCCGCTGCCCTTGGCCAGAAGCAAGCTATTGCTAAGAGAGGTAAGCAGGATGGCGAGCCCTCCAGCAGCAAAGGCAAGAAGCGTGGCCCGCAGGCTTCGAACTCTGAACGCTATCAGGATGGTGAGGAAGAGTGGCATGATAACAACAAGATTGACTTCGACAACTACATCCGCTTCTTTGGGAAGCGTCCCGGCGGTAGACGTCAGCGTGTGGGCGAAAAGCGCAAGCAGAGCGTGGGAACCGAGGAAGCTGTCGACGATGACCCGCAAGAGGGGAGCAGCAAGCGTGCAAAGACCGAGCCCACGAGCATGAGTCCGGCAGCGCGCAGTGATGGGAGCAGCGAGAGTTCTGATGAAGAGGAGTCTGATGCTGAGGCTGAGAAGAAGGTTGAAGAGGAGGCTGAGGAGGAGGATGAGGATGATGATCAAGATGATGGAGACGCTGTCAGCGTGCAGAGTGATGGTGTTCTAGACGCGATTCCGGACGACGACTAGAACTACGATTGGTGATGAGGGAGAGTGGGCGGAGTATCGGTGCGCTGGAGAAAGAGCTAGCTGTTATGAAATGCTTGTGGTAGCATATCATGCTTCGAGTGTGGCTCGGTGACTTCTGCCATGCGACATGTCATGCATCGCCTGGTAGAGCGCAATAGGCTGCTTGTCTCATCATCGTGGAAATTGGCTATATCAAGCTCCAAAGTACGGATCGAGAGACAAGGCTTGGCTGAGCGCGCCGGCAGGATTCTACGAAGACTGTCGGGTGAGCATAGTACGAAGATACTACTTACGATATCATGAGGCATGCAGCTGCTTGCTTCAACAACCGTAGACTCACAATGTGATAATGAATCGCGTTTTGAAACGTTTCGACATACCTTCCCATGCTTAACCACGCGCAGTATTGATAGCAGAACGCATGAGGAAGCTCACGCCCTCCTTGACCCATCCAGTCTCCAACGTCGCCGCTTCGTTCGTATCAGGAGCATGAATGTCGAAACCATGGCCACCAGCCTCGACGCTCAAGTGCAGCTTGTCCTCCCCCAAACCTCTCTGCTGCAGAGCCTCGACCATTTTCCTTGTTCCTTCGATAGGCACGGCCGTGTCGTCTTTCCCATGCAGAATCCAGATTGACGGGAATTCAGAGGTGACCGCACCGTCCTCGACTTGCTCAAGCGGATGCAGGGAACGATCTGTGCCAAATAACTCGTCAAAGCGACCTTGTTGCACGATCGACAAAACGAGTGGGAAGCGAGAGAGGTTCTCATCGTTCCCCACGACTTCGTCACCTTTGAGCTTGGCGACGTAGTCATTCAGAATATGAGAGGGGAGTTCCGCCGGCGCACCAGGAAAGAGCTCCTTAGGCCCGGCCACTGTGAAGTGCGGTGCTCGAAGATCGAGGACAGGGTAGTGCAATACTGTTGCTCCAATACTCTTTGGTGTGTAGATGGCGGACTGCCAGGCGAGCCAGCCACCCGCGCTCTCCCCTGTCACAAGCAGATTACCAAGATTTGCTTCAACGCCAGATGGCAAGTGCTTGGACAAGTTCCCAGGCTCAAGTAACCAGGTATAGAAGTCTCGCATGTCCTGCAGGATATCTTGGCCATTGGCTTCGGGTACGAGACGGTAGTCAGGTGCTATGGCTATTGCATCATGTTTGAAGCAGAAGTCAAGTAGCCAGGTCGGATACCAATCTGGGAAGAGTCTGTGGCCGGTAACCCAGAAGCCGCCATGCCAACGAATAGCGAGAGGATATTTCCCAGGCTTATCGATGATAGTCTTTGGGACGAGTATAGTGGCTTCGACTGCTGTGGTGCCAACCGTCTTGTATGTCACATCGGTTGCCGAGAACGAGGTGAACTTGGGATCTGCTGAGAAGTCTTTGCTCGACACGGCCATGGTGTCTCGGGCCGGTATACGTGAGGCAGTGACGAGGCACGTCGTCCGGATTGCAAGTATGAAGTGGTTGTGAGAATGAAATGGCAGTGCAGCTAATATCACTATTGTTTGACCGCTGCGAATGTAACCTCTCAGCGTTAGGTTATCCTTGGCTTAGCATCGTCTTATAACTGTACGATAGATCTGCACGAGCTCCGAAACGGACCTTGACATCAGGGACATTCTCATAACACCGAAGGACTACAGGCCGGCGCCGCTAAAACCACATGGCCTCGCAACAATGAGCCATTTTGCTTGGCAATAATCACGGACGTATCGTTATCAGAGCCAAGATTCCCCGAAGGTGGATGACAAAGCCGTGAGATGATGACGATGACGGTGGGGGTAGACTTGTAGAGGTGAGACTGTATGCTTACTTGAAGCTGAATCCCACACCAAGAGCGGTATAGGACTGTGCGCGATTCATACCACATCCCGCGCACAGTTGATGGTGCCTATGGTCACCAAATTACCTTGCTGAAGAGCTACGAGGTTGCCTGAATACCATTTGTCCTGGCAAGCTTTCCTACCGTCACAATGCATAAGACGTAACATCATCAAGCACCAACCAGCCCAACTCGGCGTCCGGGTTTCATGCCCACAAACCCTCTCCGATCTCTCCCCGTCCTGCCGCGACCAAGCCAATTGTACTTCAGCGCACCTGTCAGTCGCTCGACGACACCTTGTCCCACATCGCCAGTCTGACAGCTCGCAAGCACATATAAGCACTGCAGCATCCTCGCAACTGTGTCTGTGACCTTCGCCGGATCCGTAAAGACGGCTGCTGGCGAAGGTTGATTAGTAGCGTTGAACGAGCCCGGTCCTGCAAGTGGTGAATTGAGATGTGGCATGCTCGTACCAAACGATCCAGCCGATGTGTTCGAGGTCGCGCGACTTCTACTAGCCAGACTCATGGCACCGCCAGAAGAACTGCTCGCAGCATCAAGAAGAGTTGAGCCTTGCGAGTTGAAGCTGCTCATATGCGGGCTGAGACTACCTGCAGTGTCTGGTCGCTCAGCGCCCGTAGTTGCAGGATCGCTTCGTGCATGATTTCGTCCCTCTGAGCTGACCTCTGGGGAAGCAGCCGCGTTGATACTGTCAAGAGACAACCTGCTGAACGTGGCCATCAGACTTTCGTGTCTAGGCAGGATCACTGTATCTCGGAACGTGATCAGTGTAATGCGTCTGATCTCGAGCTCTTCACCAAGACTAGGCAATCTGATCATGCCGCCTGAGGATGAAGGACGCTCGTCTGATTTCAGGCTCTCTGGCATCGCACCCCAGAACTCATGTGCTTCTCGGACGCTCATGATTACGCCACGACCTTTGAATTCGAGGTCCAGTGGCAAGAAGACAGCTTGTAGAAATGGCAGGATACTTCCTTGTACTCCAATCCACATCTCGACCAACTTCAACACCAGCCTATCGTCCGGCACACCCCGTAGCGTTTGCGACAAGGAAGTAAAGCCGGTCTGAAGTAGCTCTCGTACATCTTCCACCAACACGACAGGTGACTTGCGCTGTATGCACCTTCGAATGTGCACGTTCACCAGCATGTTGAAGTCCTCGACCGGGGTTCTGAGCTCTTCTCCTGAGAACAGATTCAGCAGCCGAGCTTTCAGCAATGGCCATGCATCGTCGGGGCCTATACCAGGTAAGCCCATCTGTGTACCAATGTTGCTGAAGGCCTGCAATGAGCTCGAAGGATTTGTGTCGGATAGGAAAGAGAAGACACCCGCAGTCGGACCAGAAGGTGGTCCAAGAGAGGTATCATATTGGCTAGGTCCCAAATACTGTTCACTTTGGCCACCCGAGCCATTCGAGTTCACGGGCACAAGTTCAAGCTTTGCAGCAGCTGCAGCAGCTTTCTCTTCTTTCTTCTTCTCTCGTAACGCTCTTCCACCATGTCGTAGATCAAAGCCTGACATAGACTTCGCAAAGCTATTCGGACCAGGCGAATCAGGCGTGAAGGAGTACAGTGGCTGCGGCTTGTCCGGATTCGTCGCTTGCGAGTTCGAATGTGCGGATGACAGTGGGAGCTGAGAAGGATCATCTTTTGGTTTATGCTTCTGCCGCGATAGAAAGTGATGTTTCTTTTCCTTCTCGCGCTCGATGTTGGTCGCTGTCGGTACGAGCGTAGAAGTCGAAGCATTAGCTGAAGAGTAAAGCGAGCTTGCACTAGACTCTGGTGGAACAAGGCTTGTCGTCGATGCATTCGCAAAGCCGCTCCTCAGTAAGCTTGCGCCAATCACACTTTTGCTTGGTGAAGGCATGCCAGGCGCTACCTTGGCCTCCTTGTCCTTAGACAGATTGATTGCTTTTGGCTTGGAGAAGAGCTTCATCTTCGAACTCTTACTCTTCGCCTCCTTCTCGAGCGGCGGACTAGGCACCGCTATCATGTTTGTGCTAAACGCGTTCGGCGAAGGCAGAGGACTTCTACCATTCGGGAAGGCAACATTTGCCGCAGTTGTCGCTGCGAGCCTGTGTCCACCGACTGATCCGTTGCTATACGATAGACCACCAGCCGAGCTCACTTGCGGACTTTGGGTCGCGCTCGGCCGTCGCATAGGTTCTGGAGCTGTATTGATGGGTGCTAGGCCAGGATACGATCGCTTGCGCTCATTGCCTTGAGATGCTGGTGGCGATATGTGGTGCATTGCAGCTTGCGCAGCAATGGTTGAAGCACTGAGTCCAGTGTTATTTGTCGTAGCGTGAGGCAAAGAAGGCTCAAAGAACCCCTGGCTATGCTGCCGTTGATGTCGAGCAAACTGTACTTGGCCCATATTAGGCGACTGATTCCTGGCGGGCGCATCGATCGAGGTCCTGTAAGGTAGTCGACCAATCGTGGGAAGTGCATTCGAGCTTTGCGAAGGAGTTGACCCTCCAGAGGTTGCTGGTCGAACTCCTGCTGCATGCTGCAGATATGGTGATCGCTTGTTCACTAGCGGAGGTGGCATTTGCTGCGCAGAGTCGTTCGAGACAGTTGATAGACTTGACTCGCTGCGTAGAGATGACTGAGATAGTGAAGATTGAGATCTCTGGCCAGACGGGGACCTTGGTCGTGGCGGTGGCCGCAACGGCGGTAGATCAGTATTGCTATTCATGTTGTTGGATATTGTGGGAGGGTTGCCGGCTAAGACATGGGCTCATGCTCAAATCATTCGACGAATACATGCGCCAATAGCTAGTATACTGTATAGCTTTGCCACAATGTAGATGTGATAATGCTTGAGTCGCGCATGCAGGTCCATGGGAAGCAGAGATGGTGATCGAGAGCGCTAGTGTGTGGCCCGTGCTACGGTGGAGCATACTTATGCACGGTAAATCATGAATTAGCTGCATAGATTATGCAAGTGACCCCAAATACCTTCGAGTACGAATCTGAACGTGTAAAAGGACACTAGACACAACAATTTTCATGGAAGAAGTTATTTCCGTTGTCAGGCTATCTACTCAGCAAGCCCATGTTCTCCCAAGAAATGAAATCCACCGCAAAGGAATGTCTTCAGAACATCGTCTGTAGGACACTGTCCCAAGCACCCAAATCCCAGCCCAAAGGTGAATCTCCAAGAATACCCATCGACGCAAGCGGAGACAAATATCAAGAAGAAAAGTGAGCCAACCCATAATCCAAAAGGAAAAGGATGCCCAATAACAACCGCACAAATCAATCACATCTCTGTCTAAATCAACCTCTATTCTTCATAAGAAGGGAAAAGGAAGAAACGCTCGTTATCAGTCAGCAACAGTCCCCACTGCTTCACCGTAACGAAGTTGCCGGAAAAAACACAACACTGCGCAAATTAGGCCAGTGTGGTCCAAGCAAGTCTAATGAAGCTGTAGCGCAGGGAGAGGCGAACGAGCGATCATACCCGAGTCTTCCTCGCAGTCTCCGAAGATCAGCGTGAGAAGAGCTCATGTCATGCGCCTATAGCATGACAACAATTGTCCGGTTCATGACTCCTGTTCTCCATAATAGCGTAGTTCATCTCCAGTAACCTTCTGACAAGGTAGTGTAGAGTCTGCATCTGAGTGACTTTGTTGTATTTATCCGGGGCAAGCCACACTTGACAATCAACAGAGTCGATCCAGTACCAGACACCTGCGCGACGGTGTAGAGGAGAAAGTGGCGGTATCTGCGCATCGTGGAGAAGCTATTAGGAGCAGAGGAACGGGATGGAAGGGGCCACTTAAGTGCCGCGACATTACCAAGGAAATACATCGCTCTTCCTCCTTCAATGCAGCGGTCGATGCCAAGATTAAGTGTAGTAGCCAGATGAAATGTTCGTCCAGGAAAACGCGTCCGAATGTGGTGCCGTTTCGAGGGTGTCATAAGAACTGGTGTTTTTCCTTTCTTGCGTTCGTACCGAGGAAGAATGTAGAAGAGGGTTTCGCAAACGCGGGCAAGCAAGGTCGTAGAGCACGACGCAAGAACACTCGCAATAGAACACAGTTTTATACACTCTGAACTCGACCCCGAAGGAAAGAGTTCTGAGCGTTCGCCATCAACTCACAGACGCTCCGCGCAATGCAATAGCTCAGTCCTTCACAAGAAAGAAAGGCTTATGCTCGCAGCAAGGAGCCGGAGGAGGCGAAAGAGACCTTACACCAGGTGTCGGTCTGTAGATTTTTACTTTTGTAGTCGCTGACGCGCTTGCCGTAAACCCCGTGATATGACGCAAGTCACTCCCAGTGCACGATGGGAGTGAAAGGTCGAGGTGGGGACCGACAGGAATCTTGGACATGACTCCAAATATTGGCTGCTGTCAACCGCGAGGGTCTGCGAAAGGATTTCGTTTTTCGTCGATGGATCGGAGGGGGTTAAGATACGGACTCGCACTATGTGGTGGCCGTGGGCTTATTGGTGAGGTAAGGTCGACGTCGCCATGACTTGAAGCTCGAACATGGGTCGGTCGGCGGATGGCGGCGTCCACGGTCTGGCCTTTGACACTGTTGAGGTGCTCGTTGGGTGGGCAGAAGCCTGTATTGAGTATGGGCGATGTCGCGCTGGTGACCTCGAATGTCGGCATGGGCGTAGGCATCAGAGTGTAACTCTGGCCGTTATAGCGGTTTGCAGACATGTCGCCGAGGTCACTCGTGTCTCGTGTGGCCTGCTCATAGCTGGGCACACTGTTCACATTCTTGGCCGCGAAGAAGTCGTCCAGCTCGTGCTTCTCAGTGGATGGTGAAGGATCACGTCCGGTAGGCCGAGGAGCGGTATAGACACCCGAGTCGCCACCTCTCGGCATAAGGAAGAGTGCTCTAGCTATGCCGACAAGTGCGATGATCGCCCAAACAAGGAGCACACATGTGGAGATGATGGCTTCTTGGCGAATTGCCTTGGCCATCATGCTTGTCAGGTGGTAGACTGCGCCAGTAACAGCGTCAGCAGCACCACCATTGGCTCCAGTGTTGAGCAGATCTGCTTGGGAGCCAGAGACCTTCTGGACGGTACCGAGCGAGAAAGTGTCGTTCGGCAACATCGGAAAGTCAATGTAAGCATGATCGCTCACCCAGGTCAGCCCTTTCTCGATGCCTTCAATCTTCAGTATGACCAAGCAATTCAAGACACCGAGAACGGGCGTATAGAGCACAGTGCCGCCAAAGGTCTCGTTGAGCACTTTCACCATTCCATCAACAAACACGTTCAGGGTAGTGTTTACAGCATGGGTCGTGGTATTAACCCAGCCAAAGACATCCTCGTTGATCTTGGCGTTCGTGTCGTTGATGAGATGGTTCGTTCCAATTGCCCACTGCTCGCTAGCATTGTTGAGTGAATTGATGACTTTGTCTGCGAAGCCGATGACCTGGTTCTCAAGTACCGGGACTTCTTTCTCAACAGCTTTGAGCAGGATGTATTGTGTTAGGCAACCGAGGAGACCAGCTATTGCCAAGGACAGTACGAAGAGAGCAGGTACAGTTGTCGCATATGCGACACTCCATCGGACTAGTGCTCTGCGCCTGCTCGACTTAAAGGGTCGAGCAAGCCAGAGACCAGCCGAAGAAGTGTACGGTCGAGAAGCCAGATAGACGCCATCCATAGGATCGTAAGCGTCACTTTGTACAAGCTTGGCGCGCTCCTTCATAAATCTCCATCGCCGAAGCTCACGATATGCCATGGGGATCATGGCCAGTACCGCGAGAATGATGATAACGACGAGAAAGATCTTCTGAGCCATGTTCTTCACTTCGACTAGACCGTCGAAGAAATCATTAACGCCACCGCCGTCGGAGCAGAACGTAAGCTGCTCCTTTTGCGGCACGGGGAACAGGCTGCGATTGAAGTTGTACTTTGGCATGCTCTCGTTCAATAGCTTCTTGACCTCCTCAAATGGTAAGCTGATGGCATAGTTCGTGAAGTTGTTCACTTCGGCGAATGTTGGGATTGAGGAGTTGAGTTTGTCCAAGCCTTGATCGTAACCCGGAGGTAGGTCCCAACTATTTAGCTTTGAGATCTCACCCGTGAGGTCGATCGTAGGAGGTGTGAGCTTCTTGCCGGCGAACACGCTGGCAACCTTGTCGAGGTCAACCAGAAAGCCGTTCATGGCTGATTGGAAGCCGGAAGCTGCACTGCCAAGGTCCTTGCCCACATCTTGGATGGTGGAGTTCAGGAAGTTTCCCACGTCTTCTGCCACCTGGACAGCCACGTGGAGGGATCCGCCAACGGCAAGAGTGATGAGGCAGACGTATGTCGATGTAAGGAGATTAATGATGAAGATCACAATCTCCTCGATACCGGTCACGCTCAGTATGAGCATGGACATCAGCCCATTGATTGCCTTCTCTATGCCGGAAGCGGAGAGCTCGTTGACGCCTTGACTCATGAAATAAGGCATGCTCGCCATAGCCGAGCCCACATTCTCCACCGAAGTGCACATAGAAAGCGCCTCTCGTCGGGCAGACGCTGCATTATTGTCGAAGCTCGCAAGTGCGAATAGTGTCCGTATCAGGACTAGGAGTAAAAGGACGGTCCATCGGTTGATCCAGATCTGCGAAAGTCTCGCGTTGAGACCGAGGTAAGGTGTAAGGTATGGTTCCTGTTGTGAGGGAGGTCGTGGTGCGTCCTGCGCAGCGTAGTAGTCGCGCGTCTCATGATCGCCAGCGGAGAGAGATGGCGGTGCGGGATTGGAGTTTTGCTGTTGGCTCCCCGAGGAAGCCATGATGATGGATGGTGTCGAGAGTCGAGATGTGCCTATTGCCATATTCGGTCTTAGTATGCTGTGCTTGAGTTCGTGCACCGCCAACCAGTGGCGGAGTGTCAGATGCTTTAAACAAATGCCAGGAGCTGTGTCTCTGGTTCGATGTGTGCCAACCAGTGGCGGAGTATTAGATGCTTGAAAGAGATCCGGGGGGGGGTCTCCGACGCGATGTATGCTGTAGTGAAGATGCGGCAACGCTGTGTATTATTCTGATTACGATAGTGAATGTGATCGTATGGTCGTTGCAGCATGTCGAATGTGCAGTGTGTACAAAGAAAACTCGTTGCGTCGTGGGACGTTCTCAAGCTGAAGAGAGAGATCACCCCAGCGGACAATGAACTTGACAATAGGAAAGGCTTGGCTCGAGACACGCGAACAATAGAAGAAGCAGACGTACCATAATTAACATAGGCGTGGCCGGTCATGCGGCCATAGAATACCAAAGCATTCTTGTTGACTGAAACGCATGGCCATCTTTTCCAGAAGGCGTCTCGAACACCGTCAGCCAATCATTGCAGACCAGGACTGAAGGCGCGAGGCACAGCGCCTAAACGACCGCATTTTGCGCCAGTCGTTCATTGTCTGCTATTCTTGCCATATTATACAACCAAGATGGACAAAGGAGTGTGAAGCGCTGCGTAATGCGCGTTGCATGTCGCCGTGATATTCGCTGCTGGGTTAGTATTTGATCTTTGCGCCCGTCTGGTCTCGAGAGAGGCTCGGCCTGGTGCGCAATTTGCGTCGCATGCAGTCATGGAGCACGGTATTGGTGTCGCATCTGGTCCATATGGCCGTCCATCCCATTTGAGGTCGCTGGAGACGCTCCTCGAACCTGTCGTGAAGACAGCCAGGAGCGCCCCCAGGACGAACGTGAAGAGAGATGTGGCTGCTGCTGAACTGGAGCCCCAGCGATCCTGTGGCGTTTTCGCGCTAGCCTACCCCGTCTTAAAACCTGTTTTCGGGGGAGAACTTCATAGACGTATTTCGACTTCATACATAGCTCCCACAACCTTGTGTCCTCGCTGTCCGATCGTATATAATCCTGCCATCACTCGTTTATTACAAGGATATCCGTGGCCAGACAATCTACGTTCTTCGAGCCATGGAACAGGACCTCCGCCCGGACTTGGACATGACTATTGTATTGATAGCCAGTTGAACACACGAGGCCTGAAGATCATCGTGGGAAGAACACTGTCCTTCCGGTGAAGTATAAATGGTGCTGAGATCTATCCGCCGGACGGGCTCGGTAATGTTCCACGTCCCAGTATAGCAACCAGGCTGGGACCGAATATCTTGGATGGCCAGATTCCAGTCTTGTGCAGTCTCCATGCCATGCCGTCGCTGCATACGGTTAGGACTTTCTCTAGCTGTATAGAACATTTCAGTGTGGGCAAGAGCGGCATGGTACGGCTGAAGTAATGCGAGAGATGTGACTGGTATTGTATGTTAACGCAGCGCATGATCCTCGCTCCGGCAATGTCTCCGGGTCAGTATGCAAGGAGCTTTGAAGGAACCCTATACTGTGCAGGCCCACAGCGACAGAACTTGGTGATAGCTGTTTAGCCAGCCATGTTGTCCTCGTTCGAGCATTCATTTCAGTCGCAGAAGGTGCGGTGAATGCAGACTGCTCAATGCCATAACGCTGCTTCTCACATGAGGTGGGCTACTGCCATTGCTGCTAGTACTCACGTGAAGCAAAGCTCACTTGTCCATACCGATCAGCCGCTCTGCCGAGGACTATATCTTCTGGCTGGTCTTGTGATTTGATCTAAGCTCTCCTTTTCCCCAACAACATATCAACCATCTCGTCCAGCCTCTGATCACCAGATCTATCGCGACCCGGCCAACTCCGCCACGCAGTCCGACCACCGTACCAGAGCCACTTCACCACCGAATTTGTGCAGCACACCCAGCGTGTCAATATCGCCTCAAGCTTTTGATCGATTGCGCCCAGTGCCCACGCTGTGGCCACCCCATTGGCCTCTCGCCAGGGCAGAAGCGGCGTTCACGTCAGCCTTCCTATAGCACCATCTCCCACGCTTCGATACTACATTGTGCGGTCAGAAGACTTACATCTCGGCAGCAGCGTACACACACTCCGCGACCAAAGGCCTGTCACACTCTTGGTCAGCGAGTTGCGCATGACTGTTGAGGTAGGTTTTCGTCGTCATTCTCCGACATCTCGCGTTTCGGCTTTGCTTCCTTTCTCCTGCACTCTGCACTCTGCAGCCTGCATTGCCCATCTTTCTCCTTCGTATTGATATTACAAGCACTCGTATCCGCCGGGCAAACACGGCTGCCGTCTGACTTGCGAGTCATCAACAACAGCAGGCATCACATGCGAGAAGCGCAGGCAGGCGGCCATATTGCACAATAGCAACGGCACATTTCCAAAGTAGCGAGCGGACATCGACAGACGCTTACCGGAACGGCCGATAGTCGACGTACGGAGCATCATATGAAAAGTACCATACACATCATCATCTCGATTTTCAAGACACGTAACGAGGAGATTGACGCCTGCGGGGATTCGTGCCCCTCGCAGGGCTTTGCTGTGGTATAGGAAGTAGGAGGGAATCCCAAAGTACGATTGGCAGGTTTCTTCGCCATCACTCTTGAGACCACGGACTTCGCCAAGAGCTTCACTTCTTGACGGCAGCCACAAGCTCCTTCAGTACCGAGATAAAGACACACTAACTTAAAGTCTAGCGGCAGCCATAGCCTAAGGCCCATACATCTGTCAATCTCGGCGAGAGCCTCTCCTCAGAGCGTTTGGGCACTTCGTTGCAACGGAGCCATGGAACCGCCTACAGGCCCAGCTTCATCCAGGTCCTGGCGACAACCTCGCACGCCTCGTGAACCACACACTCCTCGCCCATATAATGCTCAAGTCGCTCACTCGAGCTCCAAGAAGTGGATATCACCCAGGCTCAAGGCGAATATCGACAATAACAGCAGGAACCCCGGTAGCTATGATCGGTCGAGCAGGACTCCAGCGAACAACAACAGATCTTCCCTCATGGCGGCTGGCAACAAGAGTAGCAATCGCAGCAAGAACTCGCAACAAATCAAATCGGCGAGCGGTCACACCCAGTACAATTTCGAAAGAGAACAGGTGTGCCCAAAGTCCGACGTTTGGCCCATGGACTTCGCCGTACAACAGCATAGGCAAGACTGGGTGGCCATGAGGCGTCAGCAGAACTTCGAAGCCTCGAAAAGAGGGCGTGCGGAGCGAGCAGAAAAGCGGCGTCTCGAGATCACAATCGGGGAAAGCTTCCCAGATCCCACACCAATTCGCCCCCTCCTCGATAGCAGAATAATGATGGGCCGCTTCATTCATCATAAGTTCATCCACCGCTCAATACCAGCAGAAGACTTCTCACCCATCCTGACACTGCAAACAGCATTCCATCCCGCAACCGAGAGATGGAAGCCCGATGTCGCTCCTTGGCCATCCCTCCACGAAAGCGACTACGAAGGCGACAGTCGTCCAGGTGGAAAGCAAGAGACCGTCCACGGCCGCTTCCTCCCTTTACCTCGCGTCAAGGACCAGAGAATCAACTGGCAGCAGCGCGCTCTGGCCAAGCAGTACCGCCTGGACGATCGCTACACTAACATGAACTTCGGCGTTGAACACTACAACTTCTTGGACGAACATGGTGCGTGGACGATTGGATTCCACTTTAATTCTTACATGATCAATTGGCAGGAGATCTTCTTTCGCTTGTACACGGTGCCGGATCTCGAGTTCGAGAAGTACTACCCTGGTTCATGTCCCGAGGAGGGAGATGGGAAGTGGGTTATTGATGATGATGGGATGCATGCTCTTGGTGGCGAGCTGCTGGCCTTGCTTGGGGAGCCGGGGTACTATGGTCCCCGGTGATTTGCTTGGCTACTGGATCTACGATTTCTGTACTATCACCACATAGCCGTGGCCAGCAGAGCATCTATATCGACATTACGATGGATTCTGAACTGGAGGAGTGGACGATGAGGACGATGAGGTCTGGCATATCGCACATCATGCATCTCCCGGCGTTCCGACGGCTACCATCTTTCCTGGCAAGATCCACAGGACTTCCATGCATTTCCAGGCGCTCTCGACTCTTATCACACAGACTCCCGACACGATAACACGGCCCTCCAGCTATTGACATTTCCTCACTCGGGACTTTTTACTGCATCTATAAGGCGTTACGACAGCGTTCATTGGACGACGTTTTGCAGGTTTATCATCTTACGAAGTATCATGATTATCTAACATCTAGCATTGTTGTACATATGCGACGGAAAATAAGGCCGCTGGCGGCAATCTGCACATCCAGTAGTACACCACTTCTCGCGCGTCCGTACGCATAGTCAAATGCACATTTGACGCAGAGAAGAGATAATTGTACTGACCAGCAGTAGTTTTCATGTCTATCATTCATTACTCATACACATTAAACATTACTTCGAAAATTAACCCTTCACATTCTAGCACCCCCCTACTTCCTCCCCATCCTCCCCGGCCTCCCCTTCCGTTCCTCATCCCGCCTAAACTTAGCCTCAACTTCATTGACGCTCCTCCTCTTATACTCCGGCTCCGCACAAAACTCCCCCCTCTCAGCCTTTTTCTTCACGATCGGGAATCGAACAGAATTCATCCTAATATTTGAGATTGATGGGACGATGCCGTTGGTGTAGCGTTTGGGGTCTGAGGGGGCGGGAGGGAAGGGTAAGGTTTTGTTCTTATCTGCTTCTGGGCGGACGGGAGGGGCCGTGGGGCGAATGGTGCGGTAGCGGGAGGGTTGTTTCTTCCGTGATGGGATTGGATTGTGGGTGGGGAGGGGTTTATTGGTGGGGAAAGTGGTGGGTGTAGAGTCGGAGAGGTAAGCGGAGAGGTGTGCGGTGGACTTAGCTGGGGCGGCACTTGTGCCCACTGGCTTACGCCTCACACCCACCACCTGCTTCGGAGGAGTCGGCGGCTTGGGTGGAGGAATCGGGGCAGAGTTCCTTGGCGTATCGCGCGAGAAGTACGATGGTGTTGCTGTGGCTGAAGGCGTGGCATACTCGATGTCCGCATGCATCGACCGGATATTCCGCCTCCAGTCGTCATCGAAGACGCCAGACTCGACACGGTTGTATAGATCTCTGTGCTGCGCAGCATCTGGTGATGGTGTGCGATTAGACTGAATGGGGAGATCCAGACTCGCCTCTGAATGGACCGACTCAACAGCGCTGTAGTGGCGTCGATGCGACGGCATGTCAGCAAAGCTACTCGGCGTGCTTGAGCGCGAGATAGAGGAGAATGACCAATCTTGAGAGAATGCCCTCGCTGGACGCACAGCAGCAGGCTCCTCACCGAAGGGATCAAGCGGTGCCGTATAGGCAATGTACAGCCCACCAGCCGACGACTTGCGCCTTTTGCTGATTTCATCTCGCTCCCTCACAGAAGGCGTACGCTGTGCAAGCACACGACCAGGAAGCAAGCTCTCCGGGTGCTGTCGTCGCCACGCCGCAATAGACTCCCACTTCGCATTCGCCTCAGCCCCATCAGAGTGCAGACTAGCACCACCAAGTGCCGCGAGCGCAGCATTACGATTCTGCTTCCTCTGGACCTCGGAATCCGCAGTACCAGGACGAGCTAATGTCTCTGCAGAGCGATCAGGCACGAATGAAGCAGTATGGAACCTCGCCGCGCCATCAAACTGGTGCAGGAAGTTCGTGAGACCCGAACCAACCTCAGTAAGCTGCGTATACCGCCTCGACTCCCGAAAAATCTTCCTCGGATCAACCGGATTCTCGACCTTCCCCTCAAAGTTGAGCGCAGAGCGAGTATCATCGTCCGTGCCAACAGAAGAACGTCTCCCAAGACTCTTAGCCGAACTACCAGTAGACGTACTACCAAAACTACCTGGCGTAGGCAAATCCGGCACCAAGCCCGAAACAACCGGATGCCTTAGCGTAGCCGTCTTCCGCTCCTTCGGCGGGACTCGCGGTGGTGTAGAAGAAGTGCTCGGCTCGGGCACATGGATCGTCATGCGTCTGCCGCTTGGAGAGGTCGTCATGATACTCACGGCTGGCTTCTCGATACTACCTGGGAAGAGGCCGAGGTTCCTGCCTGGTGCCACGAACGAGACGCGCGAGATGGGGATTGGAGCGCCGTGGGAGCGGGATGTCATTATTGTTCCTGATTTGGAGGGGTGGCGTTGTGGGTGATGTGGGGAGCGTTTTGTTGGTTTGGCTGGGTTAGGGGGAGCCGTGGGCTTAACGACAGGTGTAGATCGTGGTGCCATCTCGCTGGGAGTGCGGAAAGTGCTTTGGGGTCGAGGCTTTGAGGTGCTCTTGGTGTGGAAGAGAGCACGCTTGATACGCTGAAGCTTGCCCTTGAGTCCGGCGGCTTTGGCCGCTTTTTGAGTGGGAGGAAGCGGCGTTGGTTTTGCTCGTCTGTCGCCAATGAAGTCTGCTGTTGTCGGTTGTGGTGGTATGGCGCTGATGCCGCTCCCACGTCTGCCGCTCATCACGTATGGATCCTGCTGTCTGAGCTCCGGTATGGCAGGGAAGATGCCAGAGAACGTGTTGCTCGGGATGACTCTCGCCATAGCTTGTCTTGTGTCTGGCTGTCCGTACTCGGGTATCGTGCTTTTGTCGTCAAGTACTTGTAAGTAGACTGGTCCGGCCAATCTTGTCTTATCCTTCCCGGTAGATCGCGTGTGAGATTTGTTCTAAGCGCAGAGTGTCGTGGGCGGACCAAGTATCAGACGGAAAAAGAGAATCTTCACACCTACATTCAGAACACTCGACAACGCATTGTCATTAGGACTGCTTATCGAGTGCTCGAGGGCAGGAAGACTACAATGAGGAAAGATGAAAGACGATGCGAGACAAAGCCGATCATCCCGATCTAGAAGTTGCTCTTTCTCTCTTCCACACAATAGACAAAGAGCTTGAACAAAAGAAAGAATTGGTGAACAAAAGAGACATGACGCAGTGCAGTCTCGAGCTCTGTTGGTTGAGAACAATACCATACATTGTTGTCGACCGATCGTCCAGCCCAAGGTACATGGTGTAGTGATCATGGCAAGCATTGCTAGCCAGACGCATGTTTGCACTTCTGTGGAGTCTCCCGATGGCATTGTGGTCTCGCGACTACTCGTCGAATCTGTCAACGAGGTCAAGAAATTGTGATCTCCAGGTTTCGAAGCGGCCAGCCTCGAGTGATGGTTTGTAAGATTCTCGTGCATCATCATGCCCATAGCTGTCATGAATCATTTCCTCACCGTCCAGCCCAAATACCTTGCGACAAACCCCCTCTACTCTCATTCACCGGCCTCTTCGCCACTCTCCCCTGCGACCGAACACCCTCAACCACTTTATCCAACCCCGTCTCCACCACAACCCCACCCACAATCATCTCCGCCAACACCGCATGCAACGTCTCAAAGTTGAAGATCAAATCCAGCTCACAGACATTCTCAAACAACCTATCCAAAGCCTCGACGTAGACTTGTATCAAATCTAGTAATGCAAGCGGTGACTCGGTGGAGGTGGATATGACGATGAAGTAGAGTGTTGCGTAGTGTCGGTATGTGACTAACGATGGCGCATCGTTGGACTCTTGCGAAGACGGCGTGCTACTGCTGCTAGCTGGTGCGAGAAGGGGTGGGAGGGGGAGAAAGTTGCAGCTGCTGGGTGGACGGGCGGCGACTAGGGTGAAGATTTCGGAGAGCAGGCGTTGTTGCACTGATGTGTCCTAGTTTAACCAGAGGACGTATCAGCTAGGTCCTGGTGGGGGTTGGCATGGTAGGAGAAGGTGATGATCACGCACGAGTTGAGTGTAGAACTTGGTGAGGCGCGGCTGGCCATTGTTGTTGAAGACTAGCACTGCGTTGATCATTGTGTGGCGCTATTACACTCACGTGCTGGTATCGATATATGTCCGAGCGTCGCTATGCAATGAAGCAGAACCCGCGAAAGATATGCGGTCAGCCGTTAGCGCCCGCTACAAGGCGACCACGATTCGACAGCCTGGAGGGAGCTGTATCAAACCAATCTGGATTTTCTATATTTCATCTTACCGTTGGATGGGTTATGGTACAGCACTGAACCGCCGAATCAAGGCTGATTGACGACTCCATCGCGCGGCCGGACATCCAAGTCTATAATCGAGAATCCCTTCTGTCTAGGTCTTTCAAATCACGTCTTGGGGGCCATCCACACTACAAGATCTCCCGACGCCCCATAAAATAAATGACCTGCTTCACCAACAGAGCCGACCACAACTGGATTGCCCAGCAAAACATAGATTGATCTTCATCCACCAAATCTACAAACCCAATCTGCAACTCAGGCAAATACCGAACCCCAACGCTCAGACCAACCAACACTATTCTACTCTCGCTTCAACGTCCGCAATCTCCCCCTCTCTTTCCTAGAACAGCTAGCCCCACGCCTCGTCCCCTTCTCTAAACCTAACAAAGTTCTCCATCCTCGCGTGGCGCTGAGCCCGGACCGCAAGGATAGGGAAAAAAATAGGCAAAGCCTCGCACGAATCGTGCAAGCATCGATATGAAAGGGCTGAAAAGGTAGACTGTAGGCAAGGATCAGATTCGCAGGTGCCCTGGGCGACGATCGCGCACTCGCGTGTGTCAGCGGCGAACATGGGCCGTACACCTCCTCTTTGCGAGTATACCACTCCTCTCTTACGCCTCACCTCGTGTCCTTTACGCGCTTCCCTCACGGTCTGCTGTACCACAAGTGGTCATTCGTGACCACGTCCACTCGTTGCCTTTTTGAGCATAAATCACTATCATTATTTACTACACTCATACCATACTATCATTAATCGTACTTCATCCACCATGGTTGCCTCCTTCAGACCTACATCGCTTCTTGCGCTTTTCATTTTATCCAGCAGTAATATTGGCGCTCTTGCGCAAAATGCCACAACGACGACGATATCAGCCGTTTCCTCGAACGCGAATACGGCTTTGACGACTCTTACGAGTGGGACTACAGTGGTCGCTGGTGTGACGAGTGCGGCATCGAGCTCGGGCAATGGAGGTGGAAAGATTCCTGAAACGCCGGTTGTTGCTTCGTCGGAGACACAATTAGTGGTCGCCCCTTCTTCGTCCGTAGTGACGACGACGGCTCCTACAACCACGACACAAGATTCTACGATCCAAGCGACAACAGCGCCCACAACGACTTCTACACCGCAAGTTGAGTCCTCGCCCGCCGTAGCGAGTTCGAACACAGCTCTGGCGACCCCGAGCACTACCCCAACATCAACAACACCAGCAGAAAGCACAGCCTTCTCCTACCAACCCACCACATCCGTGTCCACCAACCCGGCAACCTCCTCCCCGGTCGTAGCCAGTTCCGATACAGCGGTAGCAACAAACCCAGCCAACTCCTCTCCGGTCGTAGCGACTTCAAACACTGCTCTTGCTACACCGAGCACCACGGACACGAGTATCTTCTCCTACCAACCCGACACCTCGTCCTCCGCAGCAGGAGCCCCCACCACAACATCAGCCGGTCCCACGGGAGGAAATACGCCCAATGCGCCAGTCATAGCTTCGACGGAATCTTCAATCGCTCCAGCTTCCCCTGTGGTACCGAGTTCGGGGACGGCATTGTCCACGCCCCCCGCAGCAGGAACGACTACGAGCGAGACTTCGGCGTTCTCTTTCGTCCCGAGCAATAGTGCGGACAGTGGTGCGCAGAGCTCTGTCAGCGTAGTGACCGCGAATATCCCAACCACGACCAACCAAGCCGGTGCATCTTCCACTGGCGGTGCGGCGGTAATCCCAGTCGCCCAATCCTCCTCCGCGGCCATCTCGATCGGCTCGACCGTCGTTCCGGTCGTGGCACTTCCTCCTTCTTCCACTGCAGGCCAAACCACCTCCGCAGCCCCGGTCTTCGTTATCGGCAGCCAGACGGCTTCGATCGGCCAGACGTTGACGGTCGACAATACGCCCGTGGTCGTGCAGACTTCAGCAGGTCAGACCCAACTTATCGCCGGCTCCTCCACGCTTCCATCAGCGCTGAGCTTCGCATCAGCGAGTGCCTCCTCCGCCGGCGCCCCAGCCGCAATCCCCACCGCTCTGTCCTTCCTCCCCGTAGCACCATCCGGAAGCATCGTCGCCCCAATCCCAGTGAGCAGCCCAACAGGCATCGCCTCGATCCCTACCTCCCTGCCCTTCGCCCCAGCAGCCGGTATCTCAGGCGCCCTAACCGGCGCTTCTGCAATCCCCACCTCCCTCGCCTTCGCACCAGCAGGACCCTCAAGTTCCGGCGCAGCAGCAATAACAACGCACCACGGCGTCCTCACCTTGACCGGAGCGGCGAGCACCATGACCATCGGCCTCGAAACCATCTCCCGCAATTCCGCGGGACAGTATATGCTAGGCCCCGCCACTTTGACTCCCGGAAGCACCATCACCTCTATTTCCGCGGGCAAGACGGCGCTAGTTGCTCTTACTACGGGCGCGAATGGGTCGACGGGGTTAATGGTACAGGATGCGGCTACCACTGCTTCTTCAGCTCTACCGAAAATCACCACCCTTTCTGCCTCCGCTTCTGCTTTCGGTGCAGGAGGAGCGTCTTCTTCGAGTAAAGGCGGCAGTTCGGCGATCGTGGTGAACGGGCATACATATTACCTTGGCGCGGACGGCGCGAGTTTGAATGCCCAGGCTACAGGGGCCAGTACGTTGGCTACGAGTGGATCTGTTTTGGGGGGCAGTGCGTCGGGGACGGGGAAGCCGAAGTTGCAGACTGCGGGTGCGTCTGGACAGGCGAAGGTAGTGGTGGCTATGGGCATGGCATCGACTATGGCTGGCTTTGTGCTTCTGATATGATTGATTTGAATGGCAATTTTACTAAGATTTCTACGCGGTTGCAAAGAAAGGGAGTGGAGTTACTGTAGTTCACTTGAGCGCATTTGCTTTTCTTGTGCATATTAGAATATCCCATTTGTTGCTCTAATCATATATAATCCACGCCCATGATGTCCTCTCACTTCCTTTCACACCTCCCAAAGCATTACATACACATACCTTACCTTGTCGATGTATCCTCATAATAATAATATGATGACGGATGTTTCGTGTCGTTCTCGCCGTGAAGCTTCGCAGTTGCCCCGCGTGACGCGTTGTGCTTTGCTTGGATTGCCGCTTTGGGAAAGCGAGAGCTTGAAGACATAGACATAGACATGTGCTTTCAACGTTGAACTCAAGGCAAGACGATTCATCACGTCTCCTAGCCAAGGACACACTTTCTTCCTGTCTTGTTCCTTCGACTGCGTAGAGACACTCGCCCGGCCAACTCAGCGTGCTAAGAGAGCAAGCAGTAAGCAACAATCTCTTTACCCCCTCCGCGTCTTATCCCCTCGCTAACCACAGGAATGTAGCCATAAGAGCTTCATCCACAAACCACTTCTCCGTGTGTCCGTGTGTGTGTGTGAGAGAGAGAGAGAGAGCACAAGATAGA